GGTTATAGGGTAAAATATAATTATAAATGTTATTTGAAAGTATTGTTTGACAAGAGTTAACCATGATATGAAGCTGGGTATTTAGGATTCAAGCCTCCTTTATTACTTTTCACAAATGCAGCAATGTCTGTCAAAGCATCATTTGGTATTCCTGCATGTGGATTTTAATTGCTAAATTATTTTAATTGATTGGAGGGAATTACCAACTGGCTTTAAAGTGATAGTCTGTAACTCTAAATGAATTACAAATTTTAGGAAATGTGTTAAATTGACCTCCTGGCCTTAAATGTTGATATAAAATAAGTCATTTTATTAATTCTAATATTACGGGCAAGACCCGCCTTCCCTGCTCTTAGCTATAGTTCAGAATCCACGGTGCCGTCGAGGTTAACCAATCGAGTCATGCCAAGGGCTGTCAATCATCGGCGCTGATGCTCGCAGCTGCGTGCATGCGCAGTTGTTTGTTTTCGCGGAGCCTCTATTAGGCTCTGGAACTACATGAAAACTGAACAAAGAATTCTGAACATCCGCGCTGAGGTACTTATGTATATACTGAACCTATATCCATCATCAGATCCTCTCTGATTATGGATTATGTCTCCGGGCGGCACGGTGGCTGAGTGGATAGCACTCTCGCTTCTCAGCAAGAAGGTCCTGGGTTCGAATCCCGGTCGGACCAGGGCCTTTCTGAGTGGAGTTTGCATGTTCTCCCTGTGTCTGCGTAGGTTTCCTCCAGGTACTCCGGTTTCCCCTACCACTAAAAACATGTACAATAGTTCTAGCATGTGCTTCCTGTACTGGCGACCCCGCTCCCATCTCTGTGTGGAGTGAAAGACAATTGCCCAAAATTAACAATTGTAAACCGCTTTGAGACTCAGATCTGCAGTGAAAAGGCGGTATATAAATAAAGATTACTTACTTACTCTGCAGATGTGTCCTATAATGTGCAATTCATGATAATAGCACTTCCTGGTTTGCCGCGATCGCTTTTTTGTGTGCATAAAAACATATTTTTTTTCATTAAAACGTTCACAAATAATTCTGAAAACCTCCGTGCATGTGTATTAATAATGTATATGTATAATATGTTCTCTGATTAACATTTCAAAGTGTTACGGAAACGTAGGTGTAGACCAATCAGAAAGGAAGGAGGAGGGAGCTTGCGTCGTTTTTTTCAAATCAAGTACCTCTCTGTCTCTCTTTCTGACAATTTCCAGACAATCACTTTAACTTTAATACAGAACAGCAAATTATATCATTTTGAGAAAAGATTTTTTTTTTTATATATATTAACAAAATGATACTGATAATGATATTTAATCATGTGCACTGAAACTATATAGAATAATAAATAATATTCTTTATTTGCCCCACAATGAGGGATTTTCAGTGTTGTAGTTCAGTTCATTTACCAGCAGGAATGAGGATCACACAACACAAAATAAGATGAAGTATAGCACAACTTTATACTTTATACTTAATAGTAATAATAGCAAAATAAAAAAGAATTTCTTTATTTAGCTTAATAAAGACACATAAATCATCCGTTTTGTGGGTTCAAATATTAACAGTAGTGGTACTATTGTACATGTTAGCAGCACGAGGATGATACAAGCTTTCTGAAATTAAATCTATATATAACAATAGCTTAATTATGTTTCTACATCTTTTGTTTTATTATGTAAACTGCATATGGTTTTATCGCAACAGAATCGCATATGATTCAAGTCAAAAGACAGTGTAGACAGTGAACATAAAAGGCTTGTAGTTAATTTATAGCCATGTTGAATCTGTTTCGAATAGAGACGTGCTGATCATTTCTCAAACTGAGCACAAACAAATGCCTTTTTACTATCACTCAAAACTAAGTCAAATGTGCACAGTTTATCTTGAGGTACGTTTTTTTTTTTGTCAAGTTCAAACAAACAATGCAGTGTTCATGTACAAGTCTTTGCCTGGGAACAAGCATCTGAAATGTTGATAAGAGCTGGAGCTGGGGGAGGTGCAGTTGCGTTGCACTTGGGAGAAAAAGGGGGGAGAGAAAGAGAGAGATAGAGACGTCTGGAAAGCATCAAACAGTCTGCTTCATGGACGTGTGCGCTGGCAGTGCTGCTTTCTGCTTTGTTAACTCACAGGTCATGGGCAGCTGCAGGTGATGGAGCCAACTCTGCACACACACTATTGGAATAAAGTCAGCTGAGAGAACCAAAAAGAACAACAAAGTCCATTCTTGTTTAAGTAAGTAAGTAAAAACAGCAATTGAAAAATACATGGACATTATACTATGGCTGTTACTGTATGAAATATTAAAGGATAAAGCTGGAAAACCTAACTTTCAAAACAAGCCATTTCACTAGTCCCCCGCTCTCAAAACAGCTTGGTTCCATTCTTTCACATTCATGTATTTTTTGGCCAATCTTTAGATCAGCTTTTTCAGACCACCCTCCCTCAGCCAATCAGCTCTCAGCCCCCTCTCTTACAAGTTTTCAAAAGATAAAATGATTTCTATTAAGCTGATGGGACTAATAAAGATGTATCTATGGAAAAGAACAAACGTCATGTCACTGTTGGTGATGGAAGCTACAACTGGAGCCATCTTGTTACAGTGTCTTATTATTTAGGACAAATCATATGGGTAATCAAGTTCTGGGACGTCCTGAAAGCAGAGATTGGAATGAAAGCTGCTCTGTTGATTCTGTTTGCAGAGGATGTGGTGGGACTGGGACGTATTTTCCTTGATAAGACTGTGATAAGATAAGTGCTAAATGAACAAAAGCTCATACAAGGTAGTCTTGTAGTATTGGACTGTACTGCAAAGTGGTTTAATCTGAAATATTGATATGTACAGTAGCTTTATCCACACAGAGAGCATATCATATAATCATACCCTGGGACATACATGGATTTGGAATGCTAAATAATTAATGTCTAAATATACAGTATGTTTATATGAAGATAGATTACAACTTGAACTGTATTATTTAGTGGGCCCACATTTAGATACAATCGCATTCTAAAAATTGCACATAAACTATTGTCATTGTTCATTGTATTGTCCCATAGCCGTGTTCTCTTCTCCCCTCGCACCCTGGCTTCTGTAATAATGGAGTGTTGTTCTTCATGAGACCTGGACTGGCCCCGTGTTGTATTACCAGCTGAAACATCGGCGAAGCACGGGTGACAGGATGGACCATAGCCATACACGCACCCATGGGTGACGGAGGAGCGAGAGGGGAGGTTCGGTGCAGCACAATTAAGCCAGCGCCTGACACCCAAAGCGCGTCTCCTGAGAGCTGTGGCACGGCCCATTGTGGTGGGGAATCTGAGAAATGCATTTGATCAGTATTCTCTGTCTACAATGTATTATTTTGGACAACTCCTGAGGACAAAAAGGCACAAGAGAAGGGTGAGAGAATGAGGGAACATGGGAGAGAGTGTGCAGAGAGAGAGGGAGGGGGATTTTGGGCAATGAGTGACCCACTGACTGCAACAGTTTCATCCCACATTCAAAGACGGAGTTCAACATGTTCACATCAAGAAAGGAGGTACTGTCTCCAAGAACAAGGATCACACTTTACATGGGACAAATCTAATAAAGAAGAAAAATATAAACTTGTAGTAAATAGTGCGGGCTTTTCAGAAAGTAGAAAACTGAAAGGTGCCTATGTGACCTGACATGACAAGAGGTGGCAAAAGTACTAGTGTTGGGCACGGCTGAATGGTTATCTTAACTTAGAAGTGTAGCCGACCACAATGAAGTAATTCACTTAGAAGCAAGGATAACCCCTTCAAACCTGATTTTATGCTGTGTCGCCATCTGCAGTCATCTCGCAAAGTCCAGTACAGATAATTGTGGTTTAAAAGAAAGAAGTAAAATGTAAAATAGATGAACGTTCCGACGCCAGGATTATGATTCATATATTTGATCAGGGACCATGCAAAATAAACATTAGTCTTCGGTTCTTGCAGTTTTTAGCAAAAGCAATAAATGTAACTGGACAAGTTGGTGATACAAGTTCAAAATTTAAATAAAAAGGTCTTATTTGACGAGCACGTATCACCAGAATGATTGAAAATTGAGGATCGACAGTCTTGATGATCCACCCTATGTTCTTTAAGTTAAAAAAAATACCTACTTGTTTTAGTTGCTAACTCTGAAACATGTGAAGAGTGAAAATGTACAATAATAAACTTAATGAAAAATGTTTTCAATTCATAATTAGCACTGAACAGTAACAGATGCGTATGTTTTTTTTTTACTTATTAAAGCACTTGATTATTGATTGGATATTAAACTCCTCTTACTCCAGATATCATTTCAATATAATTTCTTCATATTTCTACACTCAAAGAGAGAATAGGTTGTTCCTCCAGCCTCTTGTGTTTAACCTCAACATTCCTGTGTGAATACAAGGCCTCAGCCACAGATCAGTGCTCAGTGTAACCAATCCTCTGCTCCGACATGCAGCTCTGAGGCTTGAATAACCGTGAGAGCAATCCTACACCTCTGTCTTGTCCACAGGTGAGGGGACTGCTATGGACGTCCAGGGCCGGCTTTAAATTATCCACAATTCAAGTGCACAACATTAAAGAATGATCATAATCTTAACTACATTACTTATTTCAGGACATTTTACATTTTTATAAGCTTTATGAGAGAGGGTTGATTACTGAACACTGTCTACTAAACTTGGAACATCAAGTCAACAGTCAAAAAGAAAACGGTGAAGTACTGTTGTGTGAACGTTTAGCCTTCTAGCGGCAAAGTATAGTCCTACATAATCCAGGAAGTTTGGAACGTAGCATTGTAGGGCCATCTGGTGGTGCATTGAAAGTGTTACCCATTTATAAAGATGCAGCTTCTACACATGAATGAAAAAAAGAAATTTCAGCATTCAAGTTCGACTTTATTTGGGGAGATAAAGGCACTGAATGATGATGGCACTCTCTGCCGAGACGTCTTTAACAAAAACAATTGTGGAGGAAACAGACATTTTCTTCTAGAGCTGAGTGTAGCGCAGATACTTCTTCCCCGAGGGCAGCTCCTTTGTGGTGACACCGCTGGGGAAGAGAGCCGCAGCCTCAGCATCAGAGAGTGTTGGGATGACCATCACTTTATGTCCAGGCTGAAATAAGAAGTCCAGTATGAGCTTAGATTACAAGGACAACTAAATACTGTCTGGTCATGATTTGTCTGTGGGCCATTGTGTATGGGTGCCTGTATGATGTTCCAAACTCTCCTCATTATGGCTTCACATTTGCAGTAATTTTATCTTAAGATTGTACCTTCCAGTCGACAGGTGTGGCCACTTTCTTCTGCGCTGTGAGCTGTAGCGAGTCAATCACTCGGATGATCTCGTCAAAGTTCCTCCCAGTGGTGGCCGGGTACAGGAGGGACAGCTTCAGCTTCTTATCAGGACCAATGATGAAAACCTGGAGGATCATAATGACATGTATATAAAATAGTACGAGTATTTTGTAATAATAAGGAAAATTATGTTTTATATTATGTCATGAAGAAGAATATATCAATATAATTAAATTGCAAAGTCAATCCTTTTGTGACTTATGTGTATTCATCTGCACTTAAGTACACTGCTCACAAAAACTTAGGGCACACTCAAAAAACACAATGTAACTCCAAGTCAGTCAAATTTCTGGGATATCAGACTGTCCAGTTAGGAAGCCACACTTATTGTGAATCAATTTCATCTGATGTTGTGGATATTAAAACAGACAACAGGTGTAAATTAGAGGCAATTAGCAAGATCACTCCAAAAGGAGGAATGGTTTTGCCATTACCATTTCCCGGTCTACATCCTTGTACTGTATTTTTGGAACACTTTTGCATTTGTCCAGTGTTCTCACCACTAGAGGGCTCATGAGGAGGCATCTACAACCCACAGAAGTTGCTCAGGGAGTAATGCTCATCCAAAATGGCACATCCATTCGTGCTGTTGCAAGAAGGTTTGCTGTGTCTCCCAGCGCAGTGTCCAGAGCATGGAGGAGATACCAGGAGACAGGCCAGTACACCAGGAGACCTGGGGGGGGGCCAACCGAGGTCAACAACCCAGCAGCAGGACCGATATCTGCTCATTTGTGCACAAAGAAACAGAAAAGGCACTGCCCGAGCCCTACAAAATGACCTCCAGAGGGCCACAAATGTGCATGTTGGTACTGAAACAGTCAGAAACCAACTCCAAGAGGGTGGTATGAGGGCCTGACGTCCACAAGTTGGGCCGGTGCTTACTGCCCAACACCGTGCAGCCCGATTGGCATTTGCCCGAGAACACAGCGATTGGCAGATTGGCTAATGGTGCCCTGTGCTCTTCACGGATGAGAGCAGGTTCACCCTGAGCACATGTGACAGACGTGACAGAGTCTGGAGACGCCCTGGAGAACGTTCTGCTGCCTGCAACATTCTCCAGCATGACCGGTTTTGTGGTGGGTCAGTGATGGTCTGGGGAGGCATTTCATTGGAGGGCCGCACAGCCCTCCATGGGCTAGCCAGAGGTTCCCTGACTGGCATTAGTTACCTGGATGAGCTCCTCAGACCTATTGTAAGACCATATGCTGGTGCTGTGGGCCCTGGGTTCCTTCTGATGCATGATAATGCCAGGCCACATGTGACATGTGGGTCAGCAGTTCCTGCATGATGAAGGTATTGATGTTTTGGACTGGCCTGCCCGTTCCCCAGACTTAAATCAAATAGAGCACATCTGGAACATCATGTCTCGGTCCATCCTCATTGCCACGTCGCACCACAGACTGTCCAGGAGCTGACTGATGCTCTAATCCAAATCTGGGAGGGGAAGCCTCAGGAGGACCTCCTTGGCATCATCAGGAGCATGCCCATGCTTTACAGGGAGCGCATTCAGGCACGTGGAGGCCACACACACTACTGAGGATGATACAGACTTGTTTTGAGGAATTTCTACAGAATTTGGATCAACCAGTTACCTCATTTGTCACTTTGATTTTGACTATAATTTTTGATCCTGACCTCCAGGAACTAAGAATTTGATTTCCATTTATCATTCTTATTTCATTTTGTTCTCAACACACTATGAATAAAGATTTTCATCCAAAAAAATCGAATTGATTGACATCGAGGATGTGTTTTTTGAGTGTGCCCTAAGTTTTTGTGAGCAGTGTATAATTATGTTTTCTATAAGAAAATAATAAATATAAAATCACTGCATGTTCCCTTTTCAGATCTAGAGTACGTTACAAGTACATATTTGTTAAAATGTTAATGGGCTTACACAGCGCGCAGTCAGAGGCATGCCGTCCTTGTCCCTCTCGTCGGGGTCCAACATGCCGAGCTGAACAGACAGCTCCCTGCTTTCGTCAGCGATGATGGGGTAAGGCAGAGGGTTCCCTTCTGCATTTCCAAAGGCCATTACATCCTATGAACAATGACAGGAACGTGAATGCATAGTCAGTGTTGTTTTTGTTCTCCTACCACCTTTTTGACCTTTAGGGATCACTACACAAACATAACATATTACTTGAATGAATGCCACCACAAAAAGTGGGTCTTATCCCACTTAAACCTTACTGTCTAGTCTTTACAACAGCAGGGGTAGGTAATTCATTGAATTTATAATCCAGATGTCATTACCTTGTGTCTATTTTCATATAAACCTTCTCTAAAAGTATGTTTGTGAGAAAAATGAATATTGTTGGAGGAAATGGCAATGATTAAAAGTTCATGTTCAGGTAAGTGATATAGGTGTATTGCCATGTCACCTATCCCTATAAAACAGTGTTTGAACTTAGAGGCTATAACATGTAAGTAAGTAAGTAATCTCCATTTATATACCGCCTTTCACAGACCAGAGTCACAAAGCGGTTTACAATTGTTATTTTTGGGCACTTGTCCTCTCACTCCACACAGAGATGGGAACGGGGTGGACATGGGCTCAAACAACACGTTCACACTGAGAATAGAAGGCACGATTCTGGAGAATCACTTTCATTCAGATTTTCAAAGTTCTCGTGTTTTTAAGAGACCAGAGGGATCTTTCGATTATGTAACAATGAGGGTTCAGCCAGTGCAGCTGTTGCATGTGAATCCTAAAAAAATATCTTTGACCGTTGAGTGTACACAGTTAGGACTAATGTTCCAAAAATCTGTCCGTAATACACAGGTCTAACACAGAGCAAACACAAAACAGATTAAGTTCCGAGCGATTCTCCAGTGAATCTCCAGAGGCCCTATAGCCTCGCTCTCATTTCACTATCTTTGTGCTATGGGGCTCACACTGTTAAGTTACACAAGCTTGATGAACAAGCCAATTTGAATTCAAAATGATGTTTTCTATGCAAACCTTGCTCCATTTGTGATGATCTTCCACAGAGTCCAGAGAGAGGGCGATCATCTTGACGCCACGTTTCTGAAACTGGTCTGAGACTTTAGCAGCACAGGCCAACTCTGTGGTGCAGACGGGGGTGAAGTCTTTCGGATGAGAGAACAGAATGCCCCATCTAAACAAGATATGTATAAAGTCATTTGTGTTTGTATGATTGCGCAGAACAACACACACATCTGTTCTGAAGTAGTGTTATATAATTAATAACCAATCTTCCTAATGAACTATTCAGCCACAAGAAAACCCAAGAGAACCCAATGTATTTTAAAGGAGGTTTATCAGTTTTTTGTTAATTCATGGTGTTAATAATATTCGGATGCAATTAATTGTCATTTTAAAGCTTGTCTACGTGTTATGGTGGTGGAAGGGGGCTGCCACCTCTGAGTCTCCATTGAAATGTCATTCATTTGTCATTTATTTACAGGTGTTAATTGGGGAAAAAAGGACTACATTGAAAAAGATCAGTTTAACAACACACTGTGGTATATGTAGAAAAACCATAGCCCCTCTTCAGACATCTTTCGAGCTGAAAGCCTCTCAGTAAACAAAGGAACCACAGTCATCGGACTCACTTGAGGAGCAGATTAGAGCAACGTTTTGGAGTGTAACCAACATGGAACATTCAATGGAATGTTCACAGAATTTTAGGGTTCAAAAGGTTAAAACCAAAAGATCACCACATGCACAAAACCTACCAAAATCTGAAAGTAATACTTTCAGCAAATACTACGTTATATATATTCTTTTTCTTTCCTTCTTTCCTCTCTTTTCCAGTACCTGATTGTAATCGTGGATATAATGTGTATAGTTTGTTCAGATATCCAATTTAAGTGAGAGAGGAAATGTAAATAATAATAATTATAATAATAATTATAATAACAATTATAATAACAATAATGACAATAACAACAGCGACGTGAGGAAGTAAGTAAACAAATAAATAAATATTTGGAAATAAATGATCCTAAATTCATATGTAAATAGTAATAGTAACTGATTTTAACTTATCTATTTGGAGAGGGTGTGCGAGAGTGTATGTATGCGTGCATGTGTGTGCAGTTGTGTATGTACGTCTGTTTATATGTGAAGGATTATAAGAATGTGAGTGGCACTTTTAGTCTCTTTGGTATATTAATTTGTGGTTGTGTTTTGGGATTAAATTGATGTTGAGAAATTATTGGGGTTGATGTCAAAATGACTAATGAATGGTGACCAGGAGTATGTAAAGGAAGTCATGTCATCATCATGGCGAGCTGCTATTTGAGAGGATGTTATGTATTGAGTAAGAGAGTTGGTCCTATGATTGATGTTGATTGTGTGTTTTGTTTTCCAGTTTGAGTATTATTTTCTTGGCGACAGTTAGGGATGTGAGTAGACTGTTCTTATGTCTAGGCAGTATTGTTGTTGTTGAAGTGAGACCTAGTAAACAAAGCGAGGGAAGTAGAGGGACTCTGCAGCTCAGGATGTGTGAGAGTTCCTTGTGTGATAGTGTTCCAAAAAGCCTGTACAGGAGTGCATTCCCAAAGTGCATGTAGGTAGGTATCAGTGGCCCCCATAGTACATTGTGAACCGATGGCTGTATCTGCTAGTCCCATTTTATGCATCCTGTGTTGTGTGATGTGTGACCTGTGTATGACTTTATATTGGATTAATTGCAGATTGGTGTTGGGTGTCATAGAAAAGATGTTTTTACAAGCTTCTGTCCAGTGTTCCTGTGTGAGTTATGTATTAAGATCTATGTTCCATTTTTCTGTAGGTAAATGTATTGTATCAGAGTTGAAATGTCGGTATAATTTTGAGGTGAGTTTTTTAATTTCTTTAATGTTCTTTATGTTTTCGAATAGTTGGGATGGGTTTAATGTGTTATATTTTATGTTAATTTTATTTTTAATTAAAGATTTAATTTAGATTTCGAATATAATTTTGTTTTATTTCTTTCTTTTATGTTTTCATTCTTGTAATTGTATTAAAATGTAATAAAGTTAAAAAAATAAAAAAATAAAAAAATAAAAAGGAATGTCCAGCACACGTAACATATGGGACAGTGTAGTAATTTATTGACAAGCTGTACGAATAAGTTACCATTCAACAGCGCTTGAACTTTTAAACAAACATAGAATTTTGCATGTTCCTTTCAAGTGTTGTGTCAATGTAAAGCACGTCGAGTATTGTTGTGTTGGTAAATTTCTTGTTTGAATTGAGAACGCACATATATTGAGGGTGTACAAATTGGCATCTTACATATTACTAAACTATAGCCACTTATAAATTACTAAACTATAGCCATGGCCATGAATTATTATAGGCTCACAACAGTTTTATGTATACAGCCTATCATCCTCGTCTTGCTTGTGTAACCCATAATACAGGTGCGTGGCAGTCATCACAACATACGTGCACTATCCGTTATTATTATAGATCCCTGGCACTATCACACAATTCAATGCACCCTTCTGTTACTTCTTTATGCAACAGAAAATTACTTTTCATTAATTTCAGAACATGATATAATAGAGTGAACGTGTAAATTTCAGACACTCACGAGTCACCGAGAAAGTCATGGAACTTGATCTTGCCGATAGTGGTGTCGGCCTCAAAGTTTGGAAACACATCTCCGAGCAGAATCCCAGGCATGATGCTCACACTGAAAACACCGAGCCACTCAAGACTGTGACCAAAGGTCTGTGCCTCAAACCAGAGACGATTCAAGAGAGGACTGGCCCCACATGAGAACTACCGTGCAGAACCTTCTTCTTCTTCTTCTTCTGTAACTTTATGGCGGGCTACGAATCAGCATTGACGTATGCCGCCACCTACTGTATCAGAGCGTAATACTCCATGCCTTTGGTACAATGTTACAGTCTATTTATGAATTTTGTTGAATTTAAAAAATAAAACAGTGCCCTCCATGCCTTCTCCTGATTAAGCCCCTCTCCCAAAATACCCTCCATGCTCCACTCCCGCCCTGCTTCTATCACTGAGCCCTTAAAAGCATCCCTTTGCACACTGTACTTTTCACATTTCAACAGCACATGCTCAACTGTCTCACTTACATCACACATGTCACACTTATCTGTAGCAGACTTATTTATTCTAAACAATGTTGAGTTCAGTCCTGTATGTCCGAGCCTTAGGCGGGTAAGTGCTGTATCGTTTCTCCTGTGATAACTGGCAGGTGTTAATCTATAAGCTCTGACACTCTTTTTGATCCCGTACAAATGTCGTCCCTTAACATCATGGTCCCATATCTCCTGCCACACTGCAACAATGCTCTGATTTATTACACTTTTTATCTCTGATCCTCCAAATGGAATTGCAATAATATTCCCGTGCAGAACCACGTGAACAGACCCGGAAAAAGGCGGTGCCAATCATACGGTGTCTTATAGTTTTATTTTTATTTTACTCTTAGAGTAAGTTTAATCAAACAACACGAAAAATAACTTAAAAATACAACTAAAATCATTGGATTTGTTCTTGGTGATAATAAAACTCGATTACCCAGAGTGCTTTGCGGGTAGAACAACAAAGATGGCAGTTCATTGCGGAACAGGTAGACGTGAGATGAATGTTCGGTTCTTGAAATAAGTACAGGACCAGCAGTCCGCACAGCAGTGCACTTAAACACGTCGTAATTGACAGTGAGTGACTATAGTCCTATTGCCAGCTGAACATGCCGTCTCCTAAAAGCAAGCCCCCGGGTCGCAGTGGGGCCAGTCCGGTGGTCACAGGCTCTGACCGCTTTGACTTCGCGTCTATGAACAAGTCCCTGCTGCAGCGGCAGGGCTCGGACCCCACCACAGCCAGACTCAGAGCATCCGAGAGCCCTACACGACGCAGGGGTTCCAGCTCCTCCACCGGCTCCGCCAGCGGACAGGGGCCCGAGGAGGATGGCATCCGGGTGAACCCATCCTTCCTGCGGGTAGCGCTCAGCTCCCTTCTCGCCATCGACCTGTGGATGTCCAAGCGGCTAGGGGTGTGCTCCTGTGAAGACTCGTCCTGGGGCAGCGTTCGGCCCCTGATGAAGCTGATAGAGATATCCGGACATGGCATCCCTTGGCTGGCGGGGACCGCGTACTGCATGTATAAAAGCGACAGTGCAGCAGGACAAGAAGTCATCCTCAACCTGTTCATGGGTAGGTATTATTCAGCCTACGTGTGTCCTCAGCACCAAGGAGATTTCTTTATTATTATTGTTTGGGGATAAACCATCCAAACAAATGCCGAAGTATTGACAACTGAAGCTTCACATCTATGCCACTCGATGGCGCTATTCTATGAGTCTTCCCCCTCAAGTTTAGGTACAGAACTCTGAATATCCACATCAGTGTTTGTCCTGTCCATGTCCTGTTTAAGTTTTATTATCTGCATCATATTAAAGTGTCAAAGGTTTGTAGTCTACGTCTGTATCCAGTTTGTATGGGCTGATGAGATATGAGTAGCTGAGTACAATATAAGTAGCTGCTATGTTTCTTGGATAGCTGCAAATTCTTCAATATGAATATGTCTAAATCTATCTACATAATATACACCCTCTAATGCCCGGTCGGTAAACAGCTGCAACGGGTCCATTGCTAAGCTCACTGTGGAGTGGAGGTGTCCCAGGATTAGCCTCTACAGTTTCTTCGTCAGGTGGGATGTCAGATGAAGACACTATGTCTATAAATGAATAATAGATGGCCAGAAGACCCCTTAGATTTGAGAATTGAATCACAGCATTCAAAAGAAATGAAAAAACAATGCTCAACTCAAAATGCAAACTAAAACTAGAACTACACTCTGCAGCGGGGTTGCGGCCATCAGTCCAGTCTTTTGCTCTTAAAAGAACAGGTAAAATATTGATATCAGGTCACACAAGGCAACCAGTTGGGCCTGTATCGTTCGAGAGAAAACAAAAAGGAACAGGGCAAGAATCAACCTGTGACAACCTGACATACAGTATTGTGTTTTGAATAACAAATGCAATTTGCCTCACCCAATTCTACTGTGCATCAAAAAGCTTTAGGAATTTAATCCTGTTGTAGCTGGCCCGCCCTGAAAATGTTAATTTAAACTATTAGATAAGGAAACCTTTTATTTGTGTCATAGTTGCCCAACACCATCCCCCAATCCAATGCCAGGTCAGTCGACAAAACTGCAGCGGGTCCATTGCTGAGTGGAGCGGAAATGGCCCAGGACCAGCCTCTCCAGTGTCTGAGCCACAGGCCTGAAGTCTCTACTGTCTGAGGTGTGGTGACTTTGGGACTGGTATTACCAGTATCACTCCAGGGTTTGTCTGTGCATGAGAAAAGAAGCCTGGAGCTGATGTGTACTGGTTCTGGTCTAGTCTCCATCCTCACCTCAGCAGCTGTGAAGGACAGGGACGGGCAAGGGGACTGTGTGGTGGGGTTCAGGATGAGTCCATGAGTCGGACGGGGCAATGACTGAGGTGTGAACAGGGATGGTTTTCAGGCGTTGCCGCACCTCATTCACTTTCTGCCCATTCTGTCGAGCTGTTCCTCCATCCACCTACATGTCAGATCCTGAGACCTCTGAACAGGGCATGGTTAGGGCAGTGCATGGTTAGGACTGAGATGGGAGACCTCAGGGAACAACAGTTGCCATTGTGGGGCTGCGGCTATAAAGTTCCAAACTATTGTTGTGTCCTTGGAAAGACACTTCTCCCTCTTTGCCTATTGTCTGGTGTGTGCATGAATGATTGGTGTTGCTTGTAGGGGCAAATAGCATACACTGGTTGACTCGTTTATGTCAATCTACCCCAGGGTGGCTGTGGCTACTCTATCAGTTTAGAACAGTGCATGGAGTGAGTGAATAACCTTTTGAGTGTTCAAATAACAGATGTATTATTATCTTCCTCTTGTGTCGTGCCTTCAGTACCCTGATGATGTGTCTCACTGCTTGTTTGACCTACTTTTCTGTGTCTCTGTAGGTTTGCTCTTGGACCTGGTTTTGGTGGCTATTGTGAAGGCTGTTGTGCGGCGGCGGCGCCCATCTCATAATCGAATGGATATGTTTGCGACATTTTCCGTCGACCGGTATTCCTTTCCCTCAGGCCACGCCACTCGGGCTGCGATGTGTGGCCGCTTCCTGTTGGCCCACCTGGTGTTGGCTGCTCCTTTGAGGGTCCTGGTTCAGCTCTGGGTCGGGATCGTGGGTCTAAGCAGAGTGATGCTGGGAAGACACAATGTTACTGATGTGATGTTCGGCTTCTGGATGGGATACTGCCAATACAACCTGATCGAGATGTTGTGGATCTCACCACAGACACTGCAAGGGCTGCTGGGCTTTGTGTTTTGATATTTGCACCAATATCTATGTGAGGTTAAATTATGATTGTACAGTTTAAAAGAAAGGAAAATGGAAAGGCTCAGATGACTTGTTGCTGGTGGCATTAGTGGCTTCTTAAGATAATTTAAAGCTACTTGCAGAGTCATGAAGATAGTACCTTAATCGTGACCAAGCCTTTAAATAAATTGTTGCCAAGTGAACTTTGATGCATGCCAAAAATGTCAGGACTAAATCGGTGTAAGTGTGACTACATCCTTCATTGTTAATCTTTGAAGAGTATGCCTCCGGGTGCACCTTGCATCCTGCTACATGGCAGAAAACTTCAAGGAAACATCTTATATTTTTACAAGATTTCACTCACTTTTATATTTAGATGACCATGCAACAATAACATTCCTAATAGTTTAATATTTGTGAATACAAACTGTGAATTTCTACAATGAGAGAAAATAGTTCTAACTGCTTTAATTAGTTTCATTTCAGATTTTTATCATTTTAAAATTGATCCGTAATAAGAGAACCAACAGTGCTGATACTGCAACAAAATGTTTGCTTTTTTATGAAGCTAAATTGAGTTGTTTTTTAGGGTTGGAAAATCTGCTTTGGTTAGTAATGATTTTTGCATATTCTGATATTCTGAAGGATGGATTGGTGCAGCATGTGCAGTGATGCGACCGCTGTATCGGACTGGGGTGAAGAACGAGTTCAGTCACAAAGCAAAGCTCTCTATTTACTGTCATTCCACGTTCCGACCCTCACGTATTGTCATGAGCTTTAGGTCGGACAAAATCACAGACACGAGTGGTGTAAATGAGATTCCTCCACAGAGCGGCTGGACGCTCCATTAGAGATGGGATGAAGATCTTAGTCACACAAGAGGAGCTCTGAGTAGAGCCGCCTCTTCATACGTTTAGATGTACTGTACCTCCCTCAGAGCAGTTTTCTATTCAATAATAGCATATTTTACACAATTATTTTGCCCATATTTGAATTAATAATATTGTTTTGATTCTATATGGATTATTGTCTCCTAGGACTGTAACACATGAAGCAATTAATCACAACTCTTCAATTCTAAATTAGTACTATTTCAATAATTCGTCTTTTTTTTTTTAACCTTACATTGTCGTAACCATTCTGAAAAGACATTTTATGACAGATAATTCTATAATGACCGCAGAATGGAATTAAATGTGTTAATAAAGTATCTGGTTCTCTCTGATGTTCTCCAGGGGCATAATGTATAAAAAATCCCACATTCTCTCAACTTTTGCGATCCAAAACTAATTGATCAATTAAAGGAATAATTGTCCCACTAATCTATTATCAAAATAATTGTTAATTGCAAGGCATTAACAGTATACAACAGCTTTGTTAAAGCAGTTTATACATGACTTAAGCCTGGCATCAGTTTAGTATGTAATTTAACAGGTGCCATTCTACTCTGTAGAACTCATGAGATCATTTCAGGTTAAAAAATGTGCTCCACATTTGCACACTGGCATTAGCATTACATTTGTGATTTATACCTGAAGAGATGTGGGCTAGAATGCTGGGTAATGATAATTTCTGTTTTTTGTCTGATAAGCTGATGAGTAGATGGGGAATGTAAAAATGTTTCATTCATTATTGAACATTACATATACGAGTGCAGAGAAGTCTCACTTTCTCCTTTGTTGTGTTGTTCTCCTGATTGGATTTATTTCAATTAGAATTATATCAAAGATAAGCTCTTAGGACAGTTTTGGTAAATGGTCAGGGTACATTGTGTTGGAGAGGCGATGGTGTCTTTTCATAGTGTTTTGTAATCTGAGTTTCTATTTGCTCAAACCCTTTCTGACATGGATTCTGGGCCACCATTGACAATTACCTTGCATGTCCCTCACCACATGATCAGTATTGTTCCACCAGGAAACATAATGTAAATTTAGAACACAGTGCAGTGTTTAATTATGCTTGTTTTAGGGTTAACATATATAGGTTTCAGGTGTTGGGAAAGTTTAGCTGTCATTGAAAACAAATGTCATGTTTTAAAAAGTAAATAATCTTCAAGGTGGTGACTCCTCCCCTTTAGGGCCAGGACTTCCCTTAAAAATCACAGTGGAACCTTGTTAAAGTTGTATAAGTTTACAAACAGGTACAAATAAATAAATAAACACTTTTTGACCTGTTTTTGATCAAACTGATTTTTTTAACTCAAAAGATGTCATTTGATTTGTATAGCTTATAGGATTGTTCTCACTTGTGAAACCCATAATTACTTTCTTATATTTATGATTTTCAGGGTCTGTATCAAATATGAACATTGTATTTATGTTTAATTGCTATCATTTATGAAGTGCTATACCAGAGTAAATACAACAGCTGTGTTGCCAGTCTGCTGGACTTTTTGCACATTCTCTTGAATAATTATTTATATAATCAATCTTGCCTGCTGTTGTTTTCATTGTACGTTTTTACATCTATAGACTGTGACTATACTGTGTTGCTTTCAGAAATCAGACATTTTCATTAAATGGAGAATCATTTCCAACATGGTTATTCTGCTTTATTTTGTATAAAAGCGTGGATGTTGCTGCAGCATAAAACATTTTACTTTTTGATGTTATGCCACCTGCGTTGATGAGGTTTGGCCGTAGTGAAAGTATGACCGGACATAGGCCTGAGAGCAGCGACGACATGGGGGGCCTCTGGAAGTTCCGGGCAAGTGGAAATACTGTACATATTAGATGCCCAATTATGAGCCTAAAGATCATGCCAACTGTTATAATATTGTTTACAGGAGGTTTCAGAACCAAAGAGAGCCAGTATCTACCGCTCGTACTATCAATATCTCCAAAGAAATGATTCAGCTTCAGTGAGCTATTTCTGCTGACTACCCAAAACACATGCATCACTCTAACATATTTCATTATTTCAGGATGTACACAGAACATTTTCATTTATTGCAACATGTTCACTCATCATTCCCTTGATATTGATTTATGATGTACAATGTTTTAGTCAGAGACTGGAATTTGAACAGGACAGTGGGAAGTTGTCATAGAGACCAAAGATGGACAAGAGGAGAGGCATGTTTTTGATGCAGTTTTATGTTGCTCTGGTCACTACTCATGTCCCAACATCCCACTATAAGACTTTCCAGGTAACACTTACACTACACAAAACAACTTTTGATTATTTATTTGGTCATATATCCACTGTTGTAAATACATACAATCGTATAAACAAAAAATTGTAGCGAAGAATAGCTCAACCTATCTTTATCAATATCATTATCATTGTTGTTATTATTATTATTATAGAGTAGATTTTCATTGTGGTCTCAGCAGAACGTGTTTGTCTCTTCTGTTTTAAACAGCCATTGAGACGATTGAGGGCAAGTACCTCCACAGCCGGGATTCCAAAGGCCCAGAAGGCATGGAGGGAAGAGGGTGGTGGTGATCGGGGACTCTGGAGGAGACGTCGCAGTGGAGGCCGATTTGCAGAGCAGCTTGTTTATTATCAATTTTTGACAAACTGTATTTTCTGTTGTCAATTGTCATATAGTTTAATGTTTTGCCTTGTATGAGTGTGGTGTGTGTATGAACGATTGGTGGTGGTCAGAGGGGCCAATGACTTAGATTAGGAGCCTCTCCTCCAACAGTCTGCTCCAAGGCAGCTGTGGCTTCCCTAATAATTTTTCACCAAGCGAATGCCACGAAAAATATTTTATTAAGTGCTCCAAAGTGGCTTTATTTTTAGGATACATTATTATTTTAATTGAGGTGGGTTCTGTTAATAGATAGGTAGATAAATAAATATTTATTGATCCCAGTATGGGAAAAATTCAGAATTCTGGCAGCACCCAAACATCCACCCAAACATCAATATATACATATCTAAAAGTTACTAACTATAGTAATAAAGTGCTGGATCTGTTGTACAGTTTAAATTGTTCACTTTTCTGTTAAGGAAAAATAACAACAAATTCAATGGGGATTATACTATTTTATTTAAAAAATATATATGAAAAGATAAAGATAAAACAATAATTTGTTTTAAATATACAGTAACTATATATATTCACTTATTTGTACAATACATGAGCCTCAAATCATAAGTTACAGACTTGTTTTGTATCATTTGTCTTTGCAGTTGCATACAGTAGTTTCAAAGCTGACGGCCCTGCAGGTGGATTTGGTCTCCTACATGGACGATCTGGCTGAGGAGATTGGAGTGAGGCCAAGTCGGCTGTGGCTCTTCTTCACAGACTACCCTCTGTTCAAGAGGGTCCTGTCACTGCATATCAGATCGCATGTCCCAGGCTCTCAAGACGAGAACGGTGCACATAGGATATTGGAAGCAAAGGGATTATGCTGTGAGAGGAATAATAAGTATGACCTCTAAAAGCTCGAGCCCCTACCTTTTAAATCACACAAATGAATATATAACCTACGTAGTTCCTATCCTCTAACAGCATGTTGTGGTCTGATTTGTTCACAACATTTTACTTGAATATGACTCTTTCTTTTGGGATAAGAAAAAAAAAGCATTTATGAAATTAAAAAATAAACGTTAGAATCTCCAGCTTGGCAATCAATCTAATCTAATCTAATTTCTGACGTGACATTGTTTTCAGAGGTTGAAGACGAGTCCAATGCATCCTCCACTGGACGATGGTTGAAACTGATGGTTGCTATGACAGCCGGAGGAGCTGCTCTGTATTTCCTCCACGACCGCAGCCCAGACACCATTTCCAGTCTGATGTCTAAGATCCGGCTAATAACCACATGACTTCTTTGTTCTTGTTGAAGTTTTTCATGAAGTGTAATCATCACAAATGTTTCATAATTGTTCCTCAGATTATATTCATGTGATGTTTCAACCCACTTAAGCCCACATTTTTCTACACATGAAAGTAATCAGGTGTCATTTGACATAATCACTAACTTTATATCTTTTTTTTATTGATGGAAAGTGGGTGAAAAAGTCATTGTTATGATTGATTACAATTGACCTGTGGGATAATATATGTTGAAAGTGCATTTTTGTTAGTAACAATAACCTATTTTTTAGACACTCCAACAGGCTTCACATGGCTTTGAAACATTTCTAATGACTGCTGAGTGACTGCCCTAATGATTAAATAATCTGCTCTCAGTATAAATACAGATGTTCTCATCAACATCATGAGGCCAAGGAGCCCACCAGAAAGGTCAGGGGTTAAGTTGTTGAGAATTTCAAAGCAGCGTCAAGTTACACCTCACAGACCAGTTTCAAATATGGTGAGGGGGCATCGTATTATGGGGCTGCTTTTCTTCAGCGGGGACTGGAAAGATCGTAAAAATAGCTGGGAAGATGGATGGAGCCAAATACAGCCACCTTTTGGAGGAAAACCTGCTGGAGTCAGCAAGAGAAGTGAGGGTGGAGCAAGGATTCACCTTCCAGCAGGACAATGACCCTAAACACAACATGATGTCCATGTTTAAGATTACTCTGTGAACACATAAAACCAGTTTGAGTCATTTCAAATGCAATTATCATTACTAGACACCGTAAACATCAATGTTCAGTATGTCCTATGTTTATGTGAACATACTTTTGTGTTTTGGAGCTTTCTGTCTCTTATCTTCCTCTGGAGGTGCAATATTTACAATGTGTGCTTCCAGAAAGTAAGCTCTGGTCATGTGACAATTTACCATAAAAAATGTGAAACTGGATGATGATGAAGATGATGATGAAGAAGAATTGTGTAGGGACCAAAATTCCATGCAGTAATTTATGACAAATTTAACTGCATGATCAACTCTGGAAATACATTTGTTTAGTAAAAAATAATGTGGCATCAGGGAGCAGTAATCTGAGTCTGCCCTCTGGTGATAACACGTCTCAGATCAGGCCATAGACTGTGTATCAGACATGAATTTCTCGCTCAGCTGGACTCCTCCACTGCTCTGAATCTGGGCTAAGAGTCAAGTTTAATCGTGTCAATCTTCTCAAGCGGCTCGTGAAAACTTGGCTTATCTGTTACAAGTTTGAAGAAGATGACAAAGTCTGGGATTGTGTCTTTAATTCAGACAGAAGGCATTTAGAAGAGCACGAACAAAGTTACAGAATGCAAGTGATATTATATACAGCATGGAGGAATGGAGACTGTCCAAACAGCATTCGTCACAGTGCAGCCAGCTCCGGCCTTGAGATAACCAAAACAAGTAGTGGAAAAATGCTGCTTTGTGCATATTATTATAATGATGAGTTTAACTTTAACCACAGTTGCTTCAAAGTGTCATGAAATATCCAAACGTGTACTGTTTTTTTATATATATATTTTATATGAAGACATGAAACAAGTGAACTGATTAACAAAATTAGACCAAGATAACACACATTGCCTTTTTAGGTTTTGTATATAACATAATACAATGATTTATTTTAAAGAGCGAGAGTTCAGTTATGTGAACTTCTCTTATTTTGCCACTAGAGGTCTCCCTTCAACAAATATTCACAAGAGTCTGGGAAAAGACTGGGGGAGAGACTGGGAGAGAGTCTGGGCCTGGGGAGAGACTGGGGGAGAGACTGGGAGAAAGTCTGGGGGAGAGACTGGGGGAGAGACTGGGAGAAAGACTGGGGGAGAGACTCGGGGAGAGTCTGGGGGAGAGACTGGGAGAAAGTCTGGGGGAGAGACTCGGGGAGAGACTGGGGGAGAGCATAGCCTGTAAATGGTGAGAGTCTGGAGCATTTATTTATTTATTCATTTATTTATTTATTTAAGTAGGGATAGTACATATTAATGAACATATAAAATATGTAAATATGTCAGATTTTAGCCATAGGCTAATTTCCATCTGTTGTCCCTAGACAGGCTGATGTGAAACTTCACATTGAACATTTAACAATGACACAAAAGAAAGTCACAAGACAGTACAGGAACAGAACGACTGCAGGACAAGGAACAATGGGACCACAAGATACACATTCAAATATACTGTACAAAGAACATTAGGGATCTCAGGCAAATACAATGACAAAAGACTGGACACGACAGAGGACAGGGAGGACAGGGAAGGGTGAGGCAGAAAATGGGAGCGAAGGCGGTTCACTTCCACAAACCCAGGGGAAGACTTAATTAATTAATTGCTACGGATTTATAAAAATCTAAAATTTCATTACGTTGTTTTTTTTTTTTTTTTTTTTTTTTTAATGCTGTGGTGCCCTAAGGTACGTTTTGCTTAAAATGTTATCGATTATGTTGACAGGTTTGTGTTGATCTGAGCCATTCCTTTGAAGCTCACCGCACACCGAAACGCAGCGCCTCGCGGCGCGTCATTTGACGCGCGTTCATGACATGTGTCAAATTACACCGGAACGCCTTGGCTAGCGTCCTTTTCCAGCTGATCGCAGATGAAATGGGTGAGTGACGTTTGGAAGTTTCTACTAATATTTTGGGGGAGGAAACAAAGTATTTACGTGAAATTATGCTGGCAAATATTACAAGAAAAGACTATTTGGACTCATTTTTTAAACAGGCTAATAACTAGCTCTGGGTAACGCTGTACTTGGGTTATCAAGCTTTCCTCGTCCATTGTGACCGGTTTACTTGAGCAATAGCGCCGACAAGTGTGTAAATTTGAGACCGCGCTCACAGCTACGTGATAAGAAGCGCAGAAGAAGAAAACTACGGGTGCTTGGAGGGACAGTTTCAGCCGCGGCGCCGCGTCTGGATTCAACAAAACTGAATCGTGGCGCCCGGTCCAGCGTCGCCGCGCGTCACTGCAACCTTGGTGTGCGTTCTCTCATAGAAAATAAAGGAGGCGGCTCTTTTGCCGCGCGTCAAGGCGTTTCGGTGTGCGTTGGGCTTAAGTGATTTTTAAATGATTTGAAGCTGATTGCCTCCCTCACAGTGGTTGGTAGTTTGTTCCACTGGACACTGCCTTTATAGGACAGGACATTTTGACCAAAAGAGGTTTTCCTCACAGGAACCTCACAGTCGCCTCTGCTCATGGACCGAGTTGTTCTCGAGGCACTTGTTCTGTATTTAAAATATCTTGTTAGGGGTGGTGGAGCCAACCCATGTAAGCTTTTATAAATTAGACAACAGTTTTTGAATGTTATGAAATGTTCAAAGCTCAATAAATTATATTTGGAGAGGATATTACAATGGTGGTAACCAAATGGTTTTTTATCAAGGATTTTCAGTGCCTTTTTATAAAGTTTTTCAATTGGTTTAAGAATCGTTACACCTGTCAGAGACCAACTAGTTATACAGTAGCTTACGTGCGAAAAGATCATACTATGTAAAAACATCATAGCAGCTTGATCAGTCATTGACCTGCGTATTTGGTTGAAGTTGGACACATTAAATCTAATTATTTTTTATATCATTTTAACATGATTTTTAAAGGACAGCGTAGAATCTAACAAAAACACCATGGATCTATGGAGCAAAGTCCATCCTTCTGCGTTGCGCACTGTCCACTTCCTGGTTCAGGAGTTCAGGTGAGTCTCGGAAACAACATGGCGGTGTGTAGTTATCATGGATCTATTGTTATCTAAACGATTTTTCAAAGTGCAACAAATGGAGCGAGAATACTACGGCGGTCTCCAAACACACGTCCCTCAAAGTGCCATGTGATTAGTTGTTATGCAGAGAACATATCACATGGTTAGCAGTGCAGGTTCATGTCCTGCCAGTAATTGAGTCGACTAAAAGGGGGCGTGGAAACAGCTGTGTCTGGTCCAGATGTTTATCAGTGGTCTAATTCTCATCCAAACTGTAGACAAAAGACAAAAAGCACTGTAATGATCTGGCACTTGTTATTGAAACTATTCTTGTTGATTTGTTTCACAGTGACAATTGTTTCCTGCTCTATTTTAGCTTGTTTTGTTTTATGTACTTGGTCTGGTGCACACTGGAGGACTTTTGTATTCTGTGTATTTGCATTCTGTAAATAGCAAATAAACCTCATCTGAATCTGAGGAGGACATTCATTCACACAAAATGCAAATATGTGTGCTTTTAGAAATGTTGTTTGGTTGGTGATTATCAAAAGTGTGTTTTTGTGTTTTCAGAAGTGTTGCTGGTGCTTATTCCCTAAAAGATGGTCTGGCGGGTAGCAGTGATCGGGGCAGGCAGCTCTGGTTTGGTTTGTACTAAAGTCTGTGTGGAGGAAGGGCTGGAGCCTGTCTGCTTTGAGAGCAGTGATGATATTGGAGGACTGTGGAACTTCAAGGTTAGCCAGTTTTTCTGTACCCTACTTTGTAAATGCAACTTATCAGCTTGTTGACTTCACTTTGTTCTTCCCATAGGAGCTTCCACAGCCTGAGCGCTCCAGTATCTACCGTTCCCTAGTGGTGAACACATCCAAAGAGATGATGTGTTTCAGTGACTTCCCGATGCCAGAGGATTATCCAAACTACATGCATCACTCCCTCCTCCTGCAGTACTTCAGACTGTACGCAGAACACTTCCAGCTGCTCAAGTACATACGCTTCAAGGTACACCACTGACCCTGGCTGATCAGAGTCACACGCTTTTGTTGATTTTCATTGTCACTGAACAAACAATTTCTGGAAATGGTACTGTAGTGTAGTGTAGAAGTTGGTACATTTGGAGACATTACTTCTGACATAATAAAATAACCAGTTGAACAAAGACATCCGTCACTTGACTTTCAAATGTTATCTCTTCTCACTAAGAGGACATTTTGTGTGAGTATAGGTCATCTGAAGAGTTAAACATTAAATACCCATAAAATCCGATACTGCTGTGATTTGCATGTTTTGGTTTTCTTTGTTTTGCTTTTTTTAACATAAAGTTTGCTTGATTTTGTCTAAATTGTGTTTAAGACCACAGTAAAGCGTGTGGTGCAGAGACCAGACTTTCCAGTCAGCGGTCAGTGGAGCGTAGAGACCGTGAACCAGCAAGGAGAAGAGGAGCACCACGTTTTTGATGCAGTGATGGTGTGCTCCGGCCAGTACACACACCCTCACCGGCCCATCTCTGAGTATTCTGGTAAGAGCCATTCATATGTTTTTGGAAATCATCCCTGGCTTCAACACACATGCCCGTTTCCAGTAAGGTTTCCACGAGAGCTGTGCCACAAATCAAAAGATAGAATACATTGAATCCAAGTTTTGTAATTCACATTTATTAATTAATTATATGTTTATTTTATAGGGACAGAACAAGAAGCATAGTTACAAATAACCGATGCCATGATCAGAGGCTGTATGGCTAACAGCTAATTCGCAGACCTGATCCCTAAAGACATTAAGTGACATCGCATTTATAGATCATTATAAAAACAGAGATTACACAGTACAAAAGAATCACAATAGAATATTACAGTCTTGCCTTGTGCTCACAAATATGGTTCCTTGTGAGCCATTGTTTAACTTTGGCTCACTCATTTAGGTCTGTTAAAGATTTGAATTCTGCATTTTAATTGTGGACATGATAATACACTACATACTATAATTACATTTTGAATCATTGTAGTCCTATCACACAAATGAAAAGGAGCAGGCATAAGAAAAAAAAATCTTATGTTCCCTTTCTCTTTCTTAATCATGTACAACAGAACTTTTTTAAACATGGACTTCCTTCTTAAAAGTGATTTTGATTGGATTTGTTTTTTTTTTATTCAGGCAACTAATTTAGAGACTAGAATTTAAATCGAAAGACCTCACCTCACCCACAGCTAGTTGATGTTGGAGGTAGATAATATTGTTTTTGTCACAACAGATGTGTTCATGTTTCTGTCATCACATATAGTTTGTTTTTTGCTTTGAGTCTATTGTGTATATTTGTATTTAATAGGAAATATAGATCGGCCCATATGGGTAAAGAGCCCAGCTTTAGTTTCAACCTGTGCTTTTTACATCATTTTGATTGTCATACATGTGCGATCTCTTCAGGCTTGGAGACCTTCACTGGGCAGCACTTGCACAGCTGGGAGTTCAAAGATGCAGAAAGCTACAAAGGGAAGAGGGTCCTGGTGATGGGAATCGGAAACTCAGGGGGCGACATTGCTGTGGAGATCAGCAGATTTGCAGAAAAGGTGGTATTTCATTGTTGCTAATTGAACGTCACTGATTTGTATGTTTTTCAGTATTTACACAAATATACAACACTATGGAATTAGCATTTTAGTGTATTATTATTATGCATCCATATTCTTTTCTTATAATTATGTTTTAGTTTGAATTATTTATTTCACTTGTCTTGAATAGTGGTGTATTGAGCAGGACAGGAAAAAGAGTAAATGCCAGAGAACATTATGTTATTGAGCAAAGGTGTATGACCGATGTGCGCTTTTTTCAGACTTTTCTCAGCACACGAAAAGGGGCCTGGGTGATTGGAAGGATGTCAAACTGTGGGCTTCCTTTAGACATGACTGGCATCAACAGGTTTTATAACACTCTCATGGGGCTGCTTCCCTCTCGTCTGATCAGCTGGATCACAGAGAGAGCCATTAACCACAAATATGACCACAGGCTGTACCGGCTACGGCCTAAGCACCGGTGAGCTTTGATTTGGAAGGTATCATTGTTATTTTTAGTATTAAAGCCACAGTAGTTACGATTTAGTAAGGTTTTTCTTTTTTTTTAAGCTGGGGTACCTAACATTTTTTGTTCATGAATGATACAGGTTGTTTTCCTAACAGAATGGGTCTTGTAAAAGTACAATTTTGAGAATATTGCAGACCTGCTGTCTTCATCCAGAAATGTAGTTTTTCTTTTGCATGCATGGAGGAAAGGGCCCCGAGTTATGAGTCACTATGGTCCTCTCTTTTCCACTTTTCTACTCTTCTTCTGTGCTACCTGAAAAAGCTGACCAAAAGATGTGAAAGAGGACCTAACTATATGCATCTGAAAACTATTGATAAATGTAATAGAACTGTTTTGAAAGCGAGGACCTTCAGTATTTGGAACTAAATTTGGAGATGGATTTTATATATTTATTCTTATCACACCTTTTTTATGGATGTAATGTTTGGTACCTCATCTTTAATGTGCATATGAATAACATGGTTAGCTGTTTTTGAAAAACATATTTCATTATTTAATTCTAGTTGTATGTTTATTACTTCCTGATTGGAATGTAGATCAAGACGTCAAGGGTTGTTACCTGGAAAGAATAAGAATATACTTTTACGTAGAGTGTCATAAGTTGTCCCAAATTTTCAGATGAACATAGAATCTTATTTTGCATGATTTCTGCTCATTTTCCTGTAAATTTCAATTTATTTTGTACATGTTTCTTCACAACTGTAACTTTAAGGCCACCCAAAATCATTGACACATGCTCTATTTGTTTGTATTAGAGCTTTTGAGAGGAGACCAGTGATAAATGACGAACTCCCTTATCGAATCCTACTTGGAGAAGTGGTGATGAAGCCGAATATCAAAGGATTTAACAAGTCTAAAGTTGTCTTTGAGGATGATACAAAAGAGGAAATTGACATTGTGCTCTACTGCACTGGGTACATTACAAAGTTTCCCTTCTTGCCCCCATCTCTGTCTCAGGGACCCAAAGGAGAGCTGTCGTTGTACAAGTAAGCACAAACCTAAACTGTATATTTAAGCAACTAGTAACTACATATACATACCATTTTGCATTCAGGAGACTGTTTCCTCCATCTTTGCAACAACCTACTCTGGCTGTTATGGGCGTTTTCCAAACAAAAGGGCCAATCATGCCTGTAGTGGAAATGCAGGCTCGATGGTCTGCGGCAGTTTTCAAAGGTTATTTCAGCAAAATTGAAAACATGATTCATTATAAATACACTTCAAAGTATGTTTTCTTCAGGTTTGGACATCCTCCCTTCAAACGACATAATGCTAGGTGTCATTGAGGCAGAGAGAAAGAGGAGCATGGAAAGGTGATGAACAATATACTGCAGAAAACTATTGTGAAAAATGATACTACTGGAAGATAATGTTGATAACCCTAACTGCAGGAAAATCGCAGTAAAGTATTATTTTTCCCTATTTTTCCATTTCACTAAAAATACGAGATAAGACAATGGCAGCATTAAGTCCTATTGATGTGTTATGACTCAGCTGCATTGTTTCACACAGAAAAGTCTTTCCACTGTTGCCAAGAAAATGTGCAGACAATAATAATGAATTTCTATTATGTACATGTTCATCAGTTATTATTAAGTCGATACAGTCATTATTGTGACAGGCCTGAATGTAAAAGTAATGTATTATAATAATATCAAATAGGTTGAATAGAAACTCATTAACAAAACATTAGAAAATTGAGCACCCAAAAAAGTATAATAATTGACCAATACTGAGTCCTTAACCATGAGAGTAAATTGTTGACTCACAGTTTATTCGATGGATTTAGAAGAATAATATTTAGAAAGGGAACCTGCAAATGTTGAGCCCAAACATGTGGCTCTGCTTTTGTCTGTTCCCTACATTTTATGGTTGTAGAGGTTGTTTCCGGTAACTCAAAGTGGTGTGATAGTGTGTGTGTTTATGCTTTGTGTTGGTCCAGTTACCCTTGCCCGCTGCAGGCCTCTTTACAGGTGGATTACATCTCTTATCTGGATTTTATGGCTGAGAAAGTGAGTCGTGTTCTGCCTTCGAAATTGTATTCATTATACTCTATCCATAGATGATGAGAATAATTCATGAAGAAACCTAGAGAATCCAAAAGAGATGAATAATTTGTATCAATGTAAAACTATGAACCTATGACTGATTTACCGGTAACTTGTTAACCTAAAAAGAATCCTGTGAAAATGTTCTAAGAATGGTTGATAGATAAACTGTTTTTGTCATGGCTGTTTATATAAATTCTTCTTTGACATGGCTCTATACAATAATCGCAAAAAGGATAGGCAATATTAAAAACACTGTAAGTACATATTTTTATAAACAAATAAAAGTAGCTCTGTAGAGGCTAGTTTTTACAATCATACGAAAGATAAAAACATTTCCAATAATATAAAGACGAATTTAAATGCATCCTTTATGAAACAAAATATTACAATATTAAAGTATGCATCAATCACCTTTGAAGGAATCACTGTATGGATGCGCCATGGGAATGTTGCAATACTTTTGTCATGTGTTGATTCCTTCTTTTCCCCCAGATACGGGTGAAACCTCACTTCTTGGGTCTTTTCCTCCAAGACCCCGTTCTGTGGGTAAAGGTGTTCTTTGGCCCCTGTACTCCATACCAGTTTCGCCTGAGTGGTCCGGGGCAGTGGTCAGGGGCCCGCCAGGCTGTCCTCTCCCAGTGGGACCGTGTGGATCGGCCCTTCAGCACCAGAGAGGTCCCAGAGCTGCATGACCAGGGCTCAGTGTGGTCCACCATCTGGTTATTAGCATTAGGCGGCACTTTGCTAATGCTCTTGTGCATTGTAACATCATAGACAATACTGCGCTATGGTCTTAACTTTTAACTTCAATTTGGAAGTCTGAGTAATTTATTTGAATCAAGTTTTAATGATTGTGATATTTTTCTCAATTTTTTAAATAACTAAAATTATACAGTATTTTTTAATAAAATAAAATAATGTTCTTGCTTTTACCAGCGTCTCATCTACTTTCAATACCCTCTCATTACCACTAGTATTCCTACGCTATGGTCTTGCAAGCTGATGTAATCATTCTATTATTACAAAATGTGAGGCAAAGGTGACAATGACCTCTTTCACAGCTTGACAAATGATGACTGATTCTACTCTCTTAAGTTATTGGCAAACTTTGGCCCCGCTCCCATCTCTGTGTGGAGTGAGAGATAAATGCCCAAAATTAACAATTGTAAACCGCTTTGAGACTCAGATCTGCAGTGAAAAGGCGGTATATAAATAAAAACTTACTTACTTACTTACTTACTTTGTGGCCCACCTACACATGACAGGCTGATCTTCTCAGACAGATAAGCAGGACAGCACCTGGTTAGTACTGTGATAAGAAACTTTTGGAAACACTAGATGCTACAATGGAGCTGCTGTTAAGTGTTGTGTCCTTAGGCAAGACCATTGACCCGCAGTGACTAGTATGGGTCTGGTCAGGGTGTATAATAATTGGTGGTGGTCGAAAGGGGCCAATTGCACAGTTAGTTGCCTTGCTTCTGACAAGACCACAGTAGTTTATCACCACTGGTTATGGAGTAACTGAACAATGTTATGAGAAGTGTTTTGCATGTCCAAAAAAGTGCCATATAAACTTTTTTTTTGCTAAGACATAAACTCGTCTGACCTTAAATGAACTGATAGTGCCCTGTGCTTTGATAATTCAGCTACTCCCAGTCACTCAGACCTCTCAGGACCTTTAACAATAATTAACCAGGGACCATCAACTTAGTGAGCCATCATTGGTCTGGACTGCGCACAACTACAGCAGTAAGGTTCATGAGATATTAGACTGTATGCAACTGGGTGAAAGTGGGAAAAGATAAAAAAATAAAACATAAAAAAAAGGTCATGCCACTCAGGCAAAACTGGTATGGAGTACAGGGGCCATGTTTTTTAAGTATAATTTATTCCATTCATTTAACATAAATGCCCAAATCTGTATCTGTTGTATGTGAGTTGAGCTGACTACTATATATGTTATGTATTGATGTATATATTTTTTTTCCCATATCAAACCATTGCAATTGTATAGTAGAGATGTGTAAGGCATGTGGCCAAACCCCTGCCCTTTTCCTCCTGTGCCTCTTCACAGTGTGCTTTGGTTCCAGGAGTAAAAATGTAAATGGCTTTCCCATAAGGCGCCTTGGAAATTCCCAATAATGCAAATGCAAAGGTACGATAGTGGCGATCAAGAAATGTACATTTTCATACAACGTTTTAAGTTCCTTTTTTCTTTGGATTGTGGCCCTGCCCCTGGTGGGTGTTTATTGATTTACTAGTAATTAGTGACACGTGTTAATCTTTTATTTATTATACAAGATGTTCACTGGTGGGCTAAAAGGCTACCTCCAAATTAACTAAAACTTTTACCTCCTTCTCTTTCCTTGTCTTTCCTTCTAATTTGTATTCCCTTTGTTGGTGGTATTACATTTCACCTTAGCGACATAAAAAGGTATTTTCATGTTTTATAATTGAAACGGAGCTACTTTAATCATGCAAATTTGAAAGGACACGGGAGAATCAGCATCTTTTTTTATTATTTGGATGCAGCCAGGTTTCATCTCGATTCAGGTAATGACGTTCTCTTCTTCCCATCACGCCCTGTTGCGAGCTGCGTTTGGCCTCGGACGCTGTAAGTTGCTGTTTTTTTACCATCTGTATGTTTTGTACGTCCCGTAACGATATTTGTTTTGTAGTTATACTTATAAACTTGCCTTGCCTGTAGTTTCCATGGATCTATTATAATAACGTAGTTTCTGAGGACGTTTTTACTGCGCTTCCTGATTCACCCAAATTTGGGAAAAGTAGGATAATTGAGATCATATTTAAAAACAAAAACATAAAAAGATACATTTATGTTAGTTCATTTTCCATGTGTAATACAATATCCTAATGACATATTTAATTTCTATTCAGTTTTGTAAGATAAGATTAGATATGCTTTTTATCTCACAAAGGACAAATTTACATACATTTACACATTTGGCATGGATAGAAACACTCAAGATTGTGCAAAAAGGGAGGAAATGTGTCCAACTCCCAAGAACCACCTGCCTCTCCATCCTCTTCCCCCACCTTCCCCTTCCCCTCTTTTCTCTAAACACTAGGATGCACAGGGTCTCTGCTTTGCAGCCACTGGCAGTCTAGTTAGAGGAGAGACCCGGCTGGGGCCCTGTCATGAAGCCACCTGTGCCATTCCCTTAGTGATAACACAAAGAATACATAACAGAAAAACATCTGAAGTTAATCAGTCTAATCAGGAAAATCTAATTCTTGTTCCGTGTAAGAATCAGCCGACCACAACCGCTGATACTGAAACTTTGAAACTTGCTATGCTAAATGTCAGATCTCTTTGTAACAAGTCTTTTTTAATCAATCATTTTATTTGTTCTTATAATCTAGATCATATGTTCATGGCTGAAACATGGCTTGACCAAAATACAGAAAATGCAGTTTTAATAAAAGCATCACCACCAAATTTCAAATTTGAATCTGAAATACGGGAAAACAAAAAAGGAGGAGGCTTAGCTGCCATTTTCAGAGACCACTTTGTCTCCCATAGAATGTCTCTTGGGAAGTTTCCGTCTTTTGAATATGTGTCTTTTAAAATACAACAAAAACAATCTAGTCCAATACTCTTCATTGTCCTATACAAGCATTGTATACATTGTCCTTAGTTATTACAGGGGATTTTAATATTCATGTGGATAATGTTATTGACAGAAAGGCAAAAGAGCTGAGTTCTGTTCTTGAATCTTTTGGTCTCACTCAGCATGTGAGTGGCCCCACCCACAGCAGAGGGCACACTAGACCTGTTAGTTACAAAGGGGGTGAATATTTCAAATGTAAACGTGGTCGATGTTGCGCTTTCGGATCATTTTTGTGTATTTTTTGACATGTGTTTCACTAACAAACCACCAGTGGACTCTGCAACTGTTCGAAGAAGACACATAAATGAAAATATGGGTGAACTATTTATGGGAATGATAAACTTTGAGAATGCATCGTATTCTACTGTAGATGAACTGTTTAACTCTGTCACCTCTAGTGTTTTGAAAGTTCTGGACACCATCGCTCCTGTGAAGGTTAAAACAGTGAAAAATAAGCAGAAGGCGCCGTGGGCTAAAGCAGACTCGGTCAGGGCACAAAAGAGAGAGTGCCGGAGGGCCGAGCGGAAGTGGCGCAAGTCCAACCTCCAGGTTGATTACGAGATCTTCAAAGATAAGTTGTGCGAGTTTAACCGGGTGCTACGTAGTACGAGAGAAAGGTATTTTTCTGAAATGATTGAAGGCTGCAGCAACAATCTGCATGTTCTGTTTTCAACAGTTAATAGACCTCTCCTTCTTCGTCTCACTTCATCCTCTCATCTCTCCGTATACAGTATACATTTGATATAGTAAAACAGTATACATATGATAAAATAATACAGTAGGAATAGGATATAATAATAAAGTATGGTATGATGGTGATAAAGTATAATATTGTATAATAGTATAACATTGTAATACATTCAACATATATAAACTAAAACTAACATTCAAACCCTATGCGACTGTTTCCAACACTTTTTGCAATACTATTCAATAAATAGATAATACTCTCACACAACCCAGACGATAGTGGGGTGTCTGTTCTAGACTAGTCTGGCACAAAAGCCCCTCTATCTCTTTTAATGCAACACACACATGACACACAGAAAAAAACACCAAAAACAAACAAATGCACCATAACAGATGGATAAGAGGAGTGTATGATATGTATATGTATATATATATATATATGTATGTATAATAATATAATAACATTCAATTCAATTAGATCACATCTATAAAAAATAAATACATTTAAAAACACATTCAATCCAAACAAGCTTATTTATTGTTGCAGTTATTAATTTTATTATTGCGGATGTTATACTTTATTTCTATTATCACCATCATCATCTTTATTATAATCATTATCAATGTTATTATGCAACAATCGTATATCATTACTCATTATTATTATAATTTAAATGTTATATATATATTTATATGTATATGTTTAAATTTACTATTATATGTTTATAATTATTGTTTGTGTGAATGTATGTATATATGCATGAATATATATGTGTATATATGTATGTGTAGATATACACTTTGTCTTTCCTTCTCCCCCTCTTCTGTACATAAGAAAAGATTTCTGTAATTCCACATTCACTCTCATGCACACACATGCACACACACACTCACACACACACACACACATGCGCGTGCGTGCAACGATTGCTTTTTCTTTCTTGTTGGTCTCACTGTCCTCTCTCCCCTCTTTGTATAGATTCTCCTCTTACGTTGTAAATATCACTGAAACTGATCACCTATGTTGTCTTTGTAGTCTATGTTTGTTTCTTGTTTGTCGTATTGTATGTATTGTATTGTATGTTTTGTATGTCTATTCTCAACAATAAAAAAAAAAAAAAAAAAAAAACAGTTAATAGATTAACAAACCCCCCTGTTCAGATGCCATTAGAGCTAACTTCCAAACGTAAATGTAATGAGTTTGCACATTTTTTCAATGACAAGGTTCAAGGCATCAAAAACGCCATTGTCTCCAATCCACAGATAACCATCCAACAGCCTAAAAGGCTCTTTGAGCTAACTTACTTTGCACCTGTAAATGATCAAACTGTCCAAGAGATAATCTCCAGTCTGAGCGCCTCCACATGTAGCCTGGATGTACTACCCACTAGATTTCTAAAGTCTGTTCTGAACAGTCTGTTACCTTCACTCACACAGATAGTAAACATGTCCCTTCATTCTGGAATATTCTCAAAGGCCCTGAAAACTGCAGTCATCAGGCCCCTGCTTAAAAAGAGCAGTCTGGATGCTATGGTACTTAACAACTACCGTCCCATCTCAAATCTGCCATTTATGGGGAAAGTCCTTGAAAAAGTTGTCTACCAACAGCTAAATAGATTTCTTATAATCAACAACTCATTTGATATGTTTCAGTCCGGCTTTAGACCCCACCACAGCACTGAGACTGCTCTCGTCAAGGTTACAAACGATATCCGGCTAAACACTGACGCAGGCAAAGTCTCAATCCTAATCCTGTTAGATCTGAGTGCTGCCTTTGACACTGTCGACCATGAGATCCTCTTACAGAGACTAGAGGACTGGGTTGGCGTCGCTGGCACCGCCCTAAGTTGGTTTAGGTCTTACCTTGAAGACAGGAAGTACTTTGTGGAGATTGGAAACTGTGTCTCAGATCATATGGCCCTGACCTGTGGAGTCCCACAGGGGTCGATCCTGGGACCTCTTCTGTTCAATCTCTACATACTGCCGTTAGGTCAGTTAATACGCAGAAACTAAGTTTCCTATCATAACTATGCAGACGACACTCAGATCTATGTCTCACTGACTGCAGGAGAACATGGACCAGTGGACTCACTCCTTCACTGTATCCAACAGATCAGTGAGTGGATGCAAAACAACTTCCTTCAGCTAAACGCAGACAAAACTGAAATGATTGTCTTTGGTCCCCAGAAACAAAGAGAGAGCGTCATCTGTCATCTACAGTCTCTCTCCCTAAAACCTTCAAACAAGTTCAGAAATCTAGGGGTAATACTGGACTCAGACTTAAATTTTAATAGCCACATCAAATCAGTAACATCAGCAGCTTTTTACCATCTAAAAAACATTTCCAGGATCAAAAACATAGTGTCTAAAGCAGACTTTTAGACACTATGAGATTCTTATCCATGCATTTGTCTCCAGTAGGTTAGACTACTGCAATGGCCTGCTCACAGGTCTGTCCAAACAGGCTGTAAAACAGCTGCAGTACATTCAAAATGCAGCAGCTCGAGTCCTGACTAGAACCAGGAAGTACGACCATATTAGTCCGGTCCTCAGGTCTCTGCACTGGCTTCCTGTGGCTCAGAGAATAGACTTTAAAACAGCTTTGCTTGTGTACAAGTCTCTCCATGGCCTCGCACCAAAATATATTAGTGACATGTTAGTCCCATATGAACCAGCCCGGACTCTGAGGAGCACAGGGACTGGACTCCTGTTAGTGCCCAGAGTCAGAACTAAACATGGGGAGGCTGCTTTTCAGATTCATGCTGCTAAAATCTGGAACATTCTTCCTGAGGATGTGAGACAGGCCTCCTCTCTGACTATGTTTAAAACCAAGTTAAAAACTGTGCTGTTTAGCTGTGCATACAACTGAGGAATTTTATATTTTTATCTTTCTTTTTAATGTTCTGTGATTATTTATGATTTTAATGCTATCTTGTTCAGCACTTTGAGTTGCCTTGTGTATGAATTGTGCTATACAAATAAACTTGCCTTGCCTTGCCTTGCCACTCATCCTCCTGCAGACCGATCCCAACTGGGGTCTGCCGAGGGAGTAACCAGGGCCGCCCTGCACTCAAAACCGAATGAGCAACTGAGTCAGAGGCAACCTCCAGTAGGTAAAACTGCACAAAGGTTGAGGAGGAGGATCAAGACGCCGCTCTGCAGATCTCCCCCACCGAAGTTCCACGGAACAGTGCCACCGAAACGGCAACCCCGTGAGTGGAGTGAGCCCTCAACTGGGCCGGAGGCGGCAAGCCCTGAGCTTCATACGCCAAACGGATAGCGTGGCAAAGCCAGTGGGCCAGACGCTGTGGAGACAAAGCAGCACCCTGATTCCTGTTGCTAAACCCCACAAACAACTGATCCAATCAGAATCAGAATCAGAATCATTTTTATTGCCACGTAAGTAACAGGAGGTCACAGACTAGGAAATTGCTTTGGCTCAGTGCAACAGTCAAAAAGAGATAATAAAAATAAGAATAAAAAACACTTTTAAAGAATAAATTTAAATTTAAAGTAGAGTTACAGTTACTATTTACAATATACAAGTGCACATGGTGCACACAATGTAAGGTGACAGCAGTACAGTGAAGTAAAGTGACGTATGATGGGCAGTAAAGTGACTTTATAAAGGGCGGGGGGACAGGTTAAGAAGTGTTCAAGAGTCCAACAGTAGAGGGGAAGAAACTGTTCTTGTGGCGGGAGGTTCTAGTCCTGATGGACCGCAGCCTCCTGCCTGAGGGGAGTGGTTGGAATAGTCCATGTGCAGGGTGAGAGGGGTCGGCTGTGATACGACCAGCCCGGCCTCGAGCTCGGGCGACGTACAGGTCCTGCAGCGATGGAAGGCTGCGGCCGATCACTTCCTCTGCAGAGCGCACAATGCGCTGTAGTCTCTGTTTGTCCCTGACTGTGGCTCCAGCGAACCACACGGTGACGGAGGAGGTGAGGATGGACTCGATGATGGCCGTGTAGAACTGCACCAACATCTGTGCAGGCAGCTTGGCTTTCCTGAGCTGCCGCAGGAAGTACATCCTCTGCTGGGCCTTCTTGATGAGGGAGCTGATGGTCGGCTCCCACTTGAGGTCCTGGGTGATGGTGGTGCCCAGGAAACGGAAGGACTCCACAGAGGTGATGGGGGAGTCCATCACGGAGGGTGGGGGTGGGGGGACAGTGCTCTTCCTGAAGTCCACAATCATCTCCACTGTCTTCTGGGCGTTCAGCTCCAGGTTGTTACCACTGCACCAGGACACCAGCCGGTCCACCTCCCTCCTGTAGGCGGACTCATCGTTGTTGGAGATGAGTCCAATGAGGGTGGTGTCGTCCGCGAACTTGATCAGCTTCACGGAGTCGTGGCTGGAGGTGCAGTGGTTGGTGTACAGGGAGAAGAGCAGGGGAGAAAGAACACAGCCCTGTGGGGCTCCTGTATTTATAATCCGAGAGTCCGAGACATTCTTCCCCAGACGCACTCGCTGCTTCCTGTCCGTCAGGAAGTCAGTGATCCACCTGCAGGTGGAATCGGGCACGTTGAGCTGGGAGAGCTTGTCCTGGAGCAGGGATGGCAGGATTGTGTTGAAGGCAGAGCTGAAGTCCACGAACAGGACCCTGGCGTAGGTCCCCGGGGAGTCCAGGTGCTGTAGGATGTGGTGGAGGGCCAGGTTAATGGCGTCGTCTACAGATCTGTTGGCTCTGTAGGCGAACTGCAGGGGGTCCAGGAGGGGGGAGGTGAGGGACTTGAGATGGGAGAGAACCAGGCGTTCAAATGACTTCATGACGACAGACGTAAGTGCTACAGGTCTGTAGTCATTGAGTCCTGTGATCCTGGGCTTCTTCGGGACGGGGACAATGATGGAGGATTTGAAGCAGGCCGGGACATGGCAGGACTGCAGAGAGGTGTTGAAAATGTCCGTGAACACAGGAGTAAGCTCACTGGCGCAGTGTCTCAGAGTGGCCGGAGACACGTGGTCCGGGCCAGGAGCTTTGCGGGGGTGCAGCCTCAGGAAGAGTTGTTTAATCTCTTTAGCGGCTATTGTCAGGCTGGGGGCAGGGCTGATGGGTGGGTCGTTAGAGTAGTGGGGGGTGGGGGAGGGAGAGGTGTCAGGGGCAGCATCAAAGCGACTGAAAAATAAGTTCAGATCGTCAGCTAGCTTGTGGTCGTCAGCACAGGGGGGGGCTTTGGGTTTGTAGTTGGTGATCTCCCGTAGGCCCCTCCAGACAGAAGCAGTATCGTTGTTACCAAACTGCTCCTGTAGTCGTTCTCTGTGCCGGGACTTGGCTGCTTTCAGTTCTCTCCTGAACTGATATTTAGCTGCTTTGTAGCCGCTGCGGTCCCCCTCCCTGAAAGCAGACTCCTTTGCTTTCCTGAGCTGCCGGAGTTTAGCAGTGAACCAGGGTTTGTCGTTGTTATAGATGACCCTGGTCCTTGTTGGAATGATGCTATCCTCACAGAAGTGAATGTATGACGTCACAGTGTCCGTATATTCATCCAAACTATCTGTGGCAGCTCTGAAAAGGTCCCAGTCTGTAGATTCCATGCATGCGCGCAGCTCTTCCACAGCTTCATCAGACCACACTTTGGAGCTCCTCATTGCAGGTTTCGAGAGCTTTAGTCTCTGTCTGTAAGCAGGAACCAGATGTATCATGGAGTGATCTGAGAAGCCGAGGGCTGGCTTGGGAACAGCGCGAAAAGCTCCGCGCACGGTGGTGTAACAGTGATCCAGAGTGTTCTCCTCTCTGGTCGGGCATTTGATAAACTGTCTGTATTTGGGTAATTCCTGGCTCAAGTTTCCCTTATTAAAATCCCCCAGGATAATAATCAGAGAGTCCGGGTATAAGCGTTCCATACACAGTACTTGCTCTGCGAGTGCGCGCTGAGCCTTGCGCGCGTCCGCGCATGGCGGTATGTAAACAGAGGCAAGAATGAATGAAACAATTTCGCGCGGGGAGTAATATGGTTTACAATGAATGAAAAGATATTCCAGAGCAGGAGAGCAGTGCTTGGAGATCACTGTCACATCGTTACACCAGTTTGTATTGACGTAGAAACAGAGCCCTCCGCCTCTGCTCTTCCCTGAGAGCGCACAATGGCGATCCGCGCGGAACAGCCCAAAGCCCTGCAGCTCCAGAGCGCAGTCCGGGATCCGCTCATTTAGCCAGGTCTCAGTGAAGCAGAGGACACAGGATGTGGCGAAGTCCTTGTTTCTTCTCATGAGCAGGCTGAGTTCGTCCATCTTATTGCCCAGTGAGCGTACGTTGGAGAGAAAAATGCCGGGGAGAGCCGTGCGCGCTCCTCTCCTCCTAAGACGCACGAGCAGGCCTCCGCGCTTTCCCCTTTTACGGGCCCACACTTTTTTGGCTAGAACATGAACTAAATCAGCCGCAGATGCCAAGAAAACAGGCAATAGGTCCATGGGAACGGTGGGTCGGATGTTCATAAGTTCTTCACGGGTGTAGGAACAGCCAGATGCGCAGTTAAAAAGTAAAAACAAAAGAAAAAGAGAGCAGCAAAGAGCCATGTCGACCGTACGAGGCGCCATCTTTGTTCTGAGATGTCAGACGTGCGGTCCAAATAGCATCTTATAGCCCTGACCGGACAGACTATGCTGCAACTCCTCCTCCGCTGAAGTATGCAGAGGAGGGAAAAACGGTCTCACCCTGATCACCCTAGATCTAAAAGATCTAAAAGATCCCCCCAACCTCTTGGCCGAAGCCAGCACCAAAAATAATGCCGTTTTGTAAGACAAACAGGCAATGGTTGCATTGTCCAGGGGTTCAAAGGGAGGCCTCGAAAGGCCAGACAAGACCACCTGAAGGTCCCAAGACGGAGCCGACCGCCGGAGGGGAGGCCTGATCCTGCAGGCCCCTCGGAAGCGCTTCACCCAGGGGTGGCCACGGGCAGAGTGGCTGCCAAACCCCACATTGCCCGTGGTAATGGCCGCCGCGAATACACCAAGCGTGGCGGCTGCCCTGCCCCTCTCCAGCAAGGACTGGAGGAAAGCCAAGACCTCCTGGATGGAGCACGAGGTGGGGTCCAGGCCGTATGAGGTTTCCATCGAACCTGATACGTCCCACACTGAATAGTAGCGACCACTGAGGGAGGGAGACCAAGGCTCAACAGTTTCCCCCATTCAGCCTCTAAACCATGAGCCTGCATCCCAGGACAGGGCAATGAGTAAAGGGCTCCCCCTGCCTGACTCAGAGCATCGGGACGGTCCGGAACGGGCCAAGGCGGACTGAGCGCCATGTCTACCAGGTCCGGATACCACCTGGCTCCCGGGCTGTCCGGCGCCACCACCAGGATGGAGATCCTCTCCGTCCTCACTCTGTAAAGCAGGGTCGCCAAGAGCCGGAGAGGCTGGAAGGCTTAGAGGAGACCGTCGGGCCACGGTTGGTGCGCCATGGCGTCCCCTCCGAGAGGGTGCTGGTCGCTGGACCTGAGCAAGAACCAGAGTGGGCACTGTGCGTTCTCTGCACTTGCAAAAAGGTTGGCCACGACCTCTTGAGCGGGACCCCACGACCGCTGGAGCGGGACCCCACTCGTCCCGCAAGGCCCCGCCCCTGGACATCCTGTTGCCGGCCACATTGCGCTCGCCTGGGATGTGACAGGCCCCCAGAGAGGCTAGGTGAACGTTCCGCCCACAGAAGAACCTCCACTGCCAGCCTGTGAAGGGAGGGGGACCTGGTCCCCCCCTGCCTATTCAGATAAGCTGCCACATTGGTGTTGTCTGTCCGAACGATCACATGTTGGCCCTCCAGTCTGGACACGAAATGGGCCTGAACGAACCACACCGCCTCCAACTCCAGGAGGTTGATGGGCCCAAAAGGGGAGGACCAAACGCCTCCTGCAGAGTGGTGGCCGTGCACGCCTTCCCAACCGCTCTGAGGCGCTCTGAGATACGAGTTCTCCTGGGCAGGACACAGGGAGCTTTTGTCCATAAGATCACAATCCCTGGGTGGGCAAGATGGTTCAACACTCTGGACGTTTGATCCTACGCCTCCTCCCGAGAGGAGGCCAGGATCAGCCAGTTGTCGATATACGTCAGTATCCTGGGCCCTGACGCAGAAGGGGTTCTAGCGCCACCTCCACACACTTGGAGAAGGTTCGGGGGGCCAGGGAGTAGCCGAACGGGAGACGGCAATACTTAAAGCACCCCCCCTACCGAAAACCGGAGGAACTTCCTGTGCCCCGGAACAATGGGTACGTGGAAATACGCGTCCCTGAGGTCCACGAAGGTCATCCAATCTCCGGGCCTGACGCTCAGCAGTAGCTGTTTGACTGTGAGCATGCGAAGCGGTCGCTTGGCTATACAGCCATTGAGGACGCGCAGGTCCAGAATGGCCCGCACCCCCCCGCTCTTATTGGGGACTACGAAGAATGGAGAGTAAAACCCTGTCCCTGCCCTGAGCGGGTCTACCTCCACTACTGCGCCGTGCTGCAGAAGTTGACCTCCTTGTGAAGCGCCACAGCGTCCTCTGGGCTGCATAGCCTTGTTTAAAGAATGCCGCGGAAAGGAGGGGGCCGCCAGGAGAACTGGAGAGCATAGCCCCGACTCAGCACTCTGCGTAAACACGGTGTTCCCAACAGCCCCTCTTGTTCCCATACGGTGAAAAAATGGGTCAAGGGAAGCACGCCGGGATTGGAGAAGGGAGGAAGGCCAGGCCCGCCCACAGACGTCTCTCCTTGGGAGGCATTGGATTGTGGGGGGCCCCTGGGAAAAGGGCTGAGCCCTCGCTGCGGGCTTGGACCTCTTACCAGGTGGCAGCGTGAGGGCAGCCGCGCTGCGCTTACGTGGAGCAGAGCCCCCGCCCCCCAACATTGTGGACTGAGGGGGGGGGGGCCGAGCAGTCCAACTCATTGCTCTGGGAAGACCGCTGCCCTGTGTGACCGCTCACTGCGCCACAGAGAGAGGAGCGCACAGTGGAACTGCGGGGAGTTGGTATAGGCGTGGCGCACAGAGAGCGTAGGAGCAGAGCATGCAGCCACGCACTCCCTGCCCGAGAGGGGCGAAGCCACGGGGAGTGGGGGGCCCCTGGGAAAAGGGCTGAGCCCTAGCTGTGGCCCTGGGCCTCTTGCCGGGTGGCTGCGTGAGGCCAAGCGTGCTGCGCTTATGTGGAGCCGAGCCCCCGCCCCCCAACACTGGGGACTGAGGGGGGGGGAAGAGCAGGCCAACTCAGTGCTCTGGAAAGACCACTGCCTTGTGTGGCTCATTGCGGCACAGGGAGAGGAGCACGTACACTGTAAACCCTAACTTCAATCCTACTTCAGATATCAAAGTTATTTTAAATAGATTTTTCCCAGTAAGTAGATATTACTCATTTATTGTTAGTTTATTTAAAGCTTGGCTATATCACTCAGGGTTTTCTTTGAATTGAACTGTTTCTGTTCAAGTAAGCCTCACTTTTGACATTTTGACGTGTAGAGTCTTTAATGAGGCAGGTGTGACAACGGCAGGGTGGCCTGGTGGCTGAGTGGGTAGCACCATTGCCTCTCAACCTACAGGGTTCTGAGTACGAATCCCGGTCGGAGCATAAGTAAAAATTTAAACTTTATTGCAATCACTCGAGTTTACTTGGTAATATCAAGTAAAAGATGTACTCGAGGAATTCAAGTGAAGTTAATACGCAATTTATTTCCATGGTTTTTTCAAGTAAACTTTACTTGTCAGGGTTTACAGTGTAGTGGGCCTGTGGTGGGCTGGTCCGCGTCTCCTCTCCCGCAGAGAAGGAGAGGCGTGCTTGTACCGGGATTGGGGCAAGTCTCCCGCGTGCGTAGGTCTGGTTCACAGGCACCCTGTCCCTGGGTGCCTCCATGGCGCGAGTGTCAGCAGCCAAGGGAAGTGCCTGTAGCGCACAGAGAGCGTAGGAAGGTAGCGTGCAGTCGCGCACTCTCTGCCCAGGAGAGGCGAAGGCACAGGGTCCCGGAGCATGCCTCCAGCGCGCGCACTTGAAGCGCGCTGAGAGAGGCTCCAGGCACCTGGCAGGTGAGCAACGTTGGCCAAGCGCTGAGGAAAAAGGGAAAGAAGTGGACTCTTTATGGGAGTAACGGGCCTGATGACGGCCTTTATTAAAGCATTTCTCTCCCCTCCCTTTAGCTGGTGCGGGGTGTTTGCCGCTCCTCCTCCGCTGGTCACGCGCCTGCTGTCTCCCACGCACTAGACCCAGGGAGCCCCCGGGCTCTGAACAGTGCAGGGTGGCAGAGCGGTCCCTGTCTAGGGATGCAGCGAGGAGAGTAATGTCATTAGCTATAGCAACGACCTGTGATGCATTTGCATAACAACTGTCCAGCGTGGATAGAGGTTTGCACACCATGAGTGATGCCACCATGGGCACCACTCCAGTGGGCATTAAGTAATCCGTTGCGTCTATCGCGCTCCTCCCCCAGGGAGCACAAAACAAGCCACACAACTGGAGCATCCAGCTCCCAGGCTGACCGGACTCGTGGCGGTCAGCCTGGGAGAGCGCCGCCTGGCACAAGTTGCAGATCCGCAGCCTGACACCGGAGGGTGGCAAGTTCTCAGGCGCGGGGATCTTGCTTGAAGACATCCTTTTTAATGGAATCGAAGCTTCTCTTTAGGTAAGCCGAGAGGGAAAGAAGAAGAGCTGTGGTGCAGAGCCCTATTTATAGAGGACTGACCTACACCAGGTGATTGGAGCGGTGGATCGTTTGATCTTCTCAGGGCGGGAAGCGGTGCTTCCGAGAGATATGCAATAACGAAGCCTAAAGGGCTGAAGCAACATATGAAATAGAACCTACAGCTGCGTGCACAGCTAAACAGAACTTTTAGAAACCAGGATTTAAACATTTTCAGAGGATATCAGAATAAGACCATTATATATATTTGAGTTGAGATTTGAAAAAACAAAACCAAACCAAAACTGTATCAGCAGAAACGTTTAGCATCATGGGTTTTCTGCTCTGTAAATTTATACTGTGTGACATCAATAAAGTCTATCTTATCTTATTCTCTGCTTAATTTCTTGTTCCTCCCCAGACTATGGCTCATCGTGTAGCAGTGATCGGCGCTGGTCCCTCAGGTCTGAGCAGTATCAAAATCTGTCTGGAAGAGGGACTGCAGCCCACATTCTTTGAGAGCAGCCATGACATCGGCGGGCTCTGGAGATATAAGGTGAGAAGATTCATTGTTTTAGTATTTGTCATCATTTAGAAAATACAAGTCAATATAGTGTCCGTCCTATACCATAATAAATCTTCCTAGATGTACAGTATGTTGACCTTAATTAATTATACAATCTTTACTCCTAGAGGACAGATAGAAATAAATCTGTGTCACTAATGGAGAGTCTAATTATTTGACTATATCTAGACCTCTAACTCTGTCTATAGTCATGTCCTCTCATGAGTTTATGCAATCCCGGGTTTAGTATTAATGCTGTTTGTTTTGAAGAGGTAGTGTGACTTCACTGCTTCCTTTTGGTCTTTAACCAATTGGTGAATATCAGGAGGAGCCTGAGCCTGGTCGGGCCAACGTCTACCAGTCTGTGATCATAAACAGCTCCAAAGAGATGATGGCGTTCAGTGACTTCCCTCCTTCAGCTGAACTGCCCAATAACATGCACCATTCTGATGTCCTGGGGTACCTCCGCCTTTATGCCAATCACTTCAACCTCCTGCCGCACATTCAGCTCAAGGTTTGGGATAGTTTTGTTTCTGCCTACAGTTTGTGTTAAAAGTGTTTTCTCTAATGTTTTTCTGTATGGTCAGACTACGGTGCAACAGGTGACACAGACTCCAGATTTTGCATTGACAGGCCAATGGGAAGTGGATGTAGAGAAACAAAATGGACAGAAGGAGACCCATGTTTTTGATGCAGTGATGGTTTGCACTGCACTTCACACAACCCCATCTTCCACTTAAGGACTTTCTAGGTATATGCTCATACCTGGGACAACGTGATCCCTTTCCTCGAGTAATGGGTCCTAAAAGGAATCTGTTTAATTTTAGGCATTGAGAATTTTGAAGGCAGATGTTTCCACAGCTGGGAATACCACAATGCAGATGGTATGCAGGGGAAACGAGTGGTGGTGATTGGGATTGGGAGTTCTGGGGGGGGAACATTGCTGTGGATATCAGTAGAGTTGCGGAAAAGGTACCTAATCTAATTCCTAGCAATTGGTTTTACATAAACTTAAAACTACAAAATGAGTGCAATGAATACTTTATTTTGTACAGGTGTATCTCAGTACCAGGAGTGGTGCGTGGGTGATGAGTAGAGTGGGACCTGGAGGCCTTCCCTTTGATGTTACCTTATCTCGGATGGACTTGTTTTATATGAGCTTGTTTCCATCTTGGTTCAATAAGAAATTTGAGAAGATGCTGAATGAGCACTTTGATCACACCTTATATGGTCTCCAGCCAAAACATGAGTGAGTTATTTTTTCCACAGCTGCTAGCATGTAGCCTCATCTTTAATTAATGCTGACAATATTGCTTTGCAGTTTCTTTGCACAGATCCCTGTTGTGAATGATGAGCTTCCTGCCCGGATCCTTTCAGGACGAGTTCAGATCAAACCAAACGTCAAAGAGTTTTCAGGCTCCGGAGTTGTCTTTGATGATGGCACAGTCATTGAGAAGGTATCGTACTAGGATAATTGTTGTAGTTCCCTTTTAACAGTGTTTTCTTCAATTCTTTTCCTAAAGTGTGTTTGTTTGCGTTTCTCATAAATATACACGCAATACCTCATAAAAACCTTGTTGCATAATCATATACAAACGTATATACATAGTCGCTTGAAAAAGTATTCGTACTTCATGAACTTTTCCACGTTTTGTCATGTGACTACCGCAAACATTAAGTTTTATTTTTATTTTTTGGTGAAAAGTAACTATATATGATTGATATGTTTGTTTGTTTTTTAACTGCAAAGTGCAAGCTCCATCAAAAAAAGTTTGGATAGGTCTGGACTGTATGAAAGGTCCATTGTCCTGATTTTCTTGATATCAAAAACTCCTGAACCCTTCTGTATCTTAATGATTAACTTGAAAAAGAGGACCACCTTTTTGTTTTTGTTTTGTGGGCTGGTGGAGGTCAGAAAAGCCCTAGCCCTGAAAAGTGTTACTTCCAGAACAGGTTGTATGTGACTTTTGTATCCCATGTTGTGTGTTCTAGGTGGATGTGGTAATCCTTGCCACTGGATACAACTACAGTTTTCCCTTCCTGCCTCCAGAGCTGCAGACTAAAAGTGGCTACAGGCTCTGTCTCTACAAACATGTCTTCCCTCCATCTCTGGCACACCCTACTCTGGCTGTGATCGGCTTCATAAATGCATTTGGAGCTGTCAATCTCATGGCTGAGCTTCAGGAGCGCTGGGCTACTAGGGTCTTCAAAGGTATTAAATGAACATGCTTCTATATTACAGTACCTCTCGAAAGTTCCAATACACCTTAAACTTTTGCACAATTTGTCATGTTTACTATCATAAACATAAAGATTTTTTTTACTGAAAGTTCATAAGTAACAGACAACTGTGAAGGTAAACCAAAATGATGCATAATATTTACACAATAATTTTTTCAAAAAATAAACAACTGAAAAGTATGATAACCATACAACATGAGTAAATACTTTGTGGAATCCCAGCTCCAGGAGCTTTTCTTCCAATTTTCTCAATCCACCTTCCCACCAACTGTCCCCGCTGAATTAAAGCAGCCTCTTGCTCTCTATTTACTACTCGTCCATAAAGGCCAGATGTGTGGAGTGTATGACTGATATTTGCCCATGTACAGATTCCCCCAGGTGAACTGTGGATGTCTACAGCTCCTTCAGAGTAATCATTGGCCTTGTTTCTGCATCTGTGATCAGTGTTTTCCTTGTTGGAGCTGTCAGTTTTGCTATACTGTTTCCATTTTAGAATAATGAATTGCACTGTGCTCTATGAGATGTTAAAAGCTTTTAAAAGGTTAGTTTAAACTAACGTGCTTCAAATCTCTCAACAACTTCACCCCTGGCCTCTCTGGTGTGCTCCTTGGCCTTCATGGGGCTGTTTTTTGACCAATAACTCATCATAGCTCTGAGGCCCTTGCAGAATGGCTGTAATTATATTGAGAGTAGATTACTTGCACTTGGGCTCTTTTTAATCATTGGGGCAAGTTGTGAGCAGGCAATTGTATGCATTCTATATGGTTATTTATTCAAGGTGTTTTTCTACTTCGAAGAGGCATTGTACCATTGCAGGATTTGAACTGTCCCAATTAATACAAAATGTTTTGTATTGTTCTCTGTCTTGGGCAGGCATCGTAAAGCTGCCATCCGAGGAAACTATGAGCAGAGAAGTTGAAAAAGACACTGAAATCATGAACCAACGGTAGGAAAAGTATGTTTTATTTTGGACAAGAAATGTTAAGGTTTGACAAATACTGGAGGGAATTTATTAGGGGATTATGAGCGAGCAAAACCCCAGGGCAGATGAGAACCGGGTCTACCAGTTTTGTAATCTGAAGCTTTAGATTAATTTCTTTAAAGAACTGGTTCGGGAACTACAGGCACTTGTATAGTGACACAGAATTGTGTAACCCTCTGTCTCCAGGTTTTCCTGCTCTGAGCGCAGCCCTCTTCAGGTGGACTACATCCCCTATATGGACTCCTTGGCCCAGCAGATCGGAGTACTTCCCAGCCTCCTGTGGCTTCTCCTCACTGACCCCCCACTGGTTTTAGAACTTCTATTTGGGCCTTTAACATCGTACCAGTACCGCCTGACCGGGCCAGGGCAGTGGAGTGGAGCACGCCAGGCCATCCTCACACAGTTGGGCCGAGTGTTGCAGCCCTTCAAAACCAGAGTGGTACCAGAACGAAAACCCAAGTCTAAAATACAATTCTCAGTCATACTGTCAGGAACTGTACTAATGTGTATCCTTTTGTTCAAACGGCAACTTTTGCCCTAAGTGTTTGTGATGTTCATTGTCAAAATGTTTTGATAAAGTGTTGCAAAAGTAGTAAAAGTATTTAGATTTGTTTTTGTACTGAATTCCTCATTTACTTGATTCTTGCTCCTATTTAAATGTATGTTTATATTGATCAAATTAATTTTATGTATTTATTCCATGACTTGAAGTATTTATTTATTTATGTTTAATTGAACATAAAATAAATTTAAAAATAATTCAATTCAATTCAATAACTTTATTAATCCGTGAGGAACTTCATTTACAGACAGAGCACCGGTGGGGGTACACAAAAACACAGAGACACGCAATCTAAGAATAAATACAGTAAAAGAGCAGAAATGCAATATAAAATACATAAAACAGGTCTCCAAATTAGCTGTTTAAAAGGCGAATTGAGGTGGGGAGGAAGCTGGATGTGGCTCTTTTTGTTTTGAATGGGAGGGACCTGAACCTACGCCCTGATGGGAGCAGACTGTAGTGAGAGTGCAGAGTGTGGGAGCTGTCTGTGGAGATCTGGGAGCCTTTCCTTAAAACTTTTAAAAATAAGACAGTAAGAACAAAAACAAAATAAAAATAGAAACTGTTCAAAAGGAGTAGAAAGAAGCGAAAGTTTATTAAATCCTACCCCTTTTCCCTATGTTAATTTAAAATATTGAAATAAGTTATAAAACAAATATACTAATATATATATATATATATATATATATATTATATAAATATACACATACATACACATGTAGTTGCAGTTAATAAAAAAATTAAATGAAACAGTAACAATAATAGTACCGTGTATCACCTAGTGTCTTTTCGTACCCCAGTTTCATCCCTGTATCTTGTCAAAACATGCTCTTTATATTTTACTTTTAACTCTTTTATATTTAGACATTGTTTCAATTCTTCACACAACCTGTTCCATATTTGTACTCCACTGAATGAAATACAGAATCTCTTCTTGTTTGTTCGTATTCTGATGACTTTGAAGTTAACCCCCTTAATTGATAACCCCCATCTCGACCCGTAAAGATGTATTGTATATTATTTGGTAGAAGGTTATTAGCTGCTTTATACATTATCTGTGCTGTTTTAAATGTAACTATGTCTGAGTTTAACAGTTTTGATTGTAAGAAAAGTGAGTGTGTCCAAATAGCATTATGTATTATCCGTATTGCCCTTTTTTGTAGAATAAGTAGTGCTTTTATTGAACTCGTATAATTATTGACCCAAATCTCTGAACAGTAACTGAAATATGGTAAGACAATGGTACAGTATACGTTGCGAAGTGACTTAGCGTCTAGTACTGGTTTTGCTTTATTCAATATTACAATGCTTTGTGACAGTTTCGACTGTATAAATTTGATCATTATTATAATCCCGAGGAACTTGTTTTCATGAACCCTGTCTATTTGCACCCCATCTAACCTTAGTTGTACTTGCTCTTCAAATCGGTTGTTCCCAAATAACATGTTTTATTTAGATTAAGTGATAATTTATTCCTGTCAAACCATAATTTCACTTTGCTCATTTCATTAGTAACCTCTTTAAGAAGCTCTTTTAAATTGTCCCCAGAACAAAACATATTTGTGTCATCAGCAAACAACACCAGCTTCAGTTTCTGTGAGACAACACAAACATCATTGAAATGTTTACTAAAGTACTAAAATTCCCTAGTATGGATGAAGCCATCTTTATGAATCCCAAATTCATGTTTTTAAGGTCTAATCTGTGGAATCATATGTTTCTTAAGGTGGGGTTGTCACTGGTCCATATCTGTTTGCTTTGAGCTGTTGCCTTCCTGGATTCAAGGGTCAATAGGCTTTATTACAACTTTGTGTTCAAAACGTGGTGCCCGAAGGCTTTGACGGCTGGGTATTTAAAACATTATTTCAAAGATCTGCCTTTCCTCAACGTCCCATAGTTTATTTTTAAAAGAGTCCAGAGTAGGACAGTCCCACAGTCTTGGAATTTTGTTTAGTAATTTAGTAGCAAATAAGATGGGACACACCTGAGTAAACAGAACGCATTTCAGAGAGTACGTTGTCAATTTTGACAGCTTGTTGCCTATCGGTGAGATAGTTCACAATCCAGCGAAAGAGCTTTCCACGGATACCTTATACCGAGCTTTTGAATGACTGCAGGTCAGATGTGGTACTACGGAGTCGAATGCAGCTGCCAGGTCCAGAAAAACAGCACAGCATGAGAATCTTTTCTCCATTAATGACAGACATTTGTGATAAAGATAGCTTAGTTGATCAGTGGTAGAATGACGTGGTAAAAAAACCCGAATTGTGAAGCTGATATTAAGTTGTTTGTACACAGAAACTCCAAAATGTTTTTGTTGATGACCGATTCCGTAGGCTTCAAATATGGAAAGGGAAATAAACATACAGATTAGATATGTGGTCAGGCTCTCTCAGCTCAATGGAGCTACAACGCTTGCTTAAAATCACAAGTCTGCAAAAGGGAAGATGTCAACAGAGTCCAGAGATCAACAGAGTCATCAGAGTCCAGGGCTCGGGCATTATAAGCCTGTGTGCGCTCACTCCGCCCATCGCCTTTATGCTGAGCACTTTGTCTGAACTCGACCTGTTTTCGCACCACAGTGATCAACGTCTTTGGGTAAGTTATTCAAAACGCAAAAGGCAGCATTTCGAGTTTCTGAAGAATCAACACTGGTCTTTACACTTTCGCCTTTTTCCCTTCAACAAAGTTTCCCCATAACGTTGTATTGCCTGCAAAGTTGCACAATATAGCCACAAAAACTAGAGCGTGCAGAAAAGCCTCCAACACATGGGGTCCTCTGTGTGCGTCACAGCAGCTCAGACATGTTTACACCTTTTAAGATCCATAACACTGGTCACAGAGAGTTTGCGAGTGGTGTGTCCTGTTGCAGGGAAAAGAGGAAATCCCTGGAGAAAAGTGATCATGTCCCGACGTGTGGCCATCGTTGGAGCGGGGGCGTCTGGTTTGTGCTCGATCAAGAGCTGTCTGGACGAGGGTCTGGAGCCCGTCTGCTTCGAGAGCAGTGATGACATCGGGGGTCTGTGGAGGTACAAGGTGGGCTCTTCATCATGCGCTGCAATTATGTGTTACTTTTTCATAACGAGCATGGCAATCTACCGTTGAATCTTTGGGCATTACATTATAGGTTTTTTAAAGGGAAAACATAGACTCGACAGGGCCAGTCATGCAGATTGGCAGCCAGACTTCTGAGATCTGACTGGGGCGGGCCCGTGGTTTTTCTTGTCGCCACCTATTGGACACGTTAAGCACTTGCAGCTCAAACCAACAGGTCCCATGAAAGATCTACGCTTGAGCAATAATACATCCTTTCATTACTTCCTTCCTTACTTCTCATCTTTATTATCTTCTTGGCATACACAGGAATATTCAAAAGGTTTGAAATTCCACTTGAACCAAACCATGGACCTCCTTTTTTTAAAGCACACTGGAATTTTTATGGTTTATTCATATGGGGCCCTAGAGTTGGTGATTTCAATTTCTACAATTACAATTCTCTTAAGGATCTCCATATCTCATATCTGACACTAGCATGGCCACCTCAAATAAAGTTAGAAAGGGACAAATAGCCGAATAAATTGGGATTTTTTATTATTTCACATATTTGGTCATTAGTAACAATCACGGATAGATATTGTTATAATATCACCATGTGTGGAAATGCATTAATGATCAAATAAAAAGTGAAACTAGAGACCTCAATGGATTAGGGTAAATTTGGTTCTGGTTTGAACTTGAATTCTATTGTGATGTCATGGTGAGAAGGTCCATATTGATAATGTGTGTCAACAAGGACATGGTTTTCCTTGTGACTTGCCTTGTTCTTCATTTATTACAGGAGAACCCAGAGCAGGACAGGGCGAGCATCTATCACTCTCTCATCATCAACACATCCAAAGAGATGATGTGTTTCAGCGACTTTCCCATTCCTGACCACTATCCCAACTTTATGCACAACTCTTTTATCATGGACTACTTCCGGATATACGCAGATCATTTCAACCTTCTCAAATACATCCGCCTCCAGGTTTTGATAATTTTGTTCAAAATGATAGAAATTTACACGTTTGAAAATTGTATGCACTTTGTAACATGTGTTTTCTTTTTCAGACTAAAGTGCTACACATAAGGCAGCGGTCGGACTTCTCACGCTCAGGCCAATGGGATGTTGAGACAGAGAATAAAGAAGGAAAAAAGGAGAAGCACATTTTTGATGCAGTGATGATCTGCATTGGACATCACTGCCAGCCCCATTTGCCTCTTCATGACTTCCCAGGTACAGCTGAAGTAAAAAATCAAGCTTGAAATCTCATAAAATGTATAAAGGAAAATAATTGCTTCTATGTATGAGGATATCTGATCACACTTACTTCTGGCCTACTGTACATTGTTTAAGGACAAAGGGGCTCATTCACGAATAACTTCGTAAAAATCTTCCTAATTTTCTTCTCAAGTCGTTTTTAAGTAGATTTCTAAGAAGACCCTACGTGGGATTCATCAGCGCGCTCGTAAACCGCTGAATGGTTTGCAGCTGTTCTCTTAAGCCTAGCGTACATCGACAGAGAAACTGGGGACAACTAGTTGCAAGGTGGCTTTTGGCAACTGAGAGGAGATGGAGGGAGATGATCAGTTGCCGAAATCGGTCGATGTGCGCGCTCTTACAACTGGAGATGATCAGTCGGTCTCCAGTTTCAGTCAGTTGCCCGTGTTCTACTTTTCGGCAACTAGTTGTCCTCAGTTTCGGAGATATGACCCGATGTGCGCGCTCCATGCGCCGCTCCGACAACGTGTGTGTATTGCGTGTATTGCGAGCCCGCCACAGTTTATGTCAGAAAACGCACTGTAGTTGAGGCCAGTTGCTGTCGATGTACGCGCTGTTATTCCCGAGACTGGTCTGATACTGGGAGTTGCCCGTTTTCGTCAGATTGTCGATGTGTGCGGGGCAGCAACTCATATGCGACGGATATAATCAGTTGCCAGTCCGATGTACGCTAAGCTTTAGATTGATGAATGCCAACTCCTTGTAAGTAGAGCGCGTGTGCCCGGTGCTTCATTAGCATAGGTACTTAGCATAGGTAACCGCCCAATAATGCCCATAAAAGGGACTGCAGGGCCGTGTGCAGACGCAGAGGAAACTGCAACATGCCTAAAGCAAAGAGTTACACGGAGCAAAAGAGTCACCCTTTTTTCTTCTTTTGCCAGACTAAGAATAAAGTTATAAAATGTTGACTTAAAAGTCGAAATATTATGAAAATAAAGTCAAACTAGCAAAATCATGAGATTAATCTAAAAATATGATGAGATTAATCTAAAAATGTTATGAGATTAATTAAAAAATATATTATGTATTAATTTTAAAATTAATCTCAAAATATTTTGGACCCTGGGAGGAGATCCAGCGCGGACCAGCGCTGAGACCAATTCAGACCCGAGGAGAGACTGGAGTGACCAGCACACAGAAACCAGCGCGGACCTATAGGAGAGACCGCATAGACCTGACTGGAGAGACCGGTGCGCAGAGACCAGCGCGGACCGAAGAGAGACCGCATAGACCAGACTGGAGAGACCAGCGCGGACCCGTATGGATCCAGGAGCGTGCAGCACAGACCCATATGGAGAGACCAGTGCAGACCTGTCTAGATCCATGGGAGAGACCAGTGCAGACCTGTCTAGATCCATGGGAGAGACCAGTGCAGACCCGTATAGATCCATGGGAGAGACCAGTGCAGACCTGTATAGATCCATGGGAGAGACCAGCGCAGAGACTCAGAGTGGACCCCACAACCTCCTGCAGCAGCAGTATATATGCCATTGTTCTGTGGCCCGTGGATAAAGAAATGCCCCCTATAAATAGGAAGGGGTCACTAATACACGGCAAGATTTCCAATGTATTAGATAAAGCGTTGGCACATTTCATTTCAAAATGAATTAAAAAATAGGCTAAATTACCATTAACAATTAAATAAATAAATGCATACATCAATATGAGGGACATATCACTGTAATGTTGTGTTTTATTGAACTTCGAGAAAATTTCATGAATGCCACAATCTTCGTAAAATCTTCATAAGTAGGATTTATGCACAAATTTGTTCTTAAGTACGGTTCGTGAATGAGGCCCAATGTACTTTCAATGGTCTGCCGTGGACCGTTATCTGATTGTGGTTTTGGTGGAAATCTACAGCAATAGTATTTCATTGTTCAATAGAAGTCTAAATTGAAACATCAATGGCAGCATAAATATGTTTTTTTGCATGATTTGGTATAGTTAGTTAATACTTATTACCGCATAAGTGATTTCTTGCTCCAGAGGCTCATTCTCAAACAATATTCTATCCTTATGACCTATAATGTTGATATAGTCTAATATCTTTATACATCATTATTTAGGATAAAGTACATAACATACAAACTACAGTCGTTTCCTAAAACAAAAGCAGAGTGTCTCACATTATCTTGATCTTCCTTTTGTCAGGGATTGACACATTTACTGGAAAGTATTTCCATAGTCGAGATTACAAGACCCCTGAGGACTGGCGGAATAAGAGAGTCGTGGTGATTGGAATTGGAAACTCTGGTGGAGACATTGCTGTGGAGTTGAGCCGATTTGCAAAGCAGGTATGCATTCCGACTGTATAAAATCCATTTAAGAGGTCAAAATGATACTTTTTGTACACTTCACAAACAAACATAGAATCTTAGTGATTGTGTTTACTGTGTGTTCCGTGGTGCATTAGGTTTACTTGAGCACTCGAAGGGGAGCTTGGATTTTAAATCGAGTTGGGGGCAATGGCTTGCCTCTGGATTTATTTTTTAACAGAATCTTACACTTCCTCCGGATCTTGCTTCCTTTCGGAATGTTTTGTAGTTTGGGTGAAAAACAACTGAATCAAAGATTCAACCACCGTCTTTACAACCTTAAACCAAAACACAGGTTAAAAATCTTCTACTTTGATTAAAATTTTATTGTTGAAATGTTGCTTAGATTTCTCATTTTTGCTGTATGTCAGGCTGTTCAGTCAACACCCCACTGTGAATGATGATCTGCCCAATCGCATTCTCTCTGGGACGGTCCAGGTCAAATCCAATATATGCAGATTTCATGGCTCCAATGTTGAGTTTGAGGATGGAAGTATTGTTGAAAATATTGATCTTGTGGTATGTATTATGGAAACTATTTATATTGTGGTAGATGCCTTATTTACGCTTATTCTGAATGCAGTATTTATGATTTACAAATAATATGATTTTCTCCAGGTTTTTGCCACAGGATATAAGTTCTCCTATCCTTTTCTGGCCTCAGAAGTGGTTTCGGTGTCAGATAATAAAGCATCTCTGTTCAAGTACGTGTTTCCACCTGAATTGGACAAACCCACGCTGGCCATCATTGGACTAGTGCAACCACTGGGAGCCATCATGCCCATCGCTGAGATCCAGGCCAGATGGGCCACACGGGTGTTCAAAGGTGGAAAACATTTATTTTACTTGAACAATACTTGACATTTGCAAACTGTTGAATTATGCTTAAGGTCTCGTCAAGCTGCCTTCATCTTCTGCTATGCAAAGAGACATTAAGTGTAAAGAGGAGACAATGGCTAAAAGGTAAATTCTTTATTTGTTTGAAATACTACACTCAAAAGTGCAAATAGATTCTACGTGTAGGTTTTTGAACACAAATGCTTTTTCACACTTTTTTTTTTTTTCAATAATCTGACGGCAAGAAAGTTAAGGGTTCAACTTTTCTGTCTTTTGTAACTGAGAGGTATCATCAGGGTACCAAAACACACACTGTAGAAACTCCTCCTCAACCTGCTATTCACATGAAATTTGATTTGTAGATATTGATACAAATATATAATTTAAATGTACTGCAATGTAAACCTATGTTAAATTGACTGTTCATTTTAAGGCATTTAGAAACTAGTTAAATTGTATTGTGATCAAATTATATTTTTCAGGTATGTTGCCAGTCAGCGACACACCATCCAGGTTGACTACGTTGCCTACATGGATGAAATTGCAAAGCAGTTTGGTGTGATGCCAAACCTGTGGAAGTATCTGCTGACAGATCCCTGCATCTGGTCTAAAGTGATGTTTGGTCCTGTTACACCTTACCAGTATCGACTTAGGGGACCTGGGAAATGGGCAGGGGCCCGACATGCCATCCTGACCCAGATGGAGCGAGTGGTTCAGCCCATGCAGACCAGACCGAGCAATGATCCTGAGCCAAAGCGGGCATGGTGGCCCCTCGTTTTCCCAGTTGCTTTGGGATGGGCTGTATATGTGAATTGGAGCAGCATTTTACCTCTGCTGCAAGATCCCACAGCACTATCTGACAAGATAAAGTGTTTCTTATTTAGACAATAAAATACATTGATCCATGGCATTAGGCCATACATTTTAACCTAAAGATATATTGCCCCTTCTTTCAATTGACATTCAATCAACACATGGTAGTGGGAATCTACAACTGTGGCCACAGCTGCCCTGAAGAAGACCCGCACACCTAATTAATTTTAAAGACACCATCGGGTTGAAGTAATTTTTAGGTTATTACAGCCGACTTAGAGCTACCATCGTCCTGTTTAAGCTTTTTCACAGCTTATCGATCAATTCAAGTGTTATTGTCTTATGTGTTGTAATTTCTCTAATAAAAGAGTTGAATATTTTGAACTTAATAACTTGTAAAAACACCATCCTTCAGTCAGACGTATATCATACAATGTAACACAACATGCTTTGCACAAAAACAGTCTATACCAGTCTGTCGACGCGCACGCACATAATGTGAACACAAAATATATATACACCTTTTCACAAGAATATTCCTGAAATTTGGGTACCAAAAATAATAAACGATTACAGGTCGATGTCAATTGACTTTCTGGTCATTAAGTGTGGCATGATTCCGAGGCTGGTGATGGAGGACTTCAAAGGGCCATCAGCGGACCACGCACAGGACGCCGGAACAAGAATTCACGCATGTCTTGTTTATTATGAGGGTTGCCAGAATTTATACTATGATCTAATGTCTATCCACAGTGATCTCCTGAATGAGCCTCTCCAGAAGATATGATTTGAACTCAGTGAGTCATATGTAATATCACGTTTTTCTTCATTCCTTTTCCACCATTGAGAGACACCAACCTGTCAAATAGAGAGTGACGTGTTGAATACAATAAAGGGGAAAATGTCATGACATGCAGTGATTACTATAGATCCATGCATGCAGCTCATTATGACAAAAGCAATCCTCCAACAAAGTGCAACTTTTAACTCACGTTATTTCTTAATAAGTTAAATCAGTGCAATCCAGTGGAATTTCGAATGAGAAAAGTGCTCAGAGGGTTTCGTTTTGGCTGGCTGTAGAGGGGGATGTGGGACCTATCTGGCAACCAAGTCTCCATCTTTGATTGTGCGACAGGCCGCGGCGCGAGCGGGGCCTCAGTGAACTCAGGTCTGACACGAGACACCGGAGACTAACCCACAGGAGGACCGCAGACCGGCCCCCGCAGAGACCCCACCCGGCCCACACGACCGGTTTGCCTTCAGCCTTTGCGCAACTCAAGACAGGACCTGTGTGCAGGAATAGTAGTTTACTGTAGCGCGTTAAGTGGCTAACTATCGCTAGCCCAACTGGGGTAGCACATCGGGCTAGCAAGCTTTTTGTAATCCACCGGTCAGACACAGACAATCTGTGCTAACCAGGCTCAAAGCGGACTGAAGTGAGAGCATACAGCCCGGACACACAGAGAGCTCCTGTGGTGCCAGGTGAGATTGCATTTCCACATGATTGAAGTTGTTCACTGTTGCAAGTGCTGTGTCTGCAGCGTTAGCTTAGCATGCTCTGACCACTGACGGGCTGATGTGATGGCGACCACATAGAAACGAAACTGTTTGAGCAAGAGGCTTTATTTTGTAATCTGACGTTTTATTTACTACACGTGTTACTGACAGAGTTGCTGAATGTCCCTGTAGCGTGTACATCTTTAAGGACCTTTGTGCCCAGTGTGGGACAGATCCGGACCTGATAGGCCCGTAGAGCTGCCGGTATGAGCCACCCAGCCCACCGGGTCTGATTCATGCAGTGGGATGGCCTGCGGACTCTTAACTTGAGCTCATTTACTGCCGCTGTGTGTCTGGCCTGTAGTTGACAGTCTCTTCTTAGGGTACTTCATGTTCATTGTTACTGAAAATGCGCTTCACTTATCTGGATTAAACGATGTTGTGACTAAATCTTCCAATTCATCGTTGCTCTACTAAAGAGATACTTTGTTACAGTCTGTAAAGCCATATATTGTGCTCTTCCTAATAAAGCATCCCACAGCTGTATGTGTGGTTACCAGCTCTGTTGTCAAATATATTCAGTTTGCATAGTTTAAATCGATCGTTTACTAAAAGAGGTCGTTGTTCTCTAATGTTTCACATTGTTATATTTTTAACCTTTTTGCCGTTGTTATGATTCTTGCAATGTTCTTATAAATTTACTTTGATTGAATATAACTTTTGTGTGTGTGTGTGGTTATGGGTGAGGTCCAGGACCATTTCATTGGAAAAGCTCTGTCACTTCGGGCCCCTCCCTTTGACCCACTCTAAAATCAATTGATCAATTGTCTCAAGTCTCCATCTGTCTGCTTTTATTTTCTTCTGACCACCTGTGCTTCTTCTTGCTGGACACTGAGACCTCCTCCATCTGATGTAAAGGCCCTTCTCTATTGTTTTAGAGTGGTGTTTATGGTGCAAACATATAACTTTCTATCAACTTTTTTTTTCTTGGACTGTTTACCCTCTCACTTTGTTCCCCATCTGCATTAGGTGTGTTTTCCTGAAGCTGTGTTCATTTTGTGTCGGTGAACAGTGTCTCTCCAGTCAATGCGTGATCACTGTTGTCATAACCAAAGACAGCAGCTAAAAGGGAAAAAAGGAAAATGCTGCTTACATTCAAATGTACATACATTGCATGCGTCTCCCTATTTGAGCTTGGATAAAGGTTCTTGAGTCTGATAACATGTCTCGTATAGATACTGTTTTTGTGTGATTATTTAATTGTGATACTTACTGTGAAACTTACTGTGATAGTGTGACCGAAGCTCACCTGATCTACCTGTTTTGAATTGCTTTTAGTCGAAACTTAATATATTCATCGATCAGAAATTCCATTGTCAGCCATGGTCTACAAGACCATTCCTTACCTTAAGTTCAAATAATTGATTAATAATTAAAAACTTATTTTGTAATTTGTCTAAAGTGACTAAAGAAAAATGAGATTATTGTGAGCTTTTAACAAACTGTGCAGACTTAAGTATTAGGGAATAGTCTAAATAAACTTTCGTCACCCGACCAGCTAATATTTTTTTAATTCAGAGTTTGACAATGAGAGGCAGAGAGTAAACCCTATACAATCTTTAGATTTTGCTAATTTTGTCCTTAATGTCATATTTGTTGTTATTTTTCTCCTTACTAACTGAGCATAAAGTCAGGGCTTTGTCTAATAATATGAAGTATTAAGAGGTTTTACGTAACTAGTGACATGAATTATAATTGTGTGACACTAATGTTGCAGCAATGGTCCGGATGAATCTGACTTTGTTTGGGGAAATATATTTCACTTTTCCGCACTGCAAATATCATTTTATGTACATAAGAATAACATGTTTGGTGATTAAAAAACGCTTTCTAAGGTGGGGCAATTTTGCCTTTAAAAAAATCTCTCATTTAGATATTCATACAAATTTGGTCTCAATATTATGAACCCAGATGGCCCAGCCCTTTTGGGGGTAATGAATGAATCATTTAATGTCACAAGCAGGGTGTACACTGAGTGGGGGTTCGACTGAGTTGCAGTCGCATACCAATGGTTTTTTCTGGTCAAATATTCATTGATTTACTTTTTTATGGTGTATTGGTTGAGAGAATAAAATTGAGTATTTGTCCTGTTTTGTTGACCAATAGGACATCATTTTCAAATGGGCACATATTAACCCTTGTGGTCCCCTAACCCAATCTCCTTATGTCTCCGGTTTCACAATTTTGGGCCACTTCAAAGATGGAATAGTTTAGTTTAAGTAAGAATTTCCAATAGAACAAACTTATGTTCTGCATATAAAAAGAAACTGCTACTTACTTGAAATAGGTGAGAGTGGTGAATGCTGTGGTGCTACAAGTAAACACAGCTTTATTTAAACATTAGTCATGCTTTTTTGTATGTTTCATGTATACATAATACAAGGCCATATTGTGTACCCAAAATAATTGTACTGATTATGGCTTTTTTCTTTCTCAAGGAGGCTGGTTCTGGGGGCGTGGCCAAAGGACCAGACTCAATGAGTTTCCATCGAAATGTCAGAGAAGTCAGGGCAGAGCACCAAGGCAAAGGATGGCAAAACAAAGTATGCAACCCTTAGCCTCTTCAACACCTATAAAGGCAAATCTCTGGAAACCCAAAAAACTGCTGGTAAGTTAAAACTTTACAGAAAACATGGGAAAACACTCAAATGTTGGTGTTGATATAATTTATTTTTCGTTTTCTTCTTTTTGGATACATTATGCAGAAACTTAAACTGCAGATTCTCCGCACAGTAATTTTGATGACTTACACTTTATCCCTTATTTCATAATGATTGGATCAAAATTGACAATAATTGTGAGAAATACAATATTTTATGCATGCAACAAATTCACCTGCGGACTTTGCAGAATAAATGGCTGGATTGAACTCAAATGTTCATCTTCCCTGTTAAGATATTTACAGTCATGTAATATAAGAAAGAGAAGATGGAGAATGGTGCGCTGTCCTCCGCTCCTGCAGCAGCCTGCTCCAGTTTGGTATTGAAATATTCTATAATCTTGACCACTTGACCAACACGGATCATCTATTGTGAAGAAGTTCAAAAGATGGTTCATGTTGCCAATATATCTCAACATTTAAGAATTAAAAAATAAAATAAAATTTTATTGTATTGCACTATATTGAAATCGCATTATGTATTGAGTTGCGCCATGCTTTGTGACAGTATTGAGTCCCATTTGTATGTAGTTATCTACATACAAATGTAGATAATGATAATTAAATGAATTCAATTTAGAATACATTATTTACATTACTGTATCTATTCCACTATGAAGCTTTTCTTACCCTCTTTTCTTAGTTGCTGCCAGACATGGGCTCCAGAGTTTGGGAAAAGTTGCTGTCAGCCGGCGTATGCCCCCGCCAGCCAACCTGCCCAGCCTGAAGGCAGAGAACAAGGGAAACGATCCCAACGTCAACATCGTTCCGAAGGACGGCAGCGGCTGGGCATCCCGCAACGAAGCAGGAGAAGAAAGGTTCAACTCTTGGGTATTAGATTTCGTAAAGAACCAGTAGATTACTTTTTTGTTTTTAATATTTTCACAGACAAGCAGAAACCCCTCCACCTCCGAACAAACCAGTAGTTCAAGAGGTTCCAACTGGAGTGAGTCGGTCGTGGGCTAACAACAACAAGCAAAGTCTGGATGGTACGTTTACTGTCATAGTTATCTGTTAAGGTTTATGTATATTGTTGCAAAATGCTGTGTTTACTATAATGCAGGAGTACCTCGTGTGAGTAGTCATTTTCACCAGGAGTTTCCAAGCTTACAAGCTGCTGGAGACACTGAGAAAGGGGACGGTTCAGAGGAAGAACCTTATGGACCAGGACCCAGCCTCAGACCTCAAAGTACGGACTCTTTTATGTGATTAGAAATGTTTACAAATGGTTAGTTTTTTATTTGAACACTTGCAAGACATCATAATTGACCTTCTTGTTCTATAGATGTCGGCAGTTGGGGTGAGGGCGGAGGGAGAAATTTAAACACTGCTCCCAGCCCTGACATGGAGAATAGGCCTCCAGAGGAGGGCAGTGTGGGCCAGGATTCCTCAACACCTCCTGTGGAAGGTGACGAGCCTATAGGAAATGTGGCAGGAGACAAAAGGGACAAGGGACCAGCCCCACCCCAGGCTAAACTCAACGGGGGACAACCTCCTTCCTCTGGGATGCCAATGCACTTTGACCCTGCTTTCAGAAACATGATGCCACCTTATGTGAGTCCTTGGACTAGAGCAGTGTGTCACTGTTCTCATGTTTTGCTCTAATTATATTTGGTGTTTTCTTGTCAGATGTTTCAAGCCTATCCTCCTCAGATGACTTTTGGAAATGCACAAGGAAACTTTAGATTCAATGCACCTCAAGATGGCTCAAAGTAAATTCAATGTTTGGTTTTTTGCATTTGTGGTAATTCATCTCTGGCTTTTTTGAAAGTCTTAATGAAATCACCTTGCAGGGGATCACGTTCGGGACGTGCCCAGCCGCCACCACCTCAGGCCTGGGTTCAGGACCCTGATCGTCCTTCTATTATCAGTGCCACAGAACTAAAGGAGCTGGACAACTTAGACACAGATGCAGATGAAGGCTGGGCAGGTCAGTATCAGATGTGATTTATGTTTGGTTGAACTCAGTTTTCATATCATGGTACTATTTTTTTGCTTTCTGGTTTCATAGGTGCTCAAATGGAAGTAGATTACACAGAGAAGCTAAACTTTAGTGATGATGAAGAAAACCAATCTAAGGACAAAGGCGAAAACTGGTCTGTTTTTATTTTGCATCTGCTCTGAAACAAGCATCCACTGACATTCACTTGTTATTCTTCAGGGAGTGGATGGGAAAAGTTGAGCGTCATAGGCCGAGACCCCCAGACACGCAGGATGGTTGGAAGGACATCTCTGATGGACGTTCTGGCAATAAAGGCCCTTGCACTGATGGTGGGGACCCCAGAGCGCCCTCTCCAGGCAATGTGACTTCATTCAGTAAACCAGGAGCACCATTGGAATACCAGGTAGGACAAATGGCTTCTCAGTTTGGTTTTAGGCTCGTTATAATCTAGATCAAAGTGATTATAGGCTTCATTTATCCTTTAGTTGAGCAGTCGTTCAGTGGGAGGAGTACCTTTACGTGCAAACAAAGCTGGCACTGCTGCAGCACCTGGTGATGAAGACTCTGAGGCCTGGCGGCAGAAACGAAAAAAGCCAGAGGTTTCTGAAGCCGTTGAACGAGCACGACGCAGGAAAGAGGAGGAGGAAAGACGCATGGAGGAGCAGCGCCTCGCTGCATGTGCTGAAAAACTGAAACGCCTAAATGAAAAGCAGCGTCAGTCAGATGGAAAAAATGCAGTGTCCACCAGTGATGACAACGGAGTCTTATTTGAGGACAGTTCAATATCTGTGCTGTCCAATTCCACTCTAATCCTGAATACACAACAGACCCCTGCGCAAACATGTATACCAGAGAGTGCGGAGCTTGAGAGGACTGAACCAGAACTTGGAGTAGACCCAAATACAGAGGAGGCTCAATCAGTTCGTCAGGCTTCATCTCCAGTCCAAAGACTTATAGCTGTGGAGCCTCAGGAGGAGGCTGAGAAGATCCTGACTGAAGTTGGCCCAATTGTAGACGAAATGCCGCCTGACCGGACAGTGGGCCCGATCCAAGACTGTTTCAGTATTGAAGACAGTAGAGGTAACCAGCCCACCATACTTTGTGTTTGATGTTGCGTTAATGTCGTTAGCCTTTTTTAATTTACTGGACTTTCCACTTTTACCTTTGTATGGCAGTGGATGAGCCTCCCCTGCCTCTCCCTCACATGGACGCTCCTTGTGCCGAGGAGGTCTCTGTAACGCCACCGCAACTGGAGGGGGAAGCTGCAGCTGCAATGAGACAATCTCTAACGTCTGGCTACTCCAAACAGTTTCAGAAGTCTTTACCGCCAAGGTTCCTTAGACAACAGGTAAATATATTCTGGAGATGCTTATCCATTTACAGTGCTTATCCATTTTCTTATAAGCAAAATATTGTTCTTAGATTTTCCCGTTTTATTTTATTATAAGTGTACTGTCATATAACTGTTTTTGCAGGAGCAGATGAAGCAGCAGCAGTGGCAGCAGCAGCAGCAGCATAGTGGGGGTTCAGTCTCTCCCTCTAGTGGTACAGTCTCGTCACAGCAGCAGCAACAGCACCGTTCTGTGTATCAGCCTATGGGTCCTCACCATCAGCACCTTGCATCTATGGGCTTTGACCCCCGTTGGTTAATGATGCAGTCATACATGGACCCTCGGCTGATGTCAGGGCGCCCTCCCATGGACATGCCCTCCAACATACACCCGGGTACTATGATTATGTGAAAGTATGATAGCTACAATGGTGGCAAAAGCATGTCTTCATCGTCTTTTTAAAATGTATTTCCATAGGGAGGATGGCACCAAAGCAGATTGTACGTCGAGATCCTGGGGACTCCAGCTCAAGCTCAGACTCGTTTGACCATTTATCCCGACCAATGCGTGATCATAGTTTGCCCTCAGACTCTAGGATGGTGTGGGGGTCCGACACTTACCCCCAACCTGAACCTTTGCCTTCAGTAACGCCTCCAAAGACGCGTGAGGACAACAAGGAGACAAGGTAAGAACATGGACTAGTGTAATAATCCTATTGATTTTCTCCTGGTCTTTTATTAGTCCAAATCTATAAAGCCCCCACAATCTCTCTCATTGGGCTCCTTTATACCTAATTAAATCGAGTTTGCCCAAACACTGGGCGCATTTATGACCAAGACCAGTAAACGACAGATTTTATGTCCATATTATGGAGCTCGTTGAAGGGGCGACAGTAGCTCAGTTGGTAGAGCATTGGCCTTTAGGCCTGAAGGTCGTGGGTTCAATTCCCACCTCAACACCTTCTCCACCGACTCCCACTGCTGTCGTTGTGTCCTCGGGCAAGACACATAACTCCACTTTGCCCAAAGCCCCCGCTGAAAGATCCAGGCTGTGCTCACACTTACAGAGCAGCGCTCCTCCTGTGGACTCACCACCTGCAGAGGGTCAGTGAGGGGCTGGTGCTATGTGACTTGGGTGGCCCCGATCCAGAAATGGATTAAGGGGTAGAAAATGGGTGGTAATTTTACAGGGCCAGCCCCGTTGGTGCGTGTCTCCACTGCAGGGCCATTTACAGGAACTTTTACAGGGGCCAACCATCCTCTGTTTGGCCCTGAAAAGCTCCTGGTGGGACTTCAGATTAACCGTGCTCATTGGCTAAAGCTAGAGCAGTCTCTGACGGCATCAGGAAATACCATAACAACCGCCATTTTTAAAATCTAGCAGCATTAGCCTAGCAGACACCACTGCAAACAGCAGTGAAGAACGGAAACTTTGCCCATCTAGGTAGCACAGTGCGTTGGCACACTGATCCTTGCAAATAAATTTAATTGGGGTAGCAACTTTTATCAAAACTAAAGTTATACAAAATTAAAACAGAGCAATGGTGTCTTGCTTCGAGCAAAAATGATTTACTTGAAGGGAAGGGAAAACTATTAGTAAATTCATCACATGCCAACCCTTTAGCAAAGCGTTAATTTTTATTTGTCCCTTTCTCTTCAGAATGGACTCTGGTGTCGATCTTGAACGGGGTCTACAGACCATATACCCCCAAGACCATAGTGCTTTGGACTCTCGTAAAAGTAGCTTCTTCCGTGACCCTGCAGATTCCTTGTCTGCATTCAACCAGGGTCCAGATCCACCTGTATCTTTAGACCCATGTTTAGGTCCTATAGGATCAGGCTTCAACCATGAAGAGTCAGGGTTGCCCTCTGGGGAGGAGGTAGAGGCTTTAGGACAAGCAATGCTGCAGAGAAGCATCTCCCAAGGCTCTAATCATTCACTAAAGCTTGAAGAGGCCAGATTTGAAGCATTACCTTTAGTAGCCAAAACACTAGAAATTCAGGACTCTGGTGACCGGCCAGATGAAAAACCTCAAAATGACCTCTACCCACAGGCAGTGGTGGCAAACAATAGGTCAACACCTCCGATGGATGGCATACACAAATCTGAGAAACTTCCTCTTCCTGCTCCAAGTAAACAGAAAGCCGAACTACGTTGGGGTGGCCGATCTGGTCCGAGCCGCCGGGAAGGACCAGGTACAGAGAGGCCTCTCCGCAGATCTGGACCTATAAAAAAGCCTGTATTGAGGGATATGAAGGAGGAGCGGGAACAGAGGGAGGAGAGGGAGAAGCGGCATGAGAGAGGGGAAAGAGGGGAGCGGGGAGAAAGGGGTGACCGGTCCAAAAAAGAGCAGACGGTTAAAGCCCCCTCTGCAGCTATTGCTGTCTCAGAAGGAGGCAGAGCTCAGGGTGAGGTGAAGAGGGATGTAGCTGAGACAGAAGAGCCAAAGTCTGTACTACAGAGGAGCAGAGAGTCTCTGCCTTCACCAGGTGGTCCAACCTCCTCCTCTCAAGAAGATAAGGTCGAGAAACCTGCTAGCCATGACAAACACCCCGAACCAAAACTTCCCACTAGAAAAGAGTCCAATCTCCCCCCTCGTTCTTATCGAAGAGACGAGAGAGAGCGGGATCGTGACAGAGACCGTGAGAGGGATAGAGGGGATCGAGACAGAGACCGTGAGAGAGATCAAGGAGATAGAGACAGAGACCGTGAGAGGGATCGAGAGCGGGACAAAGAAATGGACAGAGACAGAGAGTTTCCATCTGACTTTAAAGGCCGTGGTCGGGGCGAGTATTACTCAAGAGGCAGGAGCTACCGAGGTACCTACAGTGGCAGGGGCAGAGGCAGCGGCAGCCGTGGTAGGAGCCGTCCTGAATTCCCTTATAGAGAGCCCAGATCCCGCTCTGACCTGCCTTCTGCTGGAGGTGCTGCTACTTTCCGTAACAGGGAGGAGAGTGAAACACGGAGTGAGAGCTCAGACCTGGAAGTTATGCCAAAACGCAGACGTCGGCGAGGATCTGACACAGACTCTGAAAGTGAAGGTGGTAGAGAGTCTGCCAGTGATACAGGACCCTCTGACAGAGAGCCCAGCACCAAACCCAGCTGTCCCCTCAGACGAGACCTTCCTGGAGACCATAGAGCAGGGGTTCACAAACCCGGCTTTGGCCCACCACACTTAGGAGACCGAGGAACCAGGGGGGAAGATGATGGAAGGCCTAAGCCAGGGTTCCTACCCAAAGGCGAACCATCTCGTCGTGGAAGAGGAGGGTTGTACAGCCGAAGAGGTGGGAACAGAGAGCGGGGAGGTCCGCGCTCAATCCCTCTTCGAAGACCCCCACGAGAGACGTCCTCTCAGTGGCCTTCTAAACCTATGGAGACTTTCAGGCCTGAGGATGCCGACACCACATCTAGATATGACCATCCTGCAGGGGACAGGCGCCCCCCAAGGTCTGAGGGAAAGAAATTTTTAGATGGACTTCCTCAAAGTAGCAGAGAGAGGCCCCGAAGGTCAAGGCCAGCCAGACCACCAAGGCAAGACAAACCACCTCGCTTCCGGAGGTTAAAGGAGCGCGAAGCAGGAGGTTTGGGAAGCGGAGATACACTCCCAAGCCCCCCTGTACCTTTAATCCCGGGACCTGCTGTGGGGACTGCTCTGAACAGTGCCCCTGTGTCCCTCTCCCCAACGCTGTCCCGAGCTCCTGGGACTCCAGTTTCTGTTCCTGCCGATGTGTCCTCTGCCTTAGTGCCGGATTTGCCCTCTTCTGTAGAGGCTTCTTTACCCGATATGAGCAGCTCGGTCACAGCTGTTGGCACCAAGTCCCCTGACTTATCCAACCAAAACTCCTCAGACCAGGCCAATGAAGAGTGGGAAACAGCATCTGAGAGTAGTGACTTCAATGAAAGGAGAGAGCGAGAAGAACGTAAAGGCACCGTTGAGGCTGCCAATGAAGCCACAGCTGCCTCTGCTCCGGTGCCTGTCCCGCCTCAGGGCTCTGTGACTCCAAGTAAAAGCTCATATGATGGAGGACTGACTCCCAAACGGGAAATGATCCCTGCTGCCAAACGAAGCTTTTCCAGTCAAAGACCAGCTGATCGACCAAGCCGTCGTGGAAACCCAGGAGCAAAGCCAGGACGCAGTTATCCAGGGGCCAAAGGAGAGAGGAGAGGAGCACCCAAAGCTGGCCGAAAAGGGTAAGTGGCTGTAAAAAAGGGTACTCATTCTTAAGATAAATATGTATGTTTTTTTAATTGCAGTCTACCTGCTCAACAAAACCTTGAGGGCGGTGCATCTGTGACTGGAGGGCCGACACAAAGGCTCACAAAAGAACAGTCAGCTCGTCGCAGAGATGAGGCCAAACAGGCTGCAAAGAAGTCTAAAGAGAATGCCCTTTCTCAGTTTGATCTGAACAATTATGCTAGTAAGTGCATATGTTAGCTACTACTTTGTGAAATATTGTGAATTGTTTTTCCATTATTAACTGATATTGATCTAAAATGGTTTGGATAATGTTTGAAATTGCGTTTGATGGTATACCCTTAGACATGCAAATTTAGTTTTTGATTTTTATCATTCAAGTCATTATATTAATCCATTGACTATACTTATTTTTTATTTATTATTATATTTTTGCTTACTTTCTCCTTTCATGGTATTTTTTTTTTCTCCAAATAACTGCGGTCATATTGTCTGTGAAATGCTTATTGATTAAGGTATGACTGCAAAAGAAAACCAATAAAATATAAATTACTAAAAAAAAAAATATATATATATCCATAATCCAAATGCAGAGTTTAAAATGCTTTTTATTTTAGGTGTAGTGATAATTGATGACCACCCAGAAGTGACCACCACAGATGACCCACAGTCCAGCACAAATGACGGTTTTACAGAAGTTGTCTCTCGCAAACAACAGAAAAGACTTCAAGATGAAGAGAAGCGGAAGAAGGAAGAACAGACCACTCAGGTAAGGAATTTATTTTTCTCCCAGTGAACATATGGTAATGGTTAAATAAATGTATTTAAGTTAAATGTATGTTTGCAGAACTGGGGTAAAAAAGGCTCAGGTGAAAAGAACAGAGGAGGTGGGGGAAAACTTCCACCCAGATTCGCCAAAAAGCATCCAAACCAACAACAGCAGCAGCAACAGCAGCAGCAACAACAGCAGCAGCAACAGCAGCAGCAACAGCAGCAGCAGCAGCAGCAGCAGCAGCCTCCGCCACCACAAGTCTCACAGCCCTCTGTACCCTCGATGACACAACCAATGCCACAGAGCACTGCCCCCCAGCACCCCCCTCTTCTGCCACCCTCCCAACCTGTAACTACTCCTATGGAAGCTGCTGTGGCCTCAATACCATCAATCCCCTCAAATAATGTGGACTTCACCCCCAAAAGCCTTCCCCCAACACAGACACATAGTGCTCTGGGGACTGAATTGTGGGAGAACAAGGGATCTGCCTCTACAGTCATCCCCGATGTCAAAAAACGTAAGCCTATTTTATTTAATCATATTTTTAGGCACAAGAATATACAATTTTAGTAAAATATTTAATGCATAAACTGAAATCAAGATACATGTATCCAAAATGTTTTGGCTTATGTTTAATAACTTGATTAATTGTAGGCTTTGCACTTTGCTAATTGCATCATTTGTTGAGTCATATTTACTACACTACTTGTGTTGCAGTTGGTCCCATTAGCCCTCCTCAGCCACCGTCTGTGAGTGCCTGGAATAAACCTCTTACCTGCTTCACTGGCACAGTTTCGTCAGAGGTATGGCTCTTTTCTTGTTGGTTGGGTTGTTTGTCTGTCAAACATATATTCAATATTTGTTTGTAAGGGCGTGAAGACGGGTGCAGAGGCCAATGTTGAATTGGGAATGGACAGCATTCAGTTCGGAGCACCTTCGTCTGCGGGAAGTACAGACAGTGATAGCGTACCAGTCTTATTAGACTCTGGCTCTGACAACAAGCTACCTGCTCCTAAAGAACAAAGACAGAAACAACCCCGTGCTGGTCCCATCAAGACACAGAAGGTACTGCTGCTGAAAGTACATCTAGATTATATTACCTTTGATGTTAACTCAATGTTGCCTTTTTGACTGTAGCTTCCTGAAATGGAGCCTGTGGAAACCAAGGAGTATAAACCAGGCCCGATCGGTAAAGAGCGCTCCCTGAAAAACAGAAAAGCCAAAGATGCTCGTACGGGAGATGACGTCATGGAGGGGGTTGTTGCAGGGCCAGGAGTGAGCAGAGCCACAGACCCCAGCCCCCCCACCAGCGACTCCACTGTTTCGGAGCTTGGAGGAGACATCGAGGGCATGATCACAGTGCCCTCTGCTGAGTACACCAGCAATTCAAAGGTACTTACTAGAAGATTACTTTCTTACTGTGAACATGACTAGAAATGTGCTTTAGCCTTTTGTGCGACTTGAATAATGAGTGTAATGTAGAAACCAAAAAAACCTCTAATCTTGCAGGAGTCTGTAACAGACTACACAACCCCATCCTCTTCTTTGGCGGACAGTGTTCCCACCGTAGGAAATAAATTGGAAGAGAGTTTGGTTGCTAATGTTAGTAACAAAAGATTATATCGTCATTTGCTCATCCACCTGTATTGTAATATTGTTTTTTTTCTAGGTTGCTTTGCCACACTCTTTGCCTCTTCCTCGACGAGAAACTCTGCAACAAAGCTCAAGCCTTAGCACAGTTTCACCAGCTACTGTTGATCTAACTTTAAAGGTACGATAGGCATTTTATTTTTTCGTTGACAATTTCGTTGACAATTTCTCTATTCTCAGATGGAGTCTGCTCGGAAAGCCTGGGAAAACTCTCCCAGTCTGGAGAAGAACTCTCCGGCCACTTCTTCTGCCTCACCAATAACATCCTGTGCAGCTTCGTACTCTTCTTTCTCTTCAGCCTCAATGCCTCAGATTCCTGTGGCGTCTGTCACTCCCAGTACTTCTTTGTCAGGTGATTTACTATAGTGCATTAGTTCATAAACGTGAGTCCAATTGCAGACTTACTGTGCATTTCTCCTCTTGCATTGCCATGCATTAAAGATAGGGAATAATAAACACAAAAATGGAATCAAAACTGATTCATGCATTCACTGTGCTTGTTGCTTTCATAACTTTGCTTCAGAAATCCATCTTCATGTTAAAAATATAGAGAATTGCACATAATTGTGAAGACAAGATGGCAGTAAATTCATTTAAAGAAACCTGCACTCTATTATTTGACTCCTGAAGGCTCAAGCACCTACACAACCTCCTCCCTGAGCACCAAGACCACCACACCGTCAGACCCTCCCAACATCTGTAAAGTGAAGCCTCAGCAGCTGCAGTCAAGCAGTAGCTTCTCTCAGCTTGGCTGTGTCCCTCCACTTCTGCCACAACAGCAGCAGACCCCGCAGGTGTACGTCTCCCAGTCTGCAGCTGGTAAGCACAGATCAGCAGTAGTACAATGTGCTATAATATAGGCTCCTAATAAACGTGTCCATCGTAGGTTCTGCAGCTCAGATTCCAGCCTTTTACATGGACACAAGCCACCTGTTCAGCACCCCTCACCCTCGACTGGCGCCTCAGTCTCTGGCACAGCAGCAAGGGTATCAGCCTGGGCTCTCTCAGGTATGTTATCCTGTCACTTACATTAATGTCTCTACAAATAATAAAATTTGCCTTTTTGTTCTGTAGCCTACAGCTGTTCAGCAGATCCCCATCCCCATTTACGCCCCCCTGCAGGGCCAACCCCAGCACCAACACACACACCAGGCCCAACTCGGTCTAAACGCAGGGCCTGCTGTCTCTCAGCCACAGGATCTATTCAGTTCCTCCCTGCAGCCCTACCGGTAAGTTAAACCCTAAATGTTATTCATTATACTCTTTTGTATATTATCTACATCAGTGTTATGGGGGGTGTGGGGTAATGTACCATAATGTGTGCCAACAGTAAAAAGTCATCCTTTCTGTTTGAAAAATGTCTTAGATCCCAGCAGGCGTTCATGCAGAGTAGTCTCTCCCAGCCCTCCATGATGCTGTCAGGGCCATCACTCCACAGTTACCCCGGAGTACAGGCTCCTGATCTGGGCAAACCTCAGTCCAGTTTGGCCTATCAGCAAACTTCCTCCACACAGCACATTCCCATATTGTTTGAGCCTCAGCTTAACCAACCTTCAGGCATGGGCGGCTCCCAGCTCATTGACACACACTTGCTGCAGGTGAGTGAATTACTCTTTTGGCACTTGTTCTTCCAAATAAATAGGTCATTACAGTTACATCATTACAATTACAATCCAGATTTCATTTGCTGCTTTGATCTAGAACTCATTTATTGATAATTCTTGTTTTTTCCCAGTCCATGATGGTTATTGCATTTGCAGTGATCTGATATTGCCATTGTCGTCTTGTGCCCTCTATTTTCCTGTTCTTGTGCTTGTTATTAAGAATAACTCTACTTTAAACTTTTGTTTGAAAATACAAACACAATACAATACTGTTCCTTTGCGAAATTAGAAAAAATTTTTACTTCAATGTGTTTTTCTTTAGGCACGACAGAACTTGAGTCAGCATTCAAACATGTATTCGGGCCAGGTGCAGCAGCACGGCCAAAGTAGCTACTATAGTAGCGCCCAGTCACCTAGTTCAGCAATGCAGCAGGTATGTTATAATGTAACAATGTCCTCCTAAGCTTTAAGCGTCACACATGACTGCAAAGTCACTGTAAATCGATTGAATGTATTTTTGTATAGCCCTAATTAACTATTCAACAGGAGCATCTCAGAGGGCTTTACAATATTGTTAATTCACCAACAATATAACTTTCTAATTAACTTTTGTACAGGTGACAGTCCCTCTTCCTGGCTCTCAGTTGTCCTTATCCAACTTTGGCTCAGGAGGTGGTCAACCTCTGTTGGCATTGCCCCCTACTCCTCCTCAGGCTCAGCCTCCTAACATGAACAGACAGCCTTCGGTGTCCCAGCAGTACAGGAACCTCATGAGCCAGAACCACAGCATGATGCAACCTCCAACAAGCAAGGTGCCAGCATACTGCTCCTACACAGGCCCTTGTTCCTGCTCTTGTATTAATGTACAGTGTTTGATGCAGATGGATATGGATCTCAAGCTGTTTGGCTCTGGGATGGATGTCAAACCTGGGACTCCTCCTGTTAGTGTCAGAAGCACGACGCCCACCTCGAGCCAGTACAGGTAGAAATGACACGACACAATAGCAAATCAATCTGCAACTAAGATTCTTTGGAGCACTTGACATACTTGTTGACTTATCCCAGGGCCAGCTCAACATCTCCCAGTAGCCAGTCCAGTAAGATGAACAGCATGCTCTATCAGAAGCAGTTTCAACCGAGCTCTGCTGCAATGAGAATGACGCAGCACTTCCCTGGACAGTTCAACCCACAGGTAATTAAATGGTTATTACATTTCAATCACCCCTTAACATAACTAAAATAACTAAAAACATGTAATTTTATATTGTTATAATTTATCATGTAATAAGATGTTATTATGAAAGACTGTAGGAAGATTGTGAGTGATGTATGCCTATGGTGGATGGAGGGTCCACATCATTTTGAGGTTTTTTGAGGACCTCTGGGGGGCGCTTGCAGCATTGCACAACCACAGCAGTTGTTTAATATAAAACATGTCCCTTCAGTTCGTTTGATATTGTTTGTTCCATTTTTATAGATCATGTCACAGCCGAATATTGTCTCTCCTCTGGTTCGTCCTCACGCCAACTCGTTTACTGGTGGAGTCCAGCGCTCTCCCATGGGCCCCCCTTTGGGCTCCCCAAATGTTGGTGGAGGTCTGATGCCCCACCCTCGAGCGCAGCACCCGCAATTACAGCACCCACAGCACGCTCAGCACCCACAGCACCCACAGCACCCACAGCACCCTCAGCACCCTCAGCACGCTCAGCACCCTCAGCACCCTCAGCACGCTCAGCACCCACAGCACCCACAGCACCCGCAGCACCCGCAGCACCCGCAGCACCCGCAGCTACAGCATTCACAACATCCACAACATCCACAGCATCCTCAACATCCACAGCACTCGCAGCTGCCACCCAGAGGGCCACTCGGCCCCTCACTGGCTCCCAGAGGTACCCAGGCGGCACTGAAGGCTGAGCAGGACCTTAAGGTGAGCCCATTATGTTATGTCTGAAACATCAGAGATATACTTTCATATATACAAATTTGTTGCACTTCTATAATCATCCTTTTGAAAGTGTGCCCTGTAACGGTGTGTGAGTGTTGTATGTAGTGTTTACTGCTCATCTTACTCTGATCTTTCTCTGTGGAGTTTGCATGTTTTGCCCCATGCCTGGGTGGGTCCGGTTTCCTCCACCACCTCTTGTTTTCACTACCACTAAAACATGTACAACAGTTCAGGTTGATATATGGATGGAAATTAGTCCATAATAGCGCAAGGTGTTATAACTATTTGTGTGGCACCAGTTTTATCTTGTCCATATTTTTACAATTGTGAAATTACTGTTGGTGTAAAGGTTGTGGCTGTTTGATTTACTGTGTAATCCACTCAAAAACTGTACGGAAGCTTGAAAATAATCTAATTTTAAAAAAACAAGAATTTTCCCAATTGAAGGGTTTTTATGTGTCCTTTTCAGGCAAAGCAAAGAGCTGAGGTGCTGCAATCCACTCACAAGTTTTTCTCGGAGCAGCAGCAGCAGCTGAAGGCTCCTCCTGTGAACAAACCTCGTCTGGACCAGGTGATAAAGCCCACAGTCGATGTTCCTGCTCCAAATCATCAAGTGAATGAGCGTCCTGAAACAGACAAGCCTCTCATCTCCACTACAAAACCCATACGGACTGGCCCCATCAAACCCCAGGCCATCAAACCAGAGGAGGGCAAGTAGAGCTCTGTGTGGCCTCTGGTCCAGACTTCATGAAAACTGGGGAGAGTGGTCAGTCCTGGAGTGAGGTGCACTGCATCTGCACATCTGTAACCCTCTTGTTTCTTCCCCCTAAATCTGTCTGATGTTGGAGGGACATGGAAAATCAATTCTATAATTTACGCCGTCTACTGTAAGTAGATCATGAGTGTTGGAAAATAAGAATTTGAGATTTGCTGCAGAGTGACTTTATAGCTCTCAATTTCTGTTCTTTATTTTCTCATTTCTGTATCCCTCCCACCACACACGATAGAATCACTCATATTTTAAGACACAAGTTTTGTTAAAAGAATCAATGTTGTTTGTAACTGAACAAGGTTTGATAAACGTCATTTTGAGATTTCCCAGTTGACGATGTAACGGTTTAATTCAAGATACTGTCAATAGAGACCGCAAATCAGTTTGTTGTTTTTAGTTTTGTCAGAATGGAAATGTGAAATGGCAGTGGTGATTGGACATGGGGAGTTTCTTCTGAGCGTTTGTTTCCTTGTCCATGCCTGATGAGTGTTTTGAGATGAACAGGAAAGCCCTCCTGAAATATTTAGCCAAAGGTTAAACAAGCGGAGAGATGGCGCCTCAGCCTTTTTGATTGCTGTTGCTTTAGGACATTTAAATTTAACCATTTTTGAAGATGATCACAATCTTTCGAGGTATACAGTCCCAACACCTGTCATCGCTTTCACACGTTTGCTGCCACAGACACATGTAACTGTACAGCACCAGAACTGCTGCTATTGACTGATTTCAGTGCCCTTAGCTAAAGTAGGGCTATTTAGAGAACTACAAATTGGCTGATTGTTTAAATGGTAAAGTGCGATCCTCAGTGCTTTTGGAGGAATTTGATACAACAGATGAAATAAGCCTCCATTTTGAAGTGTTTGAGCTAAAGAACACTTGTTTTGCTGATGAACGCAATCAGTGGTGTTTTGTCTCTGCCTCCTCTCCGCTGGCTGTCCTGACCAAGGCTCACGAGTGCAGACGAATGCACCCTGACGCCTCTGTCCCAGGAGGGAGACTTTTTTTTTTTTTTTCTTTGTTGTACAGGGGTTTCATCGCTGTATTAAATATGTACGGTCTTATTTACATTCTCTTGGTTTGGTTACAGAAACTAATAAAAATATATGATTGAGACAGAGTTGTTTTTTATTTTAAATCGTACAATGATATAAACACTCGGTGGTACAACAAAAACATACAAGACATGAACATGCAATATTAATGGCAGTTAACATGTTCTTATTGCATTATAGCAGATTTGTAATGACATTAAATTAAATATCTGAGCATGTAGCTTATAAAAGTAAGCCACTTAAACACAAAGTATAAAAATAATTACTCTCGCGTGAACCAGCAAAACATTAGAACAACATCCCATCAATCAACAGGTCAAACAATTCATTTTCCTCTGACTTTTTGATTATTGCTGCACTATAAAAGAAGTTACATTAGTTTCTTGTCCAATAATCTCTGCAGCCCTAATTTGCATCTCTCACTCTTTCCCCCCTTTTAATGATCCAGTCTTTGACAAAAGCTCTTGTCCATCAGTCTCCTGTCCCTCACTTGGCTTGCTGGCCCAACCTCAGCTCGTAGGACACTATGTGGAAATTGTCCCAGGCCAGCAGCTTCTTCTGCACCGGATTATAATCAATCATGCTGTTGTAGCGGTACTTATTCTTGAACGGGACAGACACAGTGCGGCCCTGGCTGCTCCCGGTGTCGTATACATAATTGACAGTGGTGTCCGGTGATGTATAGCTGGACACCGTGTACAGTTTGCCGCAAATCATGAAGGCATTGGCCACAGAGTTCTTCCTGATGTTGGTCTCCCAGGTTTTCCTCACTTCCAGGCTGTTGGGGTCGAGCTGTGCGATCACAATGGCCCCTCTGGCTTTGCTGGTGGAGTAGATGGCCCACAGACCTTGTTCGTCCACGGCCAAGTCTATGTCTGTGTATCCGCCCCAGGAGTAGGGGAACTGTCCATGGAAGCCGGCGTGGGGCAGCTCCCGGCGGGCGGCGATGCTCTCGGAGGACAGATCGTAGCGGATCAACGTCCTGCTCCTGCGCCGCTGGTAATAGAGAGAGCCGCGGTACATGGTGGCCCCTGTGCCCTCCACTGGGTCAGGCAGCAGCAGCACCTAACAGACAAAATTCAGGGTTTTTTTTGTATAATAATAATATTCTGACCACCAGCAGCCACTCGCATACACACACTCACACCTAACTTGTACTTGGCAATATGGTTGAAGTATCTTGCCCAAGGACACAATAACTGTGGCACCTGGTCTTTCTATAGATCTCCCATCACAGTAATAACCAGGCCCTGCCCTAATTTGCGTCGGAAGGGATCCGAATTTTTATGTGGGCAGAGATAAAAGTACATTTGCCTGGCAATTAGTATGTGTATGACTTGTTGAAGTTTTGTAAATCAAGAGAATTGAATGTATATCTCATCAGTTATTACTCACCAGACAGACAATATGTATTTTTCAATGTCTCTGGGGATTTGCTTTCAGGAACTTTAAGCTTCACAGTCTGAATAGAGGAAGGCCTGTCATAGCTTAACCCTTTTCCGCAGCTAAAAACAATCATACTGTATATACTGTTAGGACGTGGTGAAGAATGCTATAAAAGTAAATATTTTTATTCTGCAAGATTTGTAGGTGTTGAAACTTACTGAGATTCCCTCCCAAAAAATTATTTATGGAACATTTTTCACATCTCATGCTACTGTTGGCGATTCATGGATGATGTGAAGGCGTAGGTAAGTAAGTAAGTAAGCTTTTATTTATATACCGCCTTTTCACTGCACATCGGAGTCTCAAAGCGGTTTACAATTGTTGGGTGGGGGTGCCAGTACAGGAGGCACATGCCATACCTATTGTTCATATTTTTAGTGGTAGGGGAAACCGGAGCACCCGGAGGAAACCTACGCAGACACGGGGAGAACATGCAAACTCCACTCAGAAAGGCCCTGGTCCAACTGGGATTCAAACCCAGGACCTTCTTGCTGAGAGGCGAGAGTGCTATCCACTCAGCCACCGTGCCGCCCGTAGGTCTATGTGTATTGATAGAAGTGGACAGATGCAGGTGATATTACTGTTATTTCTACAGGGGGAAGTCAAAGAATAACACTTGATGAACATACTTTTGAGGGGAATCCTTTAGAGAGCTGCTCCATGTCCTCATAACCAAAGAGCTGTCTGATCTCTGAGCCCACAGTGTCGATCCTCCAGACCATGTTGGGGCCGTAGGGAGACGTCGCTTCTGGGTCTTGCATCCAAACGCCGTATTTCCCCGCGATGCTATCTGCCTTTCTGTGTGTGACAGGTTCAGCCACCGACACTAGGTCACCACATCCTGCAGAAGAGACTTGTTAGTTTAGTAGAAAAACACTTAAAGCTGGGGTACATCAATGTTTTTATAAATGGTACATTTTCTCATTCTTCCAATAAAGAGTCCTGTAAAAGTAAAATATAGGGAACAGATTAAACCGCAGCATCTTATCAGTAAAAAATTTTCAAACAGAAACCGCCCTGTGAGTTACTATATGACACTTTGAGTTGAGAGCTGATTGGTTGAGTGAGGGTGATCCACTCTAACTTTTCTGTCTGAAAAAGCTGAACTAATGATGTGACAGAGGCCAAAATGGCATGTGTGTGAAAATTATAGATAAAACTGTTTTAGAGCAAGGAATTAGTTACCCGTAGATGGATTGTATTACATACTGTGGTGTTGTGGTTAGGTACTTCAGCTTTAAGCATGAGACTGTAATGAATATTGATAATTTTTTTAAATCTGGAAATAACGTATACATTTGATCTTCTGTTATAAATCCTTTTATTTGTGTAAAAGCAGGTGATAAAATGTCCACTTTGTTATTTGTGCCTGACAAGTCTGTTATTGTGGAGTCAGGGCTGTCGATGCCTCACGGTGCCATTACACTCAACCCAGTTTTAACACGACACATGATAAGACACTTTATATTTAACACTTCCTAAAATATATCCTCTCTGAGCGTTGAGGAAGTGACTCTAGATTTAGTATCTAAATAAAAGGAAAGAATATATTGATGCTGCATCATAACATGAACTGACCTTGCCTGACCTTTCTGTTTTAAGCTGACGCCTTGGATTTATTGTCCTGATCTTTAGGTAAAAGAATCTCTACTTGTGTCTATTTTGAGAATGGGAGTAAGTTTTTGCAGCTAGATAAAGCTGTGCCATATGTTTGTTTATCTCTGGCAGTGCTTCCAATTGTAGGGTCCGGAGCCCCCTCTGGGCCTGCAAATGCCGATGTGCAAACGTGAGAAAGGAGTTGGTAAATAACTACAAACCAGTGCCGTCCTGTGTGCTCCCGGGAGCAGGGACCTGGGTCACTTCAGCCTTTAGCTCTTGGAAATCACTGGGAGATCCATATTGCCAAGCAGAATCTGGGGACAGAAAAAGAAACGCACATATGTCACAAGGGTGAGGGTTATTGTGTTTTAAGGCCAACTGGTAAATTTATACATGAAAGCGGCTAAGGGAAGGACCTAGAAAACAGTGTTCTCCGAGGTCTCCCATCACACTATGTACCACAGTGAGGCTGAGGGTGTATAATACCAAACTGTCTTCACCTGGTCAGTCCTGGTCTGTCTCCCTCCCTCTCTGCCATGTCTTGCTTTAGCCACACAGTCCAGACCAAATCAGGACCATTTCTGGCTGCCTTTACTCTCAGGCCAAGTTGACATTTTATAGTTGTTTGCTTGTGTGCAAAGTCTTTGAATTTGATTTACTGTCTTAAAACCAGGGGCGTTGCAGGGGATTCTTTGGTCCAGGCGCAATGTCAAATAGAGTCCCCTGAACAAATGTTTATTAAAATATGTATTTGTTTCTCTAACCCTAGCCTGACCAACTTGTATGACGGCGACACATCTGACTAAATATTATAACTACAATTCTAATATTATTTTTAACAGCATCAAGTCCTGATTAAAGGATCTAGAATTCCAAACATTTTCAGCAATTTGATCCTTTCAGTCAGTGGCGCTCACCTCTCAAACTGCTGCTGTCTCCCTGTCTGTTGGGCCTTGTCATCAGATTGGACATGGAACCAAAGCCTGAAATAACAATGACTTGCTTTATTGACTTACATCTCTTGAACGGGGAATTTACAGTTAGATTAGAATTCATTGAATGTCATAAAATAGGTAACATAACAACAGTAATTTTGAAAGACATAAAATTGAAAAGGTTGGGAAAGTTATGATAAATCTAATTATTTATTGAATTGTTTTTGAATACTGCGGCTATAAATGACACCATGCTAGTTTATTAATGACAAATATAAATCCAGACCCGAGCTAATGGCAGCGGCACAGTGGGGAATACTCGCTTGAATTAATTCCCAGCTGCCCCGGAGTCAGACTGGCGCTGGATTGGTTGAAAAGTAGGTAACACGGCTCACTTGACACCAGTACGCCGCAGTTCTCCACAACCTTAGCTTGGCCCTCATCCCTCTACATCTCACACGTCATTCACACGTTCATAAATCTTTCAAAGCTCCTTGTACTTTGTCCCCAAACTGTCTACACTTTCTCATTATTTTTCACCATAACATTTTGGCCAAACTTCAGTGACGCAGAGCTACATGTCAACACATACTGTACATACTGTAACTCATATATAAATTAGACAGTAATGATAAAATATAAATCCATCCAAAGTCTTGACACTGTACTGTACAGCTTCCACTACTCTGCAATCATTTCAAATACAGCTGTTGCTTCTTTTGTGGCTTTGAATGGAAGAGCTTGTTATGTTCTGTCAGGAGTGGCCAAACTGTGGCCCGGGGGCAAAATGCGGACCCCAATGAAAATGTATTGGCCAACAATGTTTTGTATGTTTTTTTTTTACTGAATTAAAATGACTAAACTCTACTCAAACATGATTGTACTTAAAGCTGGGGTACCTTATTTTCAAACGTTTTTATTTATTTATTTTTTGAACAAAATTCTCACTTTCCACACAGTTCACTACTTTTCACATTCATGCATCTTTTGGACTCCTTCACATCTTTCAATCAGCTTTTCCATTAAAATAAGAAAGGTTAAAAAAATATATATATTAGAAAATAATAATAAAACTTATGTCTAATTGGACAAAGAATGCATATTATTTCTGAAAACGATAACTACTATTCTTCAAGAACAGTTTGTAACTACTAAACCTTTTTGAATATTAATTTGGATTTCCTATCAAGTTTGTCTTCTTCCTATTGACTTTTGGGAATCATTTTCATCTCATTACTGTTGTATGACTGCATAAAGGAATAGACCAATCAGTCAATAAAATAAAAAATAGAAAATGATTTTTTTCTTTTTTTAAGCCAAATCCCTGCCAATGCCACTACACAACATAACAACGAACAGAGCTGATACATTGTGCTGCTTGTTGCTCTGGAGGCTAATGACTTTAATGATGGAGAACCCCAAACACTTGCAGCTGGAAGTTTGTTGACAAAGAAGTGAAAGAAAAGACTTCGGAAATAGGTTGAAACGGTAAATAATCCTTCCATTGTGGCTCTGTGTGTGACATTGTAAACCACCTTGGGCTTTTAAAAGTTTGTCTATTTAACAAACTGCTTTACAACCTCTTTAATGCATTCACCTTAGTGCTGCTTTCTCCCATGAGATGCAGCCATTCATCATTATTTCAGGCCAACAACAGAAACATTCTTGCAGTGCCTGTCAACCATGTGTTCTGGCTTTTTGCATGAGACACAAATAAGCATTGACACGGCAGCAAAAATAATATCCAAAAGTAATAGCAGGCTGTGCCTGTTACATCTTATTTAAGGTCAGTAATGCTCAGTCTCAGGCCAAGCTACAGCCTTCGTGTTGTTTTACAGCCGGCCCCACATGTATTTCACTTTACCTTTTATTGCTCCTGCGGTTTTGCAAATTACTGATCCAGGAAGCATCCGCAAAAATGTTTTTCTAATGTAAGAATAATATCCAAATATTGGAACAGTGCCTCCTGTCTGCTGTTTGTGTGATTTACAATTCCACTGCGAAGGTTCAAGAGCAAGTGACACCTCGGTGTCATGACACACTGTGGCAAAGACTCTGTTTGCTCTAAGTGACATCAAAACAAAACCAAACATGTGGAGATACAGGTTATATTCAATCATCAGTGCTTTTCCGTGGTTCTGTGTCAGTATTTCATTTTGCTGACACTTCTCAGAGTGCTTGTTTTGCCTAAAACATAAGGTTTAAGGCATGTCCAAAGTCTGGCGCACGAGCCAGAAGGGGCCCTGGAGAAAATACAGAAGCTCCCCTGAGCATCGGCAACCAAAACATCAAGTGGAAAAGTAGTGACTTTTTCATCTGTTGTAATGACGAGCTCAAGTTTAAAGTAATTGCACCAAAAGTCTCATAAAAGCTCCATAATGTTCTGTCTAGCTAACAAAAAGTAGCCAATGAGATCATAAGCAAAGGTCCACAATGTCATCCGGCCGACTTAACAGAGTTGTCAGATATGAATCAAGAGGGACACACATACCAACATCAGGGACACATCATATCCACTCAAAAACATTTTATAATGAGGGAAGTCGGCCCATGGACAAGCCTGGTTAACTAAAGCGGTCCTCTTACTAGAAAGTTTTCTTTAAATATTTCATTGCATTATACTCCTAAACCTATTGCCCAACTGTGACTTGGCTCTAGGATGTCAAGGGTTAATGCCATTCTATAACATTCTGGAAAAGCAGGTGTCAGACAAACCATAAAGTAAGAAAGTGTACGGTCAAGGTCATGGTCTACCCCCTCCTTTGGTGATGTCAATAAGGCCAAGTTTCAAATCGGAAAATACAAAAATGAACATGCAAAACGCATAAAGCAGAAGATCAGCCACAACAAGAAGAAATGCTCAATGATTTACAAGCCATCAGGATTAATGGCGTGTGAGTCAACGACCTAATTCCGGGTGTTTGGCCACTGCAAACAGAATACCAGAGTTCATCCTTGGGGCCCATAACTCCTCTCACTCTGCCTGGCCTTCTAACCTCTGGACTGGGATAGTGTTCTTGGCCCCCCTGCACGCCTCATCCCACCAACACCGACCCACCGGGGCGGCTCTAGTGGCTGGGAGTCATCCACGGCACGGAACTTCCACTTCCAGAGCACTCGCATTTCAGAGCCTCCTCGGAGTATTCGCACCATGCAGAGGGAACCACCGCTCATAATAAAACCAGGGTCCAGCACATAAATACTGGAGTCTCTGTGGACCATAAGCAGGCAGGAAGGGAGTTTGGTAACTTGAAACCGGTGGAGAGACCTTTGGGGCCATCAAAACAGACCCATAGCCACACACACACACACACACACACAAATAGGCTTAAGCTCAACACATATACAGAGTAATCTCCTCGAAATTGCACCGAGGGGACTACACAGCACGTGGACCGGACTTGGCGGGCGATTGCACTGAAGAGTAATGTATATGTAGCATGGTATGTCTACTCTACATGGCAAGTCTGAGTCATCCCTTGTCTGCTCCTACTAACCCTGTTGTTGCGTTTACATACTTATTCAGTAAAAGCATCCACATCCTGAATGCAGAGATCCAAAGTGACAACAACCTCAGTGCAATGCAATGTAAATCTATTGTCTATTTTGCTTTGTGTTGTACATACACAATCCATCTCACATGGTTATCACATTACTTATAACTTTGCAACATTTTGTACGACTGAGGGCTTACACAAACTTAACATTTTACAATAACTTTTCTAAATCACGATTCAGTAATACCTGATCTGCAAGAGAATCCTTGAGCCACAGTTTGAGAAACACGACACAAGTTACACGTGTGAGGGGGTGTGAGATGGGCGGGCATTTTTCAATCAGCTCTTCTCATTCTGTCTTGAAATAGAAATAAACCACGTCGAGGTCTCAGATGCGTCTAAAACAGGAAACATGCTGACAGCCGCCCAAATGTTATTCTTCCTAAATGTCATTAAGATTTGTTGTGCGATAGCTGTTGATGTGTGCATGGCTGTTGGTGTATCCCTTACCTCCCGCAGGTCTCCTAAGGGTGCTGTCTTGTAGAGGGGGGCTGGGTGGCACGGCAGGGGTCTGGGCAGGACACGGTTTGCTCCTCAGCCTCTCCGTCTCGCGTCGCATTTCTTCTACTCTGCCCTGAAGTCCCTCTAGTTCTCTCTCCAAACGCGCCTTCTCGCCTTGGAGCAGGTTCCTCTCACCTATTGCCCTGTTGAGAGAGTCCTGGAGGTCTTTATGGGCTTTGGAATGGGTGGATGGTGGGGTGTCTGTCTCTCCTCCGCTCAGCCGGGCGACCAGGACTTCCAACAGGCTGAGTCTTGCCTTCAGTCCCTCCATCTCTGGTCCTCCGTTCTGGGGGCAGCTGGTCTCAGATGGACTTGGGACGCTGAAGGTGTACTGGCATCTTCCACTTCGGTCATTCCCTCTCCACATTGCAGCTCTGTCCTGCGCCTCGCCTTGCATAAACAGGCCACAAGTGCACAACACAGCAAAGAGGAACATCTCTCAAAGCTAAGATCAAAATCTCAAGTATTTTTGTTGGTTCAGGACTTCTTCTTCAAGTGTGTTACTCTGAGCTCTCCCAAACAGCTCACAGATATTTATACAATCTGGAGGGGGCTGAGGTGAATGGGAGGGAGGCAGTGGGCGGAGAGGGTGACACAGTGAAAAAAGTGATGAGACCTGAAGCATGTTTGAGGACAAAAACATTCAACGTCCCATTGGGTTTCACTGGATCTGTGCCATCTGAGGTTAAGTCGTCTGCCTTTTACTGGACGAAATGACTTTGGCATCAGGTTTACACAGGAAAATAAATGACCTTTTTTGGCATGTTCACAATCCAATTAACTCAGATTAGCCCCAATCAACAATATGTCAGATTGGTTTAAAAGTTATAACAGATTAAAGGTATGCAAACTGTACACATGAACCCTTTAACGGTTTCCTCAATCATTTGGTAGATCACTTTTCGAGTCTACTTAAAACTTGGAACTGAAATCTACCTCATTGGGGAATCTCTATCACTTAGTTTTAGGTTATTTTAACATCAAACTGAATATTAGACATTTGGTAAAAGCCAAACAAAAAACTAGTGGTTAAAAAAACATTAAACAAAAGAAAAAAAGACAGAAAATGTTATGGCTTTCTTCAAGTAGTGAACATTAAAGGGTTAATATTCACACATTTGATCTATTACATAATCCTAATAATCCTTACCATATAAGTAAAGGTTCCTAGTTAATATAAAATCATCGGAATTGAAGAAATGAAAGAGAAATTCATCCCTAACTGCATTATAGACAAGCCCTTATGTTAATTTGTTTTGATATTGTTCTGAAACTGAATCAACATTTATCGGTGAATCGGCTTCAAACCAGATTATTTTTCTGGAGACACTAATAAAGCAAATTGAAATGGATGCAAGAACTTCAATATATTCAGATTTGGAGATGACTAAAAATGTGCACAGGGGATGCTTGATACAAGAGTTTGTTCTGAAGGAATTATTAAACATCTTTCACTAAAACAGACTCTGGGATTCAGCGTTCCTGCTACATGTCAAATATTCTCTGCCATTATGTCTTTTGGTTTCTCTGTACAAGCAGTGACGAGCCGAGCGAGTTCCAGTTCCAGGGTATGATTACTGTTGAGGAGCAGTGTCCTCTTTCATATTGGTAGGGGGCCAGAACATGATGCACACGATAAAGCCAGTCTTTTATGAGGGCACAAGGTCACAACACCTGATGCTGACCACAACATGGAACTTAAGTCTGAACCGAAAGTGCAAACATTTGTAAACGTCACTTAAAAATTTGCTTTTTTTTGTATTTTCATAATTTTTTCCTCTTGCAATAAACTACTTGAATAACTATTGCCTGCTGGTATTTTTATTCACACATCCCTCAAAACCAGTACAGTTAAATAGTGACTTTTCTGAAATACCTGCTTGTCTCTTTTCCAGAAATATGTCACAATCTGGCAATAAACACATGTTGTTTTTATAGAATATAACATGTTTTTGTGGCATCATTGTTACACAGAAAAAGTCACAAATTAAGTTGTAAATTACATCTTCTATATTATGAACACTTGTCACATGTACAACACAGTTTGTACTCAGTGTATTTATTACCTACTATTGCATCCGGGATAAATACTTATTCTTACTTACAATAATAAGAAATAAATACAAGTCAAAACCTATACATATATATGATAACATGGACTGATTATGCCTCAATTACTTACATTTCCTCCATGTTTAGTCTTCATGTTTACATTTATTTTGTGTTATGTGTTGCTCATTTCCTGTATGAATGCTATGAACAAGAGGAGAACACCTCCCTTGTTTCACCTTTCAAAACATTGCAAATGTAATCATTAATTTAAAGGAGTAAATATTTTTGGATATTTGACCCAGCGGCTGTATGGGTGGTTAGAATGGCATCTTTTCTTTCAATCTCAGAGGTCTTTAGGATGATATAGGATCAATTGTTTGGAAGGTTTTCTCTGCAGAGGGACCCACGCAAAAGGAAACGTACAAAACACTTCATCCTGGAGCAAATGTAAAGGCGCCATGATACCCAATCAATCAATCAGTCAATTTTATTTATAGAGCCCTTTACAAACACTCAAGGCGACCAAAGAGCTTTACAAGAAAAAAGCATATAAAAAAAAAAAACTACAACTCATATATCCACTGAGTCAAAGTCACATACCCACAAATAAATGTTTTTTCCAGCATAATTTATCATTAGATTGACTGATTTGGTAACAGTTTAATAATAATAATAATAATAATGCATTGGTTTTATATAGCGCTTTTTTGGACACTCAAAGACGCTTTACATGTGTCATTATTCATTCACTCCATACACGGTGGTGATGTAATATACTGTATAGTTTGAAATCTTATCAGACATGAGTGAATAATGTGTGGTGTAATGTGGTAATCCTCCAAACAGAACGTTCTTCCTTTGGGTTCCTCTCCCTCAGGTCTTCCTCCTCTCACCCCTAAACAACCACTTGACCCATATCATTACTCCAGGAAGAGCATAGAGCAGAGGGGCTGAGCTGATTGATCGACAGCTCCTACGGGGGCAAACAAGTGTGTGTAATCCTTAAAACATGCCACTGGTATGGGTGTCCTGGGCAGTGAGGCTCTCGAAATGATGAATTGCTCAATATGCGTTTGATTTGCTGTATTTGTAGTTTGGGCACATCCTTTGAGTGGAAATGTTAAACAGATGAGAGGAGGATGAGCAGAGGATGGCAAGTTATGTGAAGTAAATGTCGTTCTGCAGTCTTCTAGAAGTAGAGAGCGGTCTAAATCACACAAAAACAGGGAGGGTAGGAAAGACTACGCTCATGGGAAAGTTATAAGAGGTTGGCAAAAATCATGAAAGCAGTTTTGAAAAGTCTATTCTTCCAGACTGCTTTCTATTTCTGGAAATCTACTTTCTCCAATAGTGACATCGATCAAACAGGTCATTGGTCAGAGTGTGTGTGTGTGTGTGACAGAGAGAGACTGCTGCTGGCCGCCACCTTGTCCACTCTTCTCATTTCATCTTAAATCTGCTTTTATGTGACTTGTATAACAGCTGCTATGCCTGGAATCTGAAAGCATGCAGCACGGGTCTGTACTGGGACCAAAACAATATCTGCTGCCAGAGGAAAAGGATGTAAGAGGACAAATATTTAATAAGCAGATCCTATTTTTATCTGGGGTCTTTGAGAAATTCAGGACTGTCAGTCATGGTATCAATCAAAAAAACAAATCTATGCAGGGGAACATTAGTAGACACCACTTTCTTCATTAACTTAAAGGTATATAGGAGGATTTGCCCAAATTTTAGTAAAGAACCGCCCTCTCCACCTTCAAAAAAATGTCTGGTTTTATTTGATGAGCGTATCACCAGAGTGATTGACAATTGGGAGGACCAATAGTCATGATCCACCCGGAAGTAGAAAATCCTCCTGTATACCTTTAATGGCCTTTCATGATTTGGATCTTGCTTTTGTTTTGTAAAGCGCTTCGGATTGCCTTGAATATGAACCGTGCTATACAAATAAACTTGCCTTGAATTCAACAGAAGCAAAACAAACATAATTTATTTCAGCATTCTAGAAATATTGATCTATTTTACTAGTTTAATAATTGTCATTTTCCTTGGCTGAAGTCTTGAGCAGAGTCATGTATAGGCCGTTATGTCTTTGTAGACTGACTTCCTAGACGCGTGATGTCATCTCTTGATAAGATTTGAAATGTACGTCTAAATTTACTTATATTTCTTCCAAATGTTTGCGTTTACAATCACTATCAGTAATTCCATCAAAACTACAAAGACAGATGGTTGGCCTGACCACTGTCCTCCTTTACTTTATCTACAAAGCAGTTAAATATGGTCCCACTATTTCTGCCAGGTAACTGAAATAGATCAGTGAATTTACAGGACTTCAGTCTTCACTGATTTACTGGAGGCTACAATCGGGGTTGTTGAAGTATGCTAAATTTGAGTCTTGGTCTGTCAGAACAATAAGCCATCATAGACTTCACCTGTGCCAATAAAAGGCCATTCAAAATTCTGGTAACAGGAAATAAAAGTTTAGCATGGGTGGCAAGGCAGTAGGTACCATTTCCATATGTGACTTACCCTTTCTTGTCTTTGGTGGCCTCTATTCTTTCCCTCAAGTCAAAATCCAGTTGAAACAGACCACAACAGAGCCCTTTAAAATAACTTTAATTCAGAGCAAAAAACATTGTTAGGTCTTCCAATGCAATGTCAAACTATATTACACAATCAATATTTACAACCAAAATAAATTAAAAAGGAATAAAATTACATTGTTTCATGTATCATACAACTTAAATACACACATAGAGGACTGGGGAACCTTTTCTCTTGAGAACCGTGTTGGCACTATAACCATACAAAGCATTTAGCAGCCATCTAAAGATATCTGCTCCTGGATTTCCGAAAACGTAACTGTACTCGATGGAGGAGCTAAGACCAGACTGGGAAAGATGAGTATTGGTAAAAGCCTAAAAACACCACATTCAAAGCCAAGGTGTCATGTAATACAATTCATTTGAAGCAAAGTTACATAAATCTATACTAGTTTTGCCTTAAGTTCATGAAGTACAAAAAGAAAATTCCCCTTCACAGTATGATGCTGCAGCAGATACAGACAATAAAAGGACAGTGTTTGAACTAAAACACCGGAAGTTAGCGTGACATTTGGTTATAACAGAATGATATTATTTCCAACGGTCTCAATTCCCGACATTTTTCTTTTATAGATGGTATTAGCATTGGCTTGTGGCTGGGTTGTACAGAGAGTTCATCCATTTAGATCGGATTCATGTGGGGTTTGTTTTTTCTGATTGGAATTGGGGATAAATTATTGTCGCATTTTGTTTTATGACCAATAAGGATGTATTGTTCTATTGACTAACTGATCGTGTGATATTTTAAAAAGAAGAAGCTATTTACAGTCCTTTACCACACTTCTCAACTTGTGTCCTGTATAAAGTAAGAGTTATAAGATTATATATTCATCAAAGCATTCAGGTCTCTACATATGAACTGTCTGATGGAATGAGAATCCTTCATTGTGACTAAAGCTGTGCTCCAAGATGAAGTGTTTTGTACGTTTCCTTTTGCGTGGGTCGCTCTGCAGAGAAAACCTTCCAAACAATTGATCCTATCCACCCGCTCCCCCTTTGGTCCCATTCATCCCGTTTTCAGCCACATATCATTACAGATCACATATCAGAACAATCTTCTTTAAATTAACGGTTCAGATAATCCCCATTCACAATACACAGGCTTGAGGTCGGTTCGCTGGCGCCCTCTAGCATAAAGCTCTAGCGATATCGAAGGATCACAGGAACTGAAAGACATGAACATCACACTTCAAATCTTGGCTGAACAGTTGCATTTTGATTCGGATACTCACCGATGATAATTAACAGCAGACCAATCACTACCAAAGCAATAATAATTTTCATCTGTGGAGGAAAGGACACTCTGATCAGATCTTTTAAGAATGTTCTTTTACTGAATGAATGGTTAAGGTATCAGACCTTTGTGTCTCTCCACCACATCCTCCGGTGCAGCTGTTTGGCTCGGCTACTGAAGGCAGATGCATTGTCTGAAAGGCTTTCTGGTTCGTCATCCGTCAGAGAGGAGAGGGGAACAGGAACATTACAATAATGTAATCTTGGGCCAAATATACATCAATATACATACATTTTCTGATTCAGTCTAGACTTACACAAATACCCACATGCTCTGGAATAAAAGGTAAATATAGTATATAGTATTTTTAAAAGTACAATTGGGATCATTGGCTTGCCTGTCAAACCATACAACTTTACAATATTTAACTTAAACCTAAACTTATTCATAATGTTTGAGTACATACATGTACAATTGAGTCACAAACATGGCAAATGTTAATTATTTTATTATATTTATTTTATTTATTATAAACCGTTTTCTAATGTTGAGTCAATATAGCACAATAATTGTAATTTGACATCACCCCTAGAAGTGTTGACAGTGAAGACCTCAGTTACACAACAGGAGCTCAGAGTAGAGCAACTACTCCTCTGTGTCAAACAGAACAGGTTAAGGTGGCAAAGGCATCTGTTTCGGATGCAAGGAAGACCCAGGACACACTATTTCCACTTTTCCACAGTAACGGTACGGTATGGCACGGCACGGCACGGCAGTTATTTGGTATTTCCACTAGGGTTGGGCTTGGGATCTCATCTGGCCTGGGAATGCCCCAAATGAGCTGGAGGAAGTCTGGGCGTAGCTGCTCGATCTGCTGCTATCTCGACCCAGCAACAGGTAAAACAGCAGAGAATGGATAGTCTTTATAAAGTCTACTGTGTGTGTGGATTTTCAACTCTAAAAAATAAATTACTAATATTTGTTGCCAGCTTTTGAAAACACAAATTCACAAATGTAAAATTGTCCCAAATTCATTCCGCCCTGATGTCAACAGTCTTAAGTGCAGGTAAAGACAGTTAACGAGTGCCCACTAACAGTGATTGCAGCTGTAAACATACGCTGATCCCTTTAGTCTGGTGTTTTGACTGGTTCTCCCTGGTCCATGTGCTGTTATTATGTGTGCAGTTATGTAATCCCTGAGCGGTCTGCGGGTGAGATCACTCTTCCTGATGGAGAATGACCAGACGAGTGTGTAGCCAAACAGAAGAATAAAGAATAAAGCACATTTCAAAAGCTTCCACTGTTTTTATGTCACCTTCTCCATTTCCAAAAAGCTCACCCACACTCCCGGCTGTTTTGACCGTTTCTTGGATACTGTGGCGGAGGGGCTGTTTACCTGGACGGCTCTTCGTACAAACAATCAATTTCACAATATGTCGGCCTTGCAATTATGCATTTCCAATGTCGCAACAGGACTGTTACTGCAACTTTGTAAAAGAAGACAGCATTCAAGAGACCCTTTCCTCAGGTAAATTTAAGAACGTATTCTGAGAAAGTTTATGTTTTCTCCCTTAATCACGACACTCTCGCTCAACTTTCATGAGGCTTTAAAGGAGCAATAAGTAAAAATCTGTCCAAAAGTGGTACTGCAATCCGCTACAACTCTCCCTGACTCAGGTTGCCAGATATGCGAACAAATCCAGGTGGGGCCATGATAGCTGAATAGATAATAGTAACAAATAAGATAATAACAAATCTATAACCAAAATCTTTTTCAGAAAGACCAATAGAAATCTTTGTTTTATTCGTAGTTTTGTCTTTAATGATTTGAGAGTCATAACGAGACCTTTTTTAGAACGGTGGCCACATGTTACTTTACCTCAACGTGGTGAGTTCTGGCGCCGGGATCACAGACTTTCTGATTGGTAAAACGGTGAAGGGCAGGACATTGAAATGAAAACAATAACCAGATTTAGAGGCTGTAAAACGAATTTTGAAACCCAAATATCTCGGCTGAAAAACTGATTAGTTAAAGAAGTATTGGAAGAGAGCATGATTTATTAAAACCTTTTGACAGATTAGGGCCATTTAATGATGACTTGACATGAAAATCTTACATATTGCTACTTCAATTTGTTGTTGTTAGTTTAACTCTTGTTTAAATTGTTTATATTTTTACATCCATATTTACAAGACATTCTCTCACAATACAAGATGTTGAGAATAAACGACAACTTTATGACAAAAAACCAAAACAATGTTTGTATTTTTAGGCTAGTACAAGGCTACTATTGTATATCTTAACTCGCCAGACATTCGTTTCTATGGCTCTTGCCAGTGTGTCCAGTTAACAACCGCACAGTGCCTACAGAGAGAGGCTCTCGCAGGCTGATGAAAAGATGCTTGTTAATCGTGAGGAATTTAACAGGTTACCAGCACCACTGCTCGCGTCAATCACAGCTTTATGTGGCGGCCGACATAAAAGAGAAAGTTTAAAATCCCATGGACATGCATTGGGCTTACGCATACAGCGGCAGGCACATTGATGCATACCATATGTCTATTAGTAGCTTTTGTTGGACGGGACATAAGAAGTGGTTATGTAACACGGTCAAGAGGAGGGATATAGGATTGACACCTTATCCCTGCTTTAAGACAAAGGCTATAGGGTTCATAAAGTCTGGGTGAACATGTTTTACGCACCTGTGGGATTTTGACAAGCACCTGGTGAAGCACTAAGCCTGAATTTAGCATTTACGCCTCTGGACACTGCAGTATTTACATGAATGCCCCCCTGCACTAGTGGGCACTGCTGTTTAAATGCTTGGTCGTCCCGTGAGAAAAATGTGCTCTTGCTACACACCAAACATCAAGCCCAATAGTGGACGCAAAATTCCTGGGCCTTCCACGCAAAACGAGCTGAGACACAGTGAGAACAATAACTTTGACAAATACCCAAATATGACTTTTCTAATCTAGGCGACTACAGTGGCTACGTTGGTAGAGCATTGGCCTTTGGGCCTGAAGGTTGTGGGTTCGAGCCCACCATAAGACCTACTTCACGATTCCCTGTCGTTGTGTCCTTGGGCAAGACACTTAACCCCACCCAAAACCCCTGCTGACTGATCAAGGCTCCTGAGGACTCACCATCTGCAGGAGGATCAGTGAGGGGCTGGTGCTCTGTGTACTGGGTGCAGCTCTGACTGCCACCCCCCGACCCAGAAATAGTTAAAAGGGGTAGAAAATGGATTGATGGATGGATGGATAGATGATTACTCCAGGCAGTAAAATTGGAATCAAAATAATGAAATAACAAAAAATTTCAGCTCTAAATTGCTGTTTGTACACTGTTGCAATAATAAATTTGAACTTACTAAATATATCAAGTAACACCAATTTGGGTGCAGTCCTTTAATTTTCTTGCAATAAAAGTGTTTCCTATTGTGATACAGATCCATCCACCCCGCATCAGAGGGTTGACAAGTCACATTTATGAGCAATTCTAATTCTGTAATGTTCTAAAACATCCTTCTACCAATAGATCTTGTGCCAAAATATGGTCCTGTGACAGTTCTAAATGTTTAACAATACACTGAAATATTCATCTTGTCCTTGGGAAAGTCAACAGATACCAGGCAGATTTTTATAATGTTTGCAAACAACATCATGTGGCTTGCCTTCACCGCGGGCATGAAGACATCCCAGACCTGAGCATGTGTGTACCATGTGTGGCTGTTTATAAACACTGCCTGTAATGTGGTCTGCTATTTGTTTAATCATGTTGATACAAAGAGAAAGACACGTGTCGGCACATGTGAAGCCTGCTGTACCTGATTTGTCCTGTAGGTCGTCCAGCCGATCACCCCTCTCGATCACCTTGGAGATGTTCTCTTGCATCACGTCAATGACCTCATCAACTTGAGACTGCACCCTGAGGACACCATCATCATAAAATCCCAGGTCCAGTAAAACTCAGATTACAATGAGATACCATATTTTTGCCAAAAACTGATCAGACGACAGGGAACAAAATGTTACGGTCAGATTTTCCAGCAATGTGATATTAATTGTTTCAGACAGGAGACAGAATAACAGACAGACTACAGGCTTGAAATGTAATCCTTATGTATTGAATAAAAATCTGCAAGAGTTGAACCACAATCAGTACTTTATAAAATGTAAGTAATTAGGAAGGGTTTGCAGGAAGTTTCAAATTTCACATTTTTTACTACGTCAGTGTCCGTAATGTTATTTTATTAACAATCCTTAATCAAATAATTATTGTGGCATGTGTATGTGTCACGGCTGATTAAAAAAAAAGTTGGAGGTTAAGTGTTACCTCAACGGTGCTAATAAACAGCTGAACTTTTCTTGTGAACCCAAGTTTTGTCCCTGGCAATAAAAGTCTCATGTCCTCACAAAAACAATAATAAAATCAAAACTATTCACAGCATGGAAAGGGCCATAGGTGCCAGACTTTTGTCAACAACTGCCTTTTCTGTGCTTTGACCTTCTCTGACTTAAGGTTAATATGGAAAAAACTACGCAGAAGGTTTTGGGATTTCCGGAGAAAGTTTCAAAGCGGCCTGCACATGGCTTTTTGGTAAACATGGTGCGCCACAATTACGTAACAGCAGCACCAAAACACAGCCTTTTGGCAATGTCCCTCCCACCAAGAATGTGTGAGTAAACTTACTGTTTAAACTTGTCATTTTGAGCCCCAAACCTGGGAGCACTCGGCCCTCTCCTGGAAAAAAAGATGTCCTCAAAGTCAACCAATCCCATTTATTTTAATCTTTTCAATTCATTCATCTTTATCATGACACCAGTTCATATGTAGCAGCATAATAAGTAAACACAAACACTGCCTTCAGGAATGTAAACCTTTCAATATGTTTAACAAGTTCCAATTTAGAAACAATAAGGTTAAACTAAATATATGCATTTATGTACATAACCCAATACACATATCTACTGCTCACAGCACTCCACAAATGTGACATGGACATTTCTCCAGTGTGAGATCAACAAAGTCTATCTTATCTTATCTTATCAACCAAGAAAATGTGTCACATACAATGAAAGCACTTAGTAAGTAGTAAGTAAGCTTTTATTTATATACCGCCTTTTCACTGCACATCGGAGTCTCAAAGCGGTTTACAATTGTTGGGTGGGGGTGCCAGTACAGGAGGCACATGCCATACCTATTGTACATATTTTTAGTGGTAGGGGAAACCGGAGCACCCGGAGGAAACCTAAACCTACGCAGACACGGGGAGAACATGCAAACTCCACTCAGAAAGGCCCTGGTCCAACCGGGATTCGAACCCAGGACCTTCTTGCTGAGAGGCGAGAGTGCTACCCACCGTGCCGCCCGTAGCCAAGCCTTCATTGGGAAATAGACATATTATGCAAAATGACAATCCAATAGTAGAACAAACAACATGAATAATATTAGAGCCTGATTTGACATGTTTCTGAGCCTTTGTCCGTGTTTTATTAACTACACTAAAGAAAATACTCACAAAAAGAAGTCTTCCTCTTCATCCGAGTCCTCCTCAAGGAGATTCCTCTGTGAAAACATTGAAAGTAACATTGAGTAGAAAAATCAAGGCCAAGTTTCCATAACGACAAACTAACATTATTGACTATCAATCCCAAAACTGTCAGAGCAGCCACTTGAATGGGCTAGTGGGAGCTGCAAAGGGGGACACTAAACAAGAACACATATGCAGATAGAACGAAGCAGCGACATATTTGCAGTAAATGCAAATAGCTCCACAGTTAACCAAATTCATGAGTCCAATAAATACTTTAAAAGCCCCCAAGCCCCTTCAAGCAACACTGCCTTCGTTTGTTCTGGTTTTGGTCACAAAATGGCTTAACCATAGACAGCGTAAAAAGATTTAACAGAAATCACAGAGGAAGTGTTGTGCTTTGGTTAACAGACAACAAGTTAATATGCCAACAGTTCGAGCAGCTTAAACTGTTTTCCTGTTCACAAATCCAACTGAGAGTTATTAAACAAACCCGCCCTGAGAGCAGAGAGTGGATGGACAAGACACACTTGTCCAAGCGAGATTCGTTAGTTTGTAATAGTAACAACATGACACTCAGACCTATTAATCAAACGTATAATTAGCTCTGTAATTAGGGCTGTCTTTTAATTAATTGATTGGTTTCTTGGTTGACCAATTGTTGTATTATCAATTACTTTGATTTCACTACTATGTGAATGCTAAATAAATTGTATAGAGGTGAGAAGAATATATATTTACTTTGATATTCAAGCCAAATTAAAAATCAATATCATTTGATGACTTGCTAAACATTTCAGTGATGTTATGCCTATTTGTCTATTATTTGACAAAGTTTTATGAGTGTAGTTTAGGTCAGATGCATAATATTAGCCATGCCAGCTTTAAGTCAACTAAATGATCATCAGGCTTCTGTGTGATTGTGTCAGCCACTCTAAGCAGGGGTATTTTTCCTTTTGCAATAAGAGTTGAATAAGCTGTTAACCATCATGAACTTAAGTGGAAGGTGGATGTTGTTGCCCTATCCCGGAAGCAACACTTTGATCTCTATTCAAAAACAGCAATCAGCAGCCCACAATGGAAACACATGGTTCAAGATGCAGGATTAGTGGCACGGCTGCAGTTGTTTCCTCAAGCAACAAACACATTTCTCTAAGAAAAATAACATGAGATAAAGAAGGATGTAATATAATAAAGGCCACAACAATACGTCTTAACTCATTGAATGCCAGCCTATTTCAGAACAGGTACTCCCACAGTGCCAGCCATTTCTGATGATTTTTACTGATTTTTCAAGACCCACAGAATATTGTGTACTATGACTATCTGAAATCCGATTCTAAAAGAATGGACTGTGTACTTTCCTCAGCAAAAAGAATTTTGTTTATAGCTTTTTTCGTTCCCCTGTAATCCTCCGTCGAGTAGAGGGAAGTTTTACTGAAATCACCAGAAATCACCAGAAAGTTGAGAAAAAAGAGGCACAACATTTGCACCTACATGTTTTCAAACCATTCAGAGAGCAATGCTGCCACCTGCTGGCTCGATAAAATATGGTCTCAAGTCATCCCCATACATATTAGATACAATAGACATCTGGGAACGTGAAAATAGCGAAAAAGGCAATTGACGGATTAATGCGTCAATGGCACACGACGTTACTATTTGCTTTGACGTATTTGTGCGTCAATGGGACACACATGGTTTGCGATTCACTTCCATAACTTTGGCTAGATGGCTTCTCCTGGTACCTCAGTTTCCCAATAGTATTACAATTATTATAGTTTTCATTTGAAACTTGTACAAAAAAAGGCAAAAACATTAAAAGGATAGAAAAATAAACAGCAGACTTATTTGGTTCCAACCCTTCCCACTCATTCAACACAACATAGAACAACACAAAGCACACACTCAAAATTTCCCCATCGACAGAGAAACTGGGGACAACTAGTTGCAAGGCGGCTTTTGGCAACTGAGAGGAGATGGTGGGAGATGATCAGTTGCTGAAATCAGTCGATGTTCGCGCTCTTACAACTGGAGATGAACAGTCGGTCTCCAGTTTCAGTCAGTTGCCCGTGTTCTACTTTTCGGCAACTAGTTGTCCTCAGTTTCGGAAATATGACCCGATGTGCGCGCTCCATGCACCGCTCCGACAACATGTGTGTATTGCGTGTATTGCGAGCCCGCAACAGTTTATGTCAGAAAACGCACTGTAGTTGAGGCCAGTTGCTGTCGATGTACTCGCTGTTATTCCCGAGACTGGTCTGATACTGGGAGTTGCCCGTTTTCGTCAGATTGTCGATGTGTGCGGGGCAGCAACTCATATGCGACGGATATAATCAGTTGCCAGTCCGATGTACGCTAGGCTTTATGGTATGTTATTTTGGTAAGGTGAGAAATAGCAAGTCAGATTTAGAATTACTCCAGACTTCGATACAACTATTTGATTTTGACAATAAGAGTTGAGAATTTACTCCACAAGTAGCTTCTGTAAGGTTTCCAAAAAAAATGTTTATTCATTCATTATTCATTCAAGACCTAAGTAGCTCTGAAACAGTTGTTGTTTTGTGCTTTACAATTGTTATTTTTCGTTGTTTTTTTCTACCCAAGATGTTGCTGCAGTACGGCATTCATGATTTTTCACTGGTCGAGACCGGAGCAGAGAGGATTCATGGTCCAAAACAAGCAGATCAGGCAAAAATCCACTGGAGGAATGCTAACTTTTTGAAAAATGCAAACAAAGCATTCAGCCTCTCACTTTGGACTCGAGCAAAGAAAATGATCCGAACCAAGCGGCTACTCCTCGTCTGCTGCTGTGAGCTGTCCTGCTCCACCCAGCGGCTACACCACCTCTGCTGCTGTTGCATTTTAATACTATTGTTAGATATTTTTAGAATTATCTATTTACTTTTTTTGTTTGTACGAATGCATGCGTTTCTGCTGCTACTGGACACCTGATTTCTCCAACGGGGGATCATTAAAGTATCTATCTATCTAATATGTATTGAGGTATAAGTAGATGATCATAGAGGACCAGACTTACCCTTTCACTACGAATTGATCCTGTGACTTCATCATCATTCAGATGTCGTTTAAATTTGGGGGGCATGTTTTCGTCGAGCTGCTCCTCCCGATCTGGCTCCCTCTGTTGTAAATAAAAGGGGAGAAAGTGAGCCAGGTATAAATAATGGAACAATTGAGTGTAAACATTACACAGCTGGGTAGTTTTCAACTTGACATTTCTAAAATGGAAGAAGCCGTAAGTGGATAATTAGGATTTAAGCAGAACCAGGCCAGGAAGGAGAATACAAGGAGCTTTTTTACAGACCTGAACTGAACAATTCTGTTTACAATTAACGTAAAGGCCACAGAAATGAATCTGTATGACAACATGCCCACTATCGAACAATGGGGTTTGTTTAGTGCTTAATGAGGTTTGCTTTTTCCATGCAATTAGTTTACTCAAACATAATAATGAATACCATTGATTCCAGTTCAGTCTAGCACTAGTTGAGCGTCCTGTAATGGCACTGCTGTTGAAAAAGCCTTTCAGGGGCAGCAGATGGCAGGAAGCTTCCAGAAAAAGGAAATAAGCAAGAAACTGGGGACTTCGTTAGCTGCAAAAGCAAAGGGAAAACAGAAAGAGAGGGAGAAAAAAAATCTGATAAATTAGAGTAGGTAATTAGAGCAATTAAGTATTAAAAAGGTGTTATGCTAAATAAAGGATTATTTATTGGAGGCAAATTGTGAGTTGACTCAACAGCAGCAAAAATACACTTCAACAAAAGACCTCACTGAAAAATAATAATGACAATGATAAGAATGCATCAGTTTTAAAAAGTACTTTTTTGCACTCAGTGACGCACATGTCATTATTCTTTCACTCTATACACGGTGGTGATAAACTATTATGTAGCCACAGGTTCCCTGGGGGCACACTGACTGAATCAAGGAAACCAGTATGTACCTCTGACCACCATCAACCATTCACACAAACACACCAGATTCATTCCATGCAATGTGGGTTAAGTATCTTGCCTAAGGACACGATGACAGTTTGGCACTTTACAGCCAGAGCTACTCCACAGTGGCACCTGGTGTTCCAAGAGGCTTGCCAGTCTCTGCCCTGCTTAGCTTCAGAGGTCTGATGGGATCCGACTATCACATGTAGGTATGGCCATGATTGTTGCGTCCTACGGAGACCTTTTATTACACACGTTCCAACTATATTCATTCCATGTCAATTTTAGTAATACCGTGCAACCGTATTAACCGTTTGGTCAATGCTTGTTCATTTCCTACTGTTCTGAACGTAATCTACGCTACAATATTGACATTTTCTCACTGTGGGACAGGCATCCTCATCTTTTCAGCATCTACAGCTAGTTATGTTAGTTAAGAAACATAGCTACTACTTATTTGTATATAGTGTATATATTCTGTGTGATCCCTGTGTGCTCTTACTACTGTCCTATATGTGCGATGCAACATCGAAATTTCCCCACTGTGGGACGAATAAATGAATTCTTATCTTATCTTGTCCATGTTTTTCAGGTTGTCATCTGCCATGGATTAATAGCGTTGGGCAAAACAAAGCCAATAGACTTCGTGATTTAAACTTCAAATATAGCGTAACAACAGTAAAATTAATGTGGCAAATCTGGTTTTAATCTGTTCAAGAGAAGAAAGCTAACTGAGCAGGCAGTGTGCTAATGCTAATGCTAACATGGTTGTACATCCATGGGTTGTACCTTTTCTCTGCACAGCGACCACAGCGGTTCTTCACAGAGACGGCTTAGAATTTGGTTTCATCGGTGTTTTAGGAGGAAATTAATTCTTAAAAATACATGTCTGGTTATTATCTAAGGAGAGATGAACATCCTGCTGTAGCCTGCGCTGTCTGTCCTCCGTAGACGTCAGCTGACCAGGAAATGAAAACAACAGCTGGATTTGGGATGAGGAGAGAGCATGAAGAGAGAGCTGGTTAAGGTATGAAAATAATTACATTGAAACAAAAACATTCAAAAATGAGTCGTATAAGAATGTTTATATAATAATACTTTATGAGAGAATTTATGAATATTTTGTGTTATTCAGAGCTGTTCTACTACTGTTATCCTGCAGAGGGCGCCACGTCAGTCTAAAGCCAGATTACCAGAAACCAAAAAAACTGCACTTCCGCCATTCCTCAATCATCCTGTAACTGGTTGAAAAAAGTCTTAAAAGTATGTGTCTATTCTGCATAGTGCTTATTTACTAAATTTTACCAAAAGTAATTAGATATTTTCGCTAAAATAATGGGCAAATATGTCGGAAAACTGCACATAGTTTAAGTTGAACACGCTCTTGCATGATGTAACCATGGATGTAAGGCTAGCTAACTTTTTCTCTTTCTTGACTTTTATATTACAGGTACCGTGTGTTTGCTCCTTGTTTTGAGAGAAGGACATGCAGACTGAAGGAGACCACTCTCATGAATCTCACCCACTTTTTGGAGGAGCCTTGTCCACTGTCCTGCCATCAAGCTCTACAGACATCAGCACCTTGAGAGAAATCCCAGACAATCAGGAGGTATTTGCCCACGCACACACCGACCAGAGCATCATCGTGGAGCTGCTTGAGTACCAGTCTCAAGTGGCAGACCAGGATGCAGCCAGTTATCACTTTGAAGACATTGCAGGGAGCAACAAGGCTTTGGAGCCAGGTGCCTTTCAAGTCACAAGTGTTACCCCTCTCCTCAAATCTGAGCTGTCTCTGTCACAGTGCAGCTCGGGTTGGTTGTTAACAGGGGCCCAGTCCGTGTCCAAATTCAACGAAGAAGCCAGGAATACAGTGGCCATTCAGCTTGGTCTCTTTCGCTTGCCTCAGTTCTCCACGGATATTTTAGTAACGTTCAATGATCCGCAAAGTATAAGCCCGGAGAGCAGCAGTGCTAGTTCAGCTGGGTCAAACAGAGAGCCATGGACTGTTCAAGACTTTCAGAGGGTGCTGCAGTCACTCACACTGCATGATCCAGGACTGTTTGGGTAAAGGAATGTTACTGTAACTGTCAGTATCAGTGTGTATATACAACACATGTGCCACTGTGCCAAAAATCCAATTTCCAAAACACACAGATTTGGAGACCAGATTGTGTCTGAATAAATACTGTACTTTGAACTGAAATGGAATTTGATTGATTTGAAATTTGGTTTATAAAAAAAGAAAACATTCTTTGACTTTACTGTGTTGGATAATAGATTCCCTGAAGTGAATTGACATTTCACAATGCAAAGCTCAACTAATGCCTCTGGTGGAGAAAGGGTTGTTTTGATCATAATTTGTAAAGATGTTGTGACTGTCATCATAGTATTCAAATGTGATAATTTTCTTAATGTAAGATTAAGAAAACCATAATTGGTTTCTAGATTTCTATAATATCTATTGCAATACATTTATCTAACTTGTTAAAGACCTACTAATGCACTAAATGGTGCAAATGCTGGAAAACAACTTTCTTTAGAGTGGCATGTCTGTCACATCAGCTGGTCTGTCTATTAAACAGTTTGCGGTAAAATAGTTCATTAGTCTTGTCTGGAAAATAGATGTGCCTTCATTTAAAGGTAATGTCCAGAAGCGTTATATAAGCGTAATACAAGGTTCTCGTAACTGGCAGATTTATGCGATGGAAAATGACCCTTATTCCTTTAACTTTGAAGTTAAAAATAATGAAATGGACGATTAACCATAAGTACATGCTGTGAAGTGTTTTGTCCAGATTTTCAGTCTGTAATAAGGCGAATGCAGGTAGGTCTTGCAAAGGAAACTAGAGGAAGTAATCTGTCTGCTCTGAGCCACATCAAACCCTCATCATCTGTTATTTAAGATCTCATAAAGTTGCGCAAATTTTCCTGTTGTTTAGTCATGGCTGGTGCATATTCTAAGCACATTTTCCCCAAAACAATGACTCAATACACACAGCTTTTACTTGTTTATCACATAATCACAGTCCCTTTGAACTTTGTTTTATCCTGCGTCAAATGTATTAAATACATGTGTATTTCAATTCTTAAAGTGATGGATTACTACACAAAGATTGCTTGATGATAAAATAACTACTCTCATTTGAAATCTATTTCCACACATTTCCCCACTACCTTCCTTGGATCTTCTGCCATCTGAAAAAGATTTGCATGTCGTTGAGGCAGTGACCTCAAGGGCTCACTGAAAAAAATAAAAATAGCTGAAAGTGGGATTAAGAACTCATTAACATTCAAACCCTGAAGATAACCGTATACAGGAAAAAAATATCTGTGATAAAAGACTGAGTAAAAAATCGTGTGGATTTACGTATTGGTATTGGCCACTAAGCCACTTCGTTTTACCTGTAGGATTTGTGCTTGTGTCAGCAGGGTTTGATGTGAACTATTTCAAAACCAAAAGCTTTTAGTCTTTTGAGCAGTTCCTCCTTATCTTTTGCATTATACACAAACAAGTACTTCTGACAGTATGTCCTGTTCTTTTTGTTGTTTCAGTGAATTCTCAAAGTTTCTAGTGTCAGTCAGATGCAACATTTTCAGTCCATCTGGGAGCAATCCGTCTCAGGTGTATGCATAGTTCCTGCTTTGAGACTTCCAGCTCTCGGGTCATTTATTACCCACACTTCCCTGTTGTCACTAGTGTGTAGTGCTGAACATCCTCAAACTCCCCTCTGTCTTCTACTGCCAGATCCTGAATATCATGTCCAAGCCACAAGTCATCTGCTGTACTCATCAGTACATGTTTAATTTTATGGTCTTTTTCCATTCTATGTCAACTCTGGGGAAGAAGCCAAGAATTGTACTCCTGAGTTTTCAAAGACTTCGTGTGGTTCTTCTCAGTGAAACTGAGGAAAACAATTTAAATGCAAGTAGTGTAGTGTAGTGCAGTGTGCTCAAACCCTTTTTTTGTTGTTATTTTATCATTTAAAAAAAAAAGTTTAATATATTTCAATACAAAATATCAAGGTCACACTTCATCCTTTTTCTTTTTCGACTGTGGAGAACTATTGTTCATCTTGGTAAAATGATCAGACATGGCAGCAAGTGCCCTGTAGCGGTGAGAAATTGTGTTCTTGACTTCTTTAGGCAATTCAGCATATCTGCAATACCACCAATAATTGTCAGTATTTACATTGGAGCAAATAAGTTTAAAATAATTACACTCTAGTGACCTCTAGTGGTTTCTACACATGCTTACGTTTTGTCATATCCCTCAGGCTGGAAGCAGGGATCCCATCCAAAGTCCCTTGGACCTCTCGGTTCCACAATGCGCCCCTTTAGTTAAACAACAAATAAGTGTACGCACGTAATATTTCTTAATTACTAAAAGATCAAATCAAAAGGTAGAAAGTGACCTCTGTGATTCCTCTAAAAAGCTGCACCTCTTCGTCCTTTCCAGCACAAAAAGCAAAGGTACACAGAGCCCATGCAGACTTATCCTCAAACCCAGCAAGAAGTTTGTACAAGCCTAATAAACAAAAATAAATTAGTCGTGATGTTGAATTCTGCAATTGAAGGATGATCATAATTTACCCTCTGGTTTAAGTTTATCTAGAAACCATTTTCTGTGAGCGGACAAGCATAGTGTGAGTTAGTGTGTCCGTCTTAAGTAATTGTGGGATTAAATCGTGAATTTCACTGACATGTAAGGGCCTGGAAGTCCTCCCAACGCTCTAAAACACAGACATGTGTCCTCCACTATTACAGGTCCATCAATCTGGAGGAAAAAAAAAAAAACATCACAGATATAAATGATACATAACCAGTCATTACGGTCTAAAAGAGCTGCTGTTGTCCATTTTACCTGTCGTGCTGCTTCCTTACACTTTTGAATAGAAATTTCCTCTGGCTCCCCTTGATATTCAGGTACTGTAATGGTATGAGTTAGCCATATTATCATAATTACATGAAAATTAATTATGATGATTAGAAATACAACAGGTCTGAAACACTACTTACAATCGATCTTCTTTGAGAGTAGTTTGTAAGGAAAGGTATTTCCAAGAATTTGAATAACCTGAAATTTGTGGAACAACACCGATTAGCACTAGAAGCCGACAAACAGTCTCATGGATTAAAACAACATGCAGTTAGAACTAAACGCAGAGGCAAAACATTCTGGTGCTCGTTTTGGTAGTTACCTCCTCGAGTTTCTTGGCATTTCCAGTCACGAAGACCACGGACCTCCCGGCAGCAGGCAGCGCCATGACAGAGCACCCGGACGACTGAGGGAGACGGACCAAAACACGTGCACGCGTTTGCCTGTTCTGTCCCTGGATCTGGGTCTGCCTCCTGCAGTATTATCTTTAGCCTACAGATTTGAGAGGCCTCTTCTCTGACACACGTGTAGTACATTTACTTATAATATACTGTTAATATTAATAAACAAGTGCATGTACGCGCTGCCACAACAGCACAGACCTGCCTGTCTGAGAAATCATCCAATCCGCAAACGGTACCGTCCTAATTTGTGTCCGGGTCAAAGCTTGCATGAGCGACAGTGGCATCTTATTAGAGTGCAGCTTATGGATCTATTATAATATCGGGTCAAGCTTTGTTCAGTTATAACGAGTGAAACGCAATGAGTCTGCTTCCTCGCACCGCGGGTGAGTTCAGTTCTGCTGAATACTGGGAACGGTTTTTCAAGAAGCGAGGGGAAAAGGCGTTTGAGTGGTATGGAGACTACAATAAACTATGCGGGCTTCTGCACAAATACATCAAAGTGAAAGGAAAGGTAACGTATTTGTATTTTAATTTCATAATTTTCCCCACATACTTCTCAAGCTTGATTCAGACGCCCCTTTGTCCATGTTGTATGTTATGATATGGCATATGTTGCTGAGGAATGTAATGGGTACTGCTGTCTGTCTGCAGGTGCTGGTGGTTGGATGTGGTAACTCTGAACTCAGTGAACAGATGTACGATGTTGGCTACAAACATCTTATAAACATTGACATCAGTGAGACCGTTATAAACCACATGAATCAAAGAAATGTTGAGCGAAGGCCTGATCTTAGCTTCAGGCAGATGGATGCAACCAAAACACCTTTTGAGGATAGCAGTTTTCAGGCCGTTTTGGACAAAGGTACCCTGGACGCAATGGCATCTGAGGAAGAAGGAGCACTGGCTTCAAATATGCTCACAGAGGTAATGTAAATTGTTTATCTAAATTGAATAAAATCAATTTATTTTGCATGACCCACAATTACGACAGCAGTCATCTGGAAGACGTTGCAAAATATTAGAGAATCACACTATTAGAACTAACAAAAATGTAATGAGAAAAACACATAAGAGTAATTGGCCCATAGGGTTTTCTTTGGATGTCCTGCTATCAATGGTCCCCCTTTTGTGCACTGCCATTACACATGAATAGTAAATGGTTTGGTTATGATACTAATGCATCTTGGAGGTGCCATACCATTTAGGGCCTTGTAGCCAGTGGACAGAACACAAGAGTTATGTGGAACGCTTAAGGGCGAGCATGAGGGGACAAAGTTGTGGATCAGTTTTTTTCAGCATCCCTTTTATGTAGGCTCTTTTGTGCAGATGGAAATAAGCTTTTTGGTGGCTTTTGATTTCTATGTGCTCTGAGATCTGTAAAATGTTTCTTAAAACATCTGTGATTTTAGTTTCGTTATTTGTTTGTATTTTCTACAGATGAGTAGAGTTCTGAGTGTTGGTGGGAGGTATGTCTGCATCACACTGGCCCAGGAGAGCGTCATAAAGTTAGCTGTAGAACACTTTGTCTCTCTTGGCTGGGCAGCGCGGCTCCACTGTCTACAAAATGACCCTGAGAGCGAGGAGGACTCTTTCGCTTTGCCTGTGTTCGTCATGGTCTGCACCAAGTTTCGCCAGCCAATGCCTAGTCCCATTCTGGAGATCTGTCTTGGAGAGGATGGCCCTCCAACTCGCTTCACTCAAATTTCAGAGCTGTTGTCAACCGTGAGAGAACATCAGGCTTATTCTGTGCTGAGAAAGAGGCTTCGGACATGCACAGATGTCAGCTCAAATGTCGCACTCACACTATGCCACACAAAGACAGGCCTCCCCAGATATACTCTAACCATTCAGGACTCTGCTCCTGGTGCCAAAGTACCCAAAGCCAACCACTTTGCCATCTTTATTGGTGAGTTTGTCATCAGTATCACTTTGATGATGAAAATCTTGTGAAGCATTTTGGATGTCATGCATCATTGTTATTGCACCTATTTCCCCAGTACCACAAGGAAGTGAGACAGCTTGGTTATATAGTTCTGCTGAAGGCCAAGAACAGTTAGCAGCGAGTGCTAACTTCAGACGATTGGTAATTGTTGGGATGCACCGGAATCAAGAGTACACCAGTATGGAAGCTGTCCAGACTGAGCTTTCACCTATGGTAATGGACTTGGCTCCTCCTGCAATGCCCCCTAACCACCAGGTAGAAGAGTAGATACATTATTATTTTTAATAGAAACGCATTAAATAATTGTAATACCTTTTTCCTATTCAGGTGCCGTTTTTGTCTGCAACTGGTGACTTAGGTTGGCGTGAGGTGGTCAGCACAGGGACTAGTGAGCTGAGTGGTGACTTTTGTGTGGAAAATGTCAGAGGAGAAGATTGTGAACTATACCGAAGACTAGTGTTTTTATCCAACACTGCCCTCATTCAATCTGAGAGCAAACTTGTTTCTCCGAATGCAGGTACATTGCACCAAACAATTTTAACCTGTTTAATGCTGTATAGGGCTGCACAATTATTCATAATCCAAATCGGAATCACAATTCTTGTAGAGAAATTAGCAAATCCCTCTGATCTCCCTAATCCTATGCAAAAAAAACAAAACAAAGATAACTTTGTTCATATGGATTTGAGTATATTTTGAAGATTTGTTAATGGAACAACCAAGTATCTTTTGTTTCATTGTTGGGCAGAAGCGTCTAATCTTTTAAATCATTTATTTAAGACAAATTGTCGAAATGCACCACACGTTTTTATCTGTAGGATTGTAATTTCATTCACTTTTCCTTTTCACCTATGTGACAACAGCTGGGCACAAGAAAAAAGGCAAAAAGAAAGTCAAGCCAACAACTCCCTCATCAGTGCCCTCCTCTTCATTGTCAGTGGACCCAGGCTTTCTCTGCTGTGAACATCACAGACTGATGGTCGCTGGTCTGTCCATGCTTGGGATCAATTCATGTCAGAAAAATGGTACATTGATATTGTTACTCGAGGAAGTAAGATAGTAGATTTGTATTGTAATCTTGCATAATACTTATTTAAGCTCCTCTTATCTGCATTGCCTGCAGTGTCAGTGCTTCTGGTGGGACTGGGAGGAGGGAGCTTGCCCCAGTTTCTCCGAGACTTTGTTCCCGGTGTTACAGTCGAAGTCGTTGAACTGGATCCTTGTGTGTTGGAAGTAGCAAAGGAGTGGTTTGGCTTCAGACCAGACGAGCGCCTCACTGTAACTCTTGGGGATGGCCTTGAACGAATCATATGCTATGAAAAAGAAGGTGAGAATTGAAGTGTAACAAAGTAATTCAGCTTTTCATTGTCTCTCCTCGTAAGTGAGTAACTATGTTTGTTTATTTTATATTTCTTCTGAAGGGCGCTTGTTTGATGCTATAATGTTTGATGTTGATAACAAGGATAATACAGTGGGCATGAGCTGTCCACCTGCATCATTTGTTGAGGTCTCCATTCTTCAGAAAGTTTGCAGCCTGCTAACTCCAACCGGTAAAGTATTGTTATAACACTAAACTTCTATTTGGACTTTCAATGCAAACCATGTTCCTCTTGCCACAGGGGTTTTCATTCTGAACCTTGTATGCCGTGACTCCCTCTTGACAAAATGTCTTTTGGAGCGATTGAAGACAATTTTCCACACCATTATCTCGGGCGATGTTGAAGGAGAAGTCAATCAAGTGTTACTATGTCATAAAGGGTTGGATCAGTCACTTGACGCCCCAAAAATCCTGCGGTCCCTGGCACAAGCAGGCAAAAATCTGCAGAGCAAACTGGGCTCTGATAAGACTGGCAGCAACCACTCTCCGCATATAGACATTTCAGAGCTAATAAAAGAGATGAAGATCGTGTGAATGTGTTTGACCTAAAAACACATTCATAATTAATCATTCTAATTTAATAAGAACATATTGTAAACCCTGTTTATAATTTACCCTTTTGTGTACAAAGTCAAAAATAAAAACAGTTTTATCAATCTGTTGTTGACATTTATTGATTTATACTTTTGGGGAGTCACTTGCACACGCCTTCCTTGGAATACACTGTCCCCATTTCTCACAGCTAAAGAATGCTGGGGTGTTATTTACAGTAGTTGCGTAGACACATTAGTTTTTGTCTACTGCAACATGGTCCTACCCCTACAAGCCTCAAATAGCTTTCTGCAACATTAGAGAGGCAGCTTGCATGTGTGATATAAGGTACATTTATAATTGGGTTGTAACTTTGTCTTCAGGAAGGGAGAGGGGAGTTGCCCACCCTGATTTCTTTTTTACGATTGCCAATGCGCATGCGCGGCAAAATTCATTCCGTTAGCTGTCAATGTTTGTACTTTTGCTTTCTTTTTTTGACTAAACTTTGCGGACTTCTGCCAAATGATGCTAACAGGACGAGTCTGAGAAGCTTTTATAGATATTTGACTACAATTACCACGTTATTTATGACCTCTACTAGCTGCTATCTTATCACCGCTTGAAAAAAAACTTGAGAAACAGGAAAACAGCGTTGATCTACTAAACTCTTCATGTACGACGTGTTTTTTGTCACTGACTATTCTTTGTAATGGATCTCAACACAGTTCGCTAATGTTTTTGTCTCTTAAACATAGCAGTGAGTGGTTCGTATAGCGCGATGTGTGTTAGTGGAGGTTTAGCAGTCCAGGTGGCTTTGTTGTGATGGGGAACCGGGGGATGGAGGAGCTCATCCCGCTGCTCAACCGACTCCAGTCCGCCCTGAGCTCCGTGGACAGCGGGCAAGACTACAGCCTCCACCTGCCGCAGATAGCAGTGGTAGGAGCTCAGAGTTCGGGCAAGAGCTCTGTCCTGGAGAACTTCGTGGGCAGGTAAGTTAAAGCTGGGGTACCTAACTTGTTTATTAAAAAAACACGTTGTTTGCCCCTACATAACTTTTTGTTGTGAATAAATAATACTGCTTACTATCTCTTGACATCTGATCTTATTATAAAACATGTTAACTTTTGCGTTTATGGCGTTCTTGTAGAGCCCTAAGTCACTAATTGGCGCTTTGTGCTGGACGCTGATTGGCTGAGTGAGGGTGATCCTCTTTTTTAACTTCTGTCTGAAAAAGCTGATGTGTGGCAGAGACAAAAATATATGCACGTTCATGGTAAAAACAAAGCTATTTTAGAGCCATGAACATTGACATAGATTTGATTGCAAAGTTATGTGTGTGTGGTTTCTACATAAGAGTGATTGATTCATGGAAAGTGAAAGCTAAAACTTGCTACAGTGCAGAATATTTCATGGCGATAACTTTGATACCATTCTGTGGAATAAATAGTCAACCGTACAATCAGCCTCGTCCAAGTACAAGTCAGCTTTCTAGATATGTAGAAATAGATAAAATAACACCAGCAGCAATTCATAGAAATTGCTTGTTAATGTGAACAAGTTTATAATTGAAAAGACATTTGTTGCATTGTCTTGATGGTAAATCAGGACGTGCCTGAACGTGCCCCTTCAGAGACAGTCACATGGTGTGTTTGACAGATCCCAGGGCAGATACTTCAACAATCTGATGAAAAGAGGCAGTGTGACATGTCACACACTATGAAATACTATACACACTATGAAATAATATGTATATTTGTTATGTCACTAGTATAGTGCGTGAATGCATGGAAACTGGATGTATGTGTTTTTGCTTGTCTTATGTGTTACGTTCAGTATTATATTATTACTAAATACTGGATCTAGCAGCAAACATGAAGATATCAGAACAAATATTCCACATGTTTTTCATATCTATGTCGTTAACTAGCTAGCTTACCTCATTAGCCTAGAACGATGAACGACCTGATCTAGTTACGCTTTTATAATAAAATGATTTCATTCGCCATAACGTTTTCTAACTGGAACTTAACCCTACTTCTCTTAATATTTCACACCTTGTCAAATAAAATGGGTGAATAACTTGGTGGATCATTGCCCGTTATTATAACCGACCCATAGGTGGGCCGGGGGCAGAGTGGGCCGGGGGCAGCAGTACCTTCACTTGTTCCCGTTGCTTGGTGTCTCGTTTCGATGCCGACTTTCGGTCAAACGGTGGCGCCATTACGCTTCGTTTTTCTAAAGCAAAAGCTTCACTAAACACGGGCGAAGTCCTCCTCAGTGCTTCAAAAGAGCATCTCAAAATGTTGCGGAATAATTATAGGCCCATCTTTTGATAAATTGACGATAGAAAACGCGGTGACGCAGCACGAATGGAGCGCACTCTCCATCCTCGGTTCAAAGCATAGACTGTAAAGTTCAAAGCATGAATATCTAGGTTCAAAGAAAAGACTCGCCACAGGTGTAAAGAATTTTATTAAAAAATATATTTGAGACAAAGTTCTGACATATTTGAGAAAAGACCTTTCCTCAAAATATGGTATAAAATTATATATATACACCGTATGATTATATTGAATGCTAATACATTGTTAATACATTTTACTTTACAAAAAAAAGCATATAATCATATCAGTTGCATTCTCTAAACAAGAGTGTTACAGTACTCATGGCTATTGGTGGCATACAAATATTACAAAACATAAAAATAGTGGCACAGAGAATCTTTGTGGATAGCAGCTCCCCCAGGATACACAACCTAGCATTCACCATAGACTGTATAACTTCTTCGACACATCACAGGTCATGGGCTTCAAGAAAGAAAAAACTCACAATTTGACTTTTGGGACAGCGGGCGGTTGCCTCCTATAAAAATAACAAGATAAATTAAACATTTACACGATCAACACTATCATATGAATTTGTTAGTACAAATTTGGTATGGTAAGTCAGTCAGAATATAGTGATAGAATGTGTTTCCAGAGAGCAGACGATTGGATGGATGGAAATGCTCAGGAATGGAGAATAATATTTGGGAAAGAACCTAAAGAACCATTGGAGAGCACAAAGGAAATGAGGCAAGGAGAGATGGAGACACGGGCCAAAAACTGGAGAGGAACCAGTGAAAGAAAGAAACGTGTAGGGGAGAACAGGCAATAAAACAAACTGATGCTTGGAACAGGAGATAAGTTAGAGTAAGAGAAACGGGCTGTAAGGGACAGAGACAGATGAAAACTAGACAGAGTGCTCAATATGTTGTCTCTGGCTCTAAACGAAAGCTGCACACAGAGTTCTGACAACTGGGGCTGATGGGAACAAGTCTATGAGAAACACATTTTCCAGCAGACCCCCACCCATCTCAAATAACAGCTCATTCAACCCTTGGATTTGTGCAATGGTTGACCAGGGAAAAAATTGTTGCAGAATGTTTCTAAAGCGACATTAAGTTCCATTGTTTTGTCATTTCAACAGACCTTGGGACACATCGTGTAAAGCGGTGCTGTTGGCGGTTGAGGTTATGATCGCCATCTTCACTTTTGGGTCCTGGAGCTGTTGGGATAGGCGCAGGAGTGCGGGAAGTTGACCTGCAACTGCTTTTTTTTCTCTGATGATTTGGACTGGATTGAAGATACAAAACAAGAGTTCACTGCTAATGTATGATTCTTAAAATAGAACAACCTAAGCTACATAAATACGGTACTCTCAAAAGGCTCTGAAAGTTATATTGTTTCAAATTGTTACAAATAAATAGAGTAACAATAAGTCCATTATATAAACAGGCTGATTTATGTCACATGTTTACACCTCAACAAACATATTTTTAGTAGAGGTGGCAAGTAACTAGAAGTATGCAATTTTACTTAAATATTGTAGATTTTTCTGGTATCAGGAATTTACTTATTTTACTGACGACCTTTTGCCTTTACTTCTGACATTTACTGTCTATGATTTAAAGTCAAATATCTGTTCTTTCTACTCCTTAAATTTCAAAATGACCATTAACTTAAAAGTCATAAATTAGTACAACAACATTGACTGAATATGTGAACTTATAGTTCTGGTTTGGATATGAAGGTAAATACCAAAAAATGGAGACTTATCTTTCCATTGTTGCAGTTTTCACATAAATTGAAATATATAAATTTGCAGACGAATACAATATTTTGACGTCTAAGAAACCACCGACTGATGAATCGACTAAATGACTAAAGATATACAGCCCTATCTAAAATCTAGAGGTTGTACCAGTGTGGGAGAACCCAGGAGGAGTCAATAGGCGGAGGCAGGGGGGTGGTGCAGGTGGCGGTGGATATCTCTGCGATCACAGACAGCGCCTCCTTCAGGGCGGCGTGTGTCTGCAGAACGTGCTCTCGATGCTGCTGCTGCTGCGCTGACTCCTCCATCAGAGAGGAGCATTCTCCCAGAGCATAGAGCTGGGCCAGCAGCTCTGAGCCGATGAACTCTTTCACCTGGAGAGGGGGATTTTAAACATATGTGACCATTCTAACATCTTCAAGAACACAGTTAAATTACGATGTCTAGGGTTCAGCACTACACTCTTAAATTAAGTTGTGTTTCATTTATCTGGTTTTCATTAAAAATCAAAGAAAATGTATAGACTGCAAAACTGGTAGTAAATAGTCTGGACATAAATCCCACGATTGGACAAAGAAAAAGGTTTTGATCATTAATGTTCTCAACCAAATCAATACAAAACAATTAAACTTTTACATCAATACATCAAGTATGTGTCAATAAAGTCACGCTTGTTCTTATATATTTACAAAGTTAACATATCTTGTGCCAGTTTCTGCACAGTAAACTAACCACAAGATGACACATGGATAGTAGAAAACCTGTACTCCAGAAAGTAAATTACATACAAATTAACTACAAAAAAGATATACTGAATACTGAACAAGAATCATGTCTTACACTGTTGATTATGAGGTGCATAATGGTCTTTGGCATGAGGTCTCTGACAGTTTTGTAGATGATGCTCATGTAGGAATCGACAAGGTTCCGAATGGTTTCCACCTGCCGCTCCAGCTGTGGGTCTGTGAAGATGTCTGGGGTCCCATTTCCCTGTGCAAGATAACAACGGTATAAATCATATTTTTCTAGAAATTTACAACTCCTTTTGAATATATTAACTGAAAGGTTGCCAGTGCTAGAAGGCAGAGGGTTTTCTGTAATAGCTAAAGAACCAATCAGAAGGAAACAAAATAGGTTGATTTATCTTTGTTTTAATCATTTTGTCATCAACTGGTGAGAGATACGCAGAGTAGGGGAGCATTGCAGACATACAGCAAAGCCGAGGGAACTCAAGGGAGGCAAGGAGGAGTGGGCAAAAGAAAGAAGTAGAGGGAATGGGTGAGGGACAAGGAACTGCTGATTAGAAACAGACTACACACATACACATATTGCAGTGACATCATGTGTGTGGAATGCAGTGCTGAAGAGCCAACGACAGAGCAAGATGCAAGGGGTGGGGGACTAACTTCTTTTTAAGCTAACACTGGGGAAGAAAAGAGGGAAACATGTTTTATTTTTTAAACAGGTTGCGGCCAGGGTTTAGGGTTAAACATAAGTCAATAAATGCTCACTACATGAAGCTAGTGCCCATAGAGAGGTTAACTAGCTTATGATAAGGCAGAGGGTACGCACAGTGGTGTTCTCAGGGTAGACTCCGGCCCGTAACAGAGAAGATCTCCAGCTGTCCAACTCCTCCTGAGAACCACACGCCAGCTCCAGGTGTCTGTAGTCTTTATACACATTCCTGAAACAATAGAAAAATCTATATACATTTAAAGCACATATAACAGATTAGACCATTTCACTACGCACACAAGCATAGTTAGTTTTAAAAAAAAGATTATTCCTCTAGTTTTGAACATTTTGTAAAGCTTTTAATTTCTGGTTGGACATGGGCTGCATTGTAGCTGCTCCAGGTAGTAACCATAGCACCTACAATGTAAAAAGCTCCAAAGCTCGTCTCATTTACAACACATGTCATGGAATTATGTGTAAGAATATGACCAATAACCCTTTTGCTTAAATCATTATTCCGTCTTATTTTATTTTAGAACTTGGCAATACTTCATGTACATTTTTAAACTTTTCTTCCACTTTTCTGTCACCAAGTGAGACTTGACAGACAGATAAATATTTAGATTCTTTTCTTGGTACAATAAACAAAGTAAACCTTGTTTGTTGTGCCATGGAAAAAGTAAACATGCACTAAAGTAATGGTGGTGGTAAGGCTGAATCACACAAGTACATTCGGTGAGAAAATCTAACTTACGGTACTAAGATTATAGTCATACCAGGTTTTATTATCAATACATTGTTGCTCTATGTCAACATCCAATGTTTTTTCTCATTTATACTCATTTATCCCACAGTCAGTAGTACTTATTTATGTTAGTAGTTGAGTAGTTGAGTGGTCATAAGCGATAAAGATCTTTTTAATTATACCTGCTGTTGAAAATGTTTGTATCGTGTATCATAATATGGTCAGGGTTAGCAAGGAATAAGAAATAAGGAAAAAAGTTAAGGTAGAGGTAGAAATACAGTATATAAGTGTGTGATATTGGCCTATGCCGATTAAAAATCCAGGCAAACATGATACATTGTAGTGGAATAGCAGTACTTCTTAACAACTCATTCCAATCCCTGTTTGCAGTGCAGTAATGTCTTCTTCTCAGGTGTTAAAACTAAACATTATTCATATTCTTTAAGCAGCTATTGGCCCAAACAAAATATGGGCTTCAACTTGTGATGTAAGGCCAGCAGCTAATATGATTGACAGTAAGAAATATTACCCCGCCTAACACAAAGTAAAAATGTATGTTTATTTTGTTTTGCATATTATTAAACACTGTTGTAGTTCTCATCCCCACACAACACTGAGGTGAATTTGTTACTCATTATGATTGTGAGAAGCAAACAACAAAAGCAGGAATGAGTGATTAAAGAAACAGATGGCCCCCAGCTTGATCCAAGCCCTTTGCTTGTTACTTTGTACGCCACAAATTGCTTAATATAAAAAAACTATAATAAATGACACAAATTTATACTTCTTAATATATCATATAACATTGATAGATGATAAAAGACAATACAAGATTCTAAAAAAGTTGTAGTTTGTTGTACATTGATACCATCCAACAATGAACTTGGCCTAAGAGGCTATGTGCTTGGCTACAATGGATGGAGCTAATACGCAAGGGTGTGGTGGCTATTGACTGGCCAACAATGACAAGACTGCAGTGCTATTACTGGGAAATCATAGCCTATTATTTAGATATACAAGAACAGCTACTAAATGCATATACTTGATTTATGTCTCACATCCATTTTTTCCCTCAGTTGCTTTTTTTATACCGTTTTCTGCCAGATTTTTTTTTTAAGTTTTCCCCCCTAACTCACTCTAGGGGGATTTCTATACAGAATCCCAACTGCTTTCTATTTGAAGAGTTTCCTGAGGTTTTTGATTACTGTCAGACAGGGACAAAACCAATGCAATGTCTGCCACACACACACATGAAAATATACACACACGCACACTTCTGACACATTCCTGGCCGATAGCTCTGATACTAGCTCTCATATTGCTTACTTTCTCCTCACAACCCCTCTCCCTCTGCCCCCTCTTTTTGTGGTGAGTCGAGCCATTCTTTCCAAACAAGACCAGCCTCATCTCTGATCCAAGCACTCTGGCTTTGATTAGCTGCTTAATGAGCCTGCCGTCGGTATGCTGCGGTTTATACACAAAAGACACACGTTTTGGCCCAAGAACATACACACTCACATGCATACATACTGTACATTCAGATGTGCTCAAAAAGTCATGCATGTCTTTGAAGGCCAAAATACATAAGATCTAAAAGGTTTGGTAGTAATACTATTCTTTGTGCAAGCTCTGATTACTTTAATATGCATGTTATGCATTGCCTCTTTCTCTCTCACGTTTTATCTCTCTGTCTCTCTCACTTTCACACTGGTGCACTTTGCAAACCAAGTTCAAGCTGGAAACCAATCAACAAAAAAGTGTATTAAAAGCAAGGGTAGACGTAGTTTCTAGTTATCCATTCTACCTCCTTCAGGGGGGATTACTTTCCTCCCGCCAGGGTTCTGTCTGATTGTTAGTTAGTTCACAACATGACTCAAATTTTTTTTTACAACATTTTTAGAAAAACTTGGAAATCACTGTCTGGATCCAGGATTCTCTTTGGAACTGCGCCTTTTGGTGGAGGTTTGCGCTCTATGATTTCTTTTTACTGTTCTATTCTGCAGTCCGATACATTCAAATCTTAGAGAAAATAATTCAGAGGCACTCGGATGCAAAAGGTTCTAGTTAAATCCGCCAACGCGCTTCAACGTGCTGTTTTCATCAGGACTAAGAAATGCCCAGGATGCATCCAAATCATGCTTCAAGATCTGGTGTGCATATGTATAGAATATAACATGTTGATGTTTAGTTAGTACTGTGTAAACAAAATGACTGCATACGTAAAAGATTTAAACTAGAATTTTTACTTTGGAGACTAATACTTCAGGATTGATACTAATTGAAATTAATGTTTTTTATAATTGGATTTCTCGTCTTTCACTAGTCCATCACCAGAAGAAAATATTTTTGTTTGTTCTCTGTCAGATTGTGTCATGAATGTCTTTGAAGGCCAAAATACTTAAGATCTAAAGGGTTTGGTAGTAATACTATTCTTTGTGCAAGCTCTGATTACTTTATTTTAGAAGAAAATATTTTTGTTTGTTCTCTCATGACACTGCTAAATATCAAAGTTCAAAACAAGGAGAGGTAAAATATACCCTCCCTTCCATTTACCAGCGTGACCAACCAATCATTTCAATGTTTAAGAGGCCAAAAAAATCACCACTCCTGTTTCTGACTCACACAAACCTTAGCTCTGTATTGAAGAGGGCAAAGCTGAATTTGCTCGACATGAAGCTCTTCTCAATGTCCCTGTATTTCACATTGTCCAACGGCAGCATGTACTTTTTCTCCTTCTCCTGGAAACAAAAGAAAACAGAAACATAAAGGTTGACAGGAATACTTTGTAAGTTATGAGACCATTGAAGGCCAATGCAGGTGTTTATACGAGAAGAAACGCTGTAGGAACTTTCTCATGAATGCTGAAATAGTTTTACATCTGGAGCTATATTTTAAAGCGTCTGTTTCCAAAAGAGGAGAGCCGGCGGGAAACTGTAGCGCTCGAGAGAAGTGTTGAAACACTGGGGTTCACTGACGGCTTGGAACAGCACACTTCACTTACTGGAAATGTTCAAATAACAATAACCAACAATGAAAAATAGTAGAAAGCCTACAAAAAAGTGAATTGAGGGTGCATTCACACTTGTCAGTCTGGTTCACTTTAACTGGACCAATTCTGGTTCACTTGGGGGAGAGAAACGCTTTATTTGTGGATGTAAAACCACTAAACAAGTGACCATGTGTCCACTAGACACTAAAGTCAGTTTCAATCTTTTGAAACAGAGCTGTGAACCATTATTTCCCCATCAAGTGTTAACGTGCCTTTGACGTTTTAAGAAGTAACACATACGCACATTCATGATGCAATAGTCAACATTGCATTTTCTACATTGCTCTTTTAATTTGTCATTCGCCATTTGATATATTCTGGTGAATCATTAGGTTTAACATTCTCCACGTCTTCCAGCTTGATTTGATGTTCACAGTGGTGGTGATAGCAGAAATGTTTGCAATAAATGTACCGGATGCGGCAGTGGTATAGAACACAAAAAAACGACTATAGATTCCTGAACATTGTTATAATTTGTGTATAAACTCTATATTTAAAATGTGCATTTGAAGCTGGGGTTCTGTAACTAACTTTAGAATGACAATAAAATCCATCTAACTAGTTACTTGCTCTCAAAACAGTTTGAGTCGATCACTAGTTTTTACATGTTTATTTATGTTTGGTCTCTGCCACATCTTTATATACGTTTACTTAGACAGGAGCACTCTTGATTAGCCAATGAGCTCCCAGCCCCAAAAAGTCATTCACAAGGATCTTTGTGTTTTTTCGTATGTTTTGTTTGTTTAAGTATAATTGACCAGGAGAATCCGAAAAAGATTAAGAATCGTAAACGTTTTACAAAACCTTTGCATACTGCTCACATAAAACATAAACTGAAACATGCAACTTAATATTTTCCCCTATAATTCTGGGGCCATACTGTGCATTGCTGCTATTGATGTTTATATTGTTTTTCCTCATTCTTAAGATGCTATAGAGAAGGCTGTAAAAGGCCAATCCCTGTGACCTTAATCTGACTTATTAACATCACGCTAACTAGCAGAACCCAGGTCAGTAGTCTGTCGTCACCATGGAGACATAGATGACAGAAAAGTTTGCCGCTGCCCAGATGCAGAGTTGAAGCAGACAGTATGGAGCTAGAGGGAAGAGAAAGAGGAGGACAAAATGGAGAAAGGCCGGGCGCACATGTGAAAGTCATTACTCAGATTCTTGCTCTAACACAACATTTCTCTCAAAGTACCCCAGCCCCCTCCTTCTTACAGTATATGAACGTATTTTTTACATTATAGAACACGTAATGTAAGTTGGTTATGGCTCAAATGTGAATAGTTTACAGATGAAAAAGGAAACGACATATTTGAATAAGACAGCAGCACCCCTCGTTCGTGATACATGTTGGTGTTTATAGATGCTAGAAGATGTTGCACTTTGGTGTTCCCCCACGTTCCGAGTACTCCCTGAACCCTGTGACTTTCTCCCTTCATTCCTCTTTCCTTCTTTCCAGAGGGGCCCACTTCCTGTAATGGAGGACGAAAAAAATGGCAAACCAGGACTGGCGCTCATGCAGCAACATCTGGGATCGCTTTAGTCTGCAGGGGGAGGAGACGCGAGAGTGTCGGGTGCCATGATGATGTAGAAATAGAAAGTAGAGATGGTTAGTTAGGACAAGCGGGGATATGAAGGCAGAACTATGTGTTTTTTTTTTCATGGTAAGGATGGATGTAGATATGCAGAACATGAAGACCAGGAGACGCAGTTGAGGAGAAGAGAGGAAAAGTTGCAGACCACTCCAAAGTCGATTCCCCATGGGTCTCATCAACCCATATATGGCTGCTAAGTTCCTCCCAAACTCTCTCTCCTTCTCTCACTCCCCTTATTTCCCTATGCCTTCCCAGAGCGGACGGCCAGAACCCTAGCTTAACCAAATGCGTAAATATGCCACGTCAAGACTGGATACTGCCCGGACACAACCATGATGGAGCGGAACCAAGAAGCGAGGAGAAGAGCTGACAACTCCGGAAGAACCAAGGATATGGACGCCTGATGTGAGACCCCTGTGACACAGACTTGTGACAGGATAGACCAAAATAACAGAAGAAAAACATTTGTTTAACTTTACAATCAGCTGTGATAAGAAGATCTGCTGCAAGCCTCCAGAGTTACAAAAAAAGGCAAGATGCTACCAGAAGTCCTGCTCCGTCATCCCAGTGTTCAGACTACCTGTTCAGGATCTTACTGGTGTACAGTAGTCTGCACATTGGTTAGACTGTGCACGTCAATGCTTCAGATATCGCAGAATGCCGCTAGTGCTCAGGAAGTTATACAAAATGTGCATGTATTGAAGGCCATAGTTGTGTTTTCTACTGTTACTTGCATGGCATGCGCAAATATTACCAATTGTTGAAAAGCAAATACTCCTAATAACTTAATGTCACCAAATAACTGATTTACACAGAAGTGACAAGTGTATGTGACTAAGGTAGTTTGGGCAGATCACAACAACTCAAATAGTAAATTGACACATACTTAGTTAATTCATATTAGTTCAGAATCTTGTGCATGAATCTTGAAATTGTAAGATATTGTTTAATCGCAATGAAGGGTGGTTGTGGGCAATTAATACATCAAAGTATTTGTGACAAAAGTGAAGTAATCTCTTCCATTAATGAATGCGTTTAAGACACCTCGCGACTCTCTCTCACAAACCCAAGAAAAAGTAGCATGTAGATTAAGCGTATAAGCAGAGGCCGTCTGTTTTTCTTCAGGGCTTGCTGGTGGAGCCCTGGCAGCTGAGGGGTGTAGGAATGCATGTCTGTTCAATGTGTTAGCAAGCTTAAACTCTATATCTTGATTGTGCTTTGTAAATGAATGAAAAATGAGGTGATTTGATTTGTCTTGTGAAGCTAAGGATGCGTCTTCTGGTAGGAGTTAAGGTGGCTGACAAAGTGATGGAGAGTGGAGTCAATGGGGGTGAGCAGAGTAGAAGGGTATGTGTGAGACTATGGAGGAGGTTAGGGTGGGGGGGGTCAGAAGGGGAGGGGGGGCCGTCAGTGTAGAAACAGCCATGTGGGATTTCTCTGGGCAGATCTTGGAAGCTGGTGTTTGGACAAAGCCTCAGATTTTCCAGCCCGGAATGTGTACGGTCCCAGGGAGACTGCCAACCACAGAAAGGTAGAGAAAGAGAGGGAGGGAAAGAGACAGAATAGGGCGAGGCACAAGAGATGCTACACAAAGAGTGATGACGTCTTATAAACTTAATGGCAACATACATTCATAAGAGCCATTGATGTGTATGCAAACAGAACAGCTATTGCAGTCCAACATATGCATACCATTGCAGTGCGTCTTTGATGTGGTAAAAACATATTTGCTTGTCTCCTTTTGTCTATTATTTATCACAGATGTGCTAAGTGTGTTTATATGTATTAGCAGACGGGTGGAAACGAGCCGACACACTTAGGAAACGTCAGCAAGAGAATGTGTACATTATGCATGCCTAGGGGCTGTGTCTGGAAATACAGTGATCAAGGGGTCTTGGAGTTTATCTAAGAAGTGACCATGTGCCTGATTGACCGTATATTTTTCCTCACTATTTGCACACCAGTCTGTTTACATCAGTCTTCTTGTGTGTATCCTATATTGTATACACACTGTGTATTTGTGTTCGTTTGTGTGAGAGTATGAGTGTGTGTCTGTGTTTGGCTTGGGGCGCCTCCAGCTGTGTCAGGGTGAGCTGCTCCAAATGCCTGAACTCCCAGAAGAGGAAGAAAAGGGGGAGTCTGGAGCAGGACGAATGCGAGCGAGGGGGAAAAGGGCGGTGAATGGGGATACAAGGGCTCAGTTGCAAATCCAGGTGGCGGTCAAGAAAAGCAGAGAAAACACATGGCTGGCAGAAATTCAAGGTTTGGAAATTAGCATGGTAAAAATGAATCGCACTACATGTATAACGGTAGAAAACTAACTTCACCAAACATAATTGTGGGGAAATGACAAATAAAGAAGAGAATTTAGAAAAATTTAAATATGCCGTTTAAAGTGTAACTCTGTCCATTGTCATTTTCATGGGGTATAACTTGAATAGAGTCATCCCTGTGCTCAACTTTTGTGAACTCACTTCCTGCGCAGCGCTGTTCCCATGACATCAGAGAGACTGTTGTGGTGTGTCTGCCTGTCTACACTTGCTGTGCAGACCTTCTGCTCCTGTACAGCAGGCACAGACAGGCAGACACATGGCAGCCCCACTGACAACCCACTACTACAACCACCACCGACCAGCAAATCCTGGATATTACTTGTTTTACATGTTTTCTGCAATTCAATCCACTGCTATTGTGCAGATAAAATTATCTGAATGAACATTGATATTTTCTTGTAAATGCTCAACTGTGTAAAAATGAGTAAACTAATAATAAAGGTATTATATTATAAGTTGTTGTGTCTTTATGTTGAATGAATACTGTAATAAAATGATGTGTAAGACTTACCTCGTCATCTCTGAACCAGGACAAGCTCTCTGCACTGAGGACAAACCAGTATTCTCGTGCACCCCCTTTCATTATGCCAATGTTGTTGATAGTCAGCCACCCCTTTCGTATCACCTGCACAGGAGTTGAGGTTAACATGACTACAGGAAGTGTGCAGAGTATAAGAAAGAGTATAGCAATTTTCATATCGTGATTATAAGGTAGGGCTGGGCGATATGGCAAAAAAGTAAAATCTCGATTTTATTTTCTTCATTGGACAATTTTGATTTTAAATTGATTTTCAATAAAATTTACCCTTAAAATTTTGTTGTTGATCTTTCCGCTCAATATTCAAGTTTCAAAATAGTTTTTAATTGGTTTCCCCCCCAATACATTTTATATAAGTCTTGTACAGACTGTGCTGATATTGCAAGTATAATTCTTGTGCTGCTGGAACTCTCACAATATCCTTCATTCGATTTCACAATTTTCACATTTTTCACAAATTCGATTTTTTCAAAAGCCGATTAATTGCCTAAATTCGATTTATTGCCCAGCCCTATTATAAGGGTTAGAATAAAAGAAGAACATCAGTGACAAAGATTTGCTAATGAGAAATTACAATAGGACATACATAAATATGAAATAAAAGGGAGATTAAATTTTTTTAAAAAGCCAGTACATGCATTAGGCGTGACCATTGACATGCAAACCCACAGCCATTTAGCATTTTTTCACAAAGTAATGTCCAGAGGAAGTGCCATAGAGTGGAAAAGGCAGTAGACGTAGATAGATTTTGTTCCCTACTATTAGACTTGAGAGGGGGGTCAAACCCTGGGGAGAAGGGATGGAAAATATAATTTAAATATACAGTTTTGTTGAATGAGTTGGTATGTGTGTGTTCTTTATATATAAATATGCTATTTACATTTATAGTACATTATTATTAGCACTTTGAGGAAGTACTAAATTGCTACTACCTATTAATACTAATAACTATTTTACATAACTATCAATAACAATAGTTATGCAGCATAGTATTCACCTATGTATACATGCGCACTGCAAGCAACACTCAGGACAATAATTGCTTGGCCCTTCTAAAGTGCACATTTACATTTTTGCATAATCTTTGTAAAATTGAGTGGTTCTGACTGATCAGGCAAGTACTCTGCATGTGTATTACTCTATTCAGACCTACCTGGTTTCCAATTAAATTTGCAGCAATCTTTTCCTTGTTTTGGCAGATCATTTGTTGGGCACTAAACGAGAAGAAATATATTGTTAGTACTGTAACTTTAACTGTAGTATTTACTTTGCCCTTTTACTTACCAGGTAAAACCAACAAAATCTTCATGCTTGGTGTTTATGTATGCGAGTTGTACTTCAATTAGCAGCAATATCTGATAAGAAAATAAAACTATATTGTCAAGTCATAATGACATATTGTGAGGTGGAAAAAAAGAAAATAATGGATTAATAACCTGCTCTCTGCATTTATTTTCTTGCTCCTGTATTTCAGTGTTGACAATTTTCTCAGTCTCATTCCGTAGTTTAGGAAAAGAGGCAAGCTTAAGAAAAAAATAATCAGACAGCTGAACTTACCAATCAATAGTGACTGATGAAGTGTTTTACCTTATCAATGCACTGGTACAGACTGGTAATAAGCTCTTGACTGACCAGGTCAACAAGCTTCATGCATGGCTCACTTAGTCTGGAGATTTGCTTTTTGACAATCGCTTCAAAAGCCAAGTCAGGAGTGAACAGCCCTGTCCTGACGCCATGAATATTTCTGATGGCAAACATTATCTCCCGACGAAGATCCCTCTCATCAGACTCCAACTGAAAAACAACGTATGAAGAACTGGTAAAGCTCTAAAATGGATATGTAAGAAATTCCAAAAATGTACCTTGACCAGTTCATGTGGAAACTGTTCATGAAAGATTCTGTTAATCTTGGCCCCTCCTGATAAATATTCTGTGTCAACTTTATCACCCGAACCTTCAATTAGCTTCTCAAAGTCAACAGCCAAACGCTGAACAAGCCTGTGGACACATTACATAGTATAACTGCATATTAGGATTTGTGGAAAATACACAAGAACATGCATACAAACAGAGACTGACTGTAGAAGGGTCTTGGTCCTCTGTGTGGGGTCATCAGGGACATATTTCCTGTACTCCTCTGCCTCTCTGTTCAAGGACAAAAGCTGGCTATGTAAATGACTACGGAAAGCTGGTAGTTTTTCCCGGATATGACTTGTCAGTTGCTGTGTAAAAATAGAAAAATATTTATACTTGTATTAGCTTCAAATTAGCAAAATCAACAAATGTTTGATTATGCAACCTGTAATATGAAATCACTCAACCTGATTGAGCATTTTTTGCAAATAAGGAGTGCCCATTCTAGTAGCCATGTGACTATAGGCCGGATGCGACCGGAAAAAGTTCTTCTCTGCCTGCAGAGCTGCATTAATATCCTTTCTCCCATCAATATCTTTTTGACTGCGGTTCACCACCCCGACATAACCTGGGAAGGAAGAGAAAGACAGAAAAGGAAATAAAGATATGCACTCACTGTAAAAGACATTTCAGCAGAGTTTTGAAATAATTTCCTGTACAGTTTATAACTCCTATCGGCCTATCTTGATCTTGAGTAGCATAGCATTATAGCCTGTTGTGCTTGTATACTGTAGTCTGTACCAGGCTGCACAGCTCATGTTTCAGTGCAAGTGGCCAACTCAAGTTATTTCAGAGGGTTTCCGTAGCTAATGCATTAGTACTGTGAAGTGACCCGAAGTAACACCTGGTCAGACTTCAGACAAGCCTGTATAAAAGCAACAAGGGCATACTATGAATTCTAACCTTTATATGTACACAAATAAATGTGACATTACCCCGTTTATGAAAAAAAAACTCATTACAAAAATATGCCATCAGCACTGGTAACACTGTTCCTATTGCTTGAAGAAATAGGAAGCTGTAACATTTGCTCAAACACTGGAGACTCACCTCTGCGTAAAGGAAGCAGTCTGTTTTCAAGGATTTCCCGAGCATCAGTTCCTTTATCCATGAGGTCTAACTTAGTGATTACACCTATTGTGCGCTGCCCTAAGAAAGACAAATGGGTAGAAAGATTTGTCAAAACAAATCAGTGTTGCTCAACAATAAATACAATAAGCACAAATGTGTCACACCCACATTTCCAAGTATGAGTCTGGGTCGTGTTTGTGTGTGTGTGCGTGCGTGTGTGCGCAAAGTGAAGGAACAATGCCATGTGAAGTGTCTTTGAGTGCCGAGAAAAGGGCCACATAAAACAGATGCATTATTCGGATTATACCTTGCGGGTCTACGTCTTTGGCTAGTTTGAGTGCGTCAGAGTTGGCCAGATCCGTGTTGGCAGGGGTAACGGCTAGAATGAGACAGTTCTCCTTACAGATATACTGCATGACCATGTCTCGGACTTGGTACTCGATATCTGCGGGCTGGTCACCCACAGGAACCTTTGTGATGCCAGGTAGATCCACAAGGGTTAAGTCCAGCACTGCAGAAATACACACATTGGATTATTTTAAGTTTAATACCTTAAATACCATTTTTGCTCACCAAAAGTAAAAAAAAAATTGGTCAAAATTCAAACTCTAAGAGTTAGACGAAGTAATTTGAACGAAGAGTCAAAGCAGGAAAAGAAGGGTTTTTATGTTGGTAGCAATCAAACGCATTGTGCATATATTTATTTTGTCACTTCAATTATCAAAAATAACAAACAATGAACATATGAGAATCAAAAATGCATGGGTTTTTATCCAGTATACACATCTCTGCTCATCATAATATAATTTACATAATATCAGAAACATAGACCTATTCTGTGGGTATAGGTGGGTAAGGATAAAACCCAGTTTTTATTAAGATAAAATGTGTAAACATTTGGATGGATGGATGGATGGAACAACTGAAATCCAAAAACAATTACTGGTAATTCAAATGTAAACGTATATTGTACACTATATGGCACATTACAGTTGCATACCATGAGGAGAGTGGATTTGTAGATGAATAGGTACTGGAGAAATGTTCTTTTTGGTCCCAGTGAGCCTGTCTGTCTCTGATTCAATCTCTGCTCGAATCTCTCCAAAGTCAGTAAACATTTTTCCTCTACAATGGAAAAATTCTCCATATTCTAAAAAAACAACAACATACAAAGACCAATAGTTTTAAGAAGCCAGTATCAGAGGATCAATATTAAAAGACTAACATGAAGACATGTACAATATCTCACCAAGAGTACGAGAAAAACTGCTTAGCATGGGGTCTGATTTAACACTGGACAAGGCGATAGACATTGCTCGTTCCCATGAAGTTGCGCAAGGAACAGTTAAAAACCATATCAGGCCGTCATGAACAATCAGTACATGCCGTTAGCAGACCGTCTCACAACAATGTAGCGTCATGGAAACCACGGCAACACAGTGACGCTGGCAGCGTGGCGAGATTCACCACAACAGAAAGAAACAAAAAGTTCTACAACTCATGTAACTACTGTGGAAATAAATCACACTCAGCAAAAGAGATCTGTCCAGCAAAAGGGAAACCGTGCAAGTCGTGTAACAAATGGAACCATTTTTCAAAAGTTTGTCGTTCCAAACAAAGAAAAGCAGTGCACACAGTTGATGATAATGACCCAGAGACTGATTCGGATGATTTGTTTATTGATGCAGTGACACAGAAATATGACAAAGAACAGGTTTTTGCAGAAATCCTCGTGGGTCCAAACAAAAGTATGGTCAAATTCAAATTAGACACTGGTGCCTCAGTTAACGTTATTCCTTCAAGTATTGTCAAAAAACTAGGAATGCAGCACACTCTACAACAGTCGTCTCGCCCACTCTATGGCTATGGAGGTGAGCGGTTAGCTGTGAAAGGCAAGTGTAAAGTTGAATGCCAGTACAAGGACATAAAGCTACCTCTGCGAATCCATGTTGTCGACACATTAGCACCACCAGTGCTAGGGCTTCAAGCATGCCTTGATTTCAAGCTTATTAAACTGATACTATCTGTTTCAGATACAACAGGCATGTTGATTATGGATGAGTTTTCAGATGTTTTCACAGGAATAGGACTGTTTCCTGGTGAGTGCACCATCCATATTGACCCCAATGCTGTCCCTGTGATACATCCACCAAGGCGTGTCCCCATTGCTCTGCGTGAACGCCTGAGAGATGAACTGTCAAACATGGAGAAACAAGAAATCATCACCAAAGTCACAGAACCGACTGAATGGGTTAACTCAATGGTTGCAACGGAAAAACCACGCACAGGTAAACTTAGGGTTTGCTTAGATCCAAAGGATCTCAACAAAGCGATAAAACGCCCGCATTACCCATTGCCAACACTTGAGGATATTGTAGCAAAGCTATCAGGAGCATGTTACTTCAGCGTAATGGATGCTAGATCTGGGTATTGGGTAATAAAGCTTACAGAAGAATCCTCAAAGCTAACAACTTTTAACACTGTGTTTGGCCGATACAGATATCTGCGTCTGCCATTTGGACTCTAGATCATCACAAGACGAATTCCAGCGTAAAATGGATGAGACTTTTGAAGGTCTCAATGGCGTTACAGCCATAGTAGACGACGTTCTCATCTACGGCCAAAGCAGAGAAGAACATGATAAAAATCTACGCGCAATGCTGCAGCGCTCCAGGGAAAGGGGAGTAAAGCTCAACCCTGACAAGAGCACCGTCTGCGCAACCCAAGTAAGCTACTTCGGACATTTAATAACAAAAGATGGAGTCAAACCTGACCCCGCAAAGATCGTGGCTGTCAGGGATATGGAGCCACCCAAGGACAAAGGTGAGCTTGAGACCATTCTTGGCATGGTTAACTATCTGTCAAAGTTTGCCCCCATGCTCTCAGACATCAACGCCCCACTGCGCCAGCTGTTAAAGGAGTCAAGCGCGTTTGTCTGGGATGCACAACACGACAAAGCATTTCGCCAAATGAAAGAACTCATAACCGGAGAGCCAGGCCCTGTCCTAGTTTACTATGACCCCAAGAAAGAGCTTAGGCTGCAAGTTGATGCATCTAAATATGGACTTGGTGCCACTCTGCTTCAAGAGGGTAAACCAATCGGGTATGCATCCAGATCACTCACAGATTGCGAAATCAATTATGCACAAATTGAAAAAGAGCTTTATGCCATCTTATTCGGATGCAAGCGTTTTCACCAATATGTGTATGGTCGTCACGTCATTGTGGAAAGTGACCACAAACCATTGGAATCAATTTTACGCAAACCACTCACTGCAGCACCTCCAAGATTACAAAGAATGATTCTCCAGCTACAAAGATACGACTTCACAATCATTCACAAACCAGGCAAAGACATTCCTCTCGCTGATACTCTCTCCCGGAAGTCACTTCATGATCAAGATAACAGCCTCAGAGAAGGTATGGACTTACAGGTGCATACAGTATACAGTAGCTTACCAGTAAGCGACACAAAACTAAAGGAAATACAGACAGAGACCGACAAGGACACTCAGTTTACACTGCTAAAGAAGACAATCGAGGACGGATGGCCTGAGGAAAAGAAACAGTGTCCTCAGTTGATTGCAGAGTATTGGAACTATCGGGATGAACTGTCTCAAATCAATAATATCCTTTTCAAGGGAGAAAAGATAATAGTTCCACAGTCATTACGTCCAGAAATGTTGTCCCGAATCCACACAAGCCACCTGGGCATGGAAAAGTGCAAACAAAGAGCCCGTGACGTCCTGTTCTGGCCCGGAATGAACAAACAAATAGAAGACATGGTTGCACGGTGCCCAGTGTGTTTGGAGCACAGGCCATCAAACACGAAAGAGCCCATGGTCAGCCATACAATACCAGACAGGCCATGGCAAACAGTGGCTACTGACCTTTTCATTTGGAACAATGCTAACTACATTGTTACAGTTGACTATTACAGCAGGTACTTTGAGATTGACAAGCTCCACAGCACAACCGCCTCTGCAGTCATACATAAACTCAAAGCCACATTTGCTCGGCATGGTATCCCCGAAACTGTGATATCTGACAATGGCCCCCAATACAAGAGCAAGGAGTTTGAAACGTTTTCAAACTTATGGGAGTTCAAGCATATAACATCAAGTCCGTACTACCCACAGAGCAACGGCCTTGCAGAAAAGGCTGTACAAACAGTCAAGTTGCTCATGGAAAAAGCCAAATCAGATAAACAAGGACCCATACCTGAGCATCCTTGAATATCGCAACACACCGGTGGACAACTTTAAAACACCTGCACAGCTGCTCATGAGTAGACGCCTTCGCTCCATCATTCCATGCACTCACCAGCAGCTCAAACCTAAAGCCATCAGCCACAGGGAGACTCTTACAAAAAGAGATCTTTGTCAAAAACATCAAAAGAAATATTATGACAGATCTTCAAAACCGCTCTCAGCTCTACGCAACGGACAAAGTGTTCGCTTTCAGGAAAGGGGACATTGGAAACCAGCATCTGTCATTCGTGCAGCCGACACTGCCAGATCTTACCACATTCAAACACCAGATGGACTGCAATACAGGAGAAACCGTCGTCACCTAATGGACTCTAAAGAACCACCCATAGCTCACCATGGTGACCATTCTCAGCTGGAACATCCACCTGATAAGACTGAGCACAGTTCACAACCAACACCTATGACTACTACCGCTACTTACCATACCCGTTCTGGTCGCGAAGTTAAGCCGAGGGCTATCTTAGACCTGTAATAAGTTTATTAATGCATAGTGTTCAGTATATGCATATGTTGTGATTATTTGTTTAAATATTCCATATTGTTCTGTGGTATTTTTCTTAGTTTTAGCACAGGTTCCTAATTCATTCAAAAGAAAATAATTAAACTAAATAACATAGTGCAATATCTTCATTTTTTATACCCTACAAATGATATGTACTATTTAGCTGTTTGAATTTTTAGATACTATATATTTTGCTTTCTTTTAAAAGAAGGGGGATGTAATATTCTGTGATAGAATATGCTGTGAGACATTACTGCATCATTCAACATTGTATCACGTTCTGTTTGATCCTTACGTCACATGTATCTTACGTGCTGCGTGACCTGTGATAGAGCGCAACCTGCCGTTACATTTTGTCATTGTCATTCTGCTCAACTGCTAGTAAACAGCACTACGAAACCCGGACTGTCGTACTTACTTTTTGTACATACGGTACATCTATTTTAAACATAGAAACATAACAATATAATACTGTGCGTGGGGCACACTGACAGAAGAGGCAACCAGTATGTGCCAATCGGCCCCTCCGACCACCACCAACCATTCACACACAGACTCATTCTAGGCATGTACACTTCACTTCACCCTAAGTGGTCATACTTAGGACACAAGGAGTATGGCCACTTAGTAGTTTACATCCTCAGCTCTAGGACAACTCCAGGCAACCTGAGTGTCTTTGAGATTTTCTGTAATGCATTGATAAACATTAGACTTTCATATATTTTAGATTCATTACACACAACTGAAGTAGTTCAAGCCTTTTATTGTTTTAATATTGATGATTTTGGCAAAAAAGGAAAGAAAAACCAAAATTCCCTATCTAAAAAAATTAGCATATTTCATCCGACCAATAAAAGAAACGTGTTTTCAATATAAAAAGTGTCAACCTTCAAATAATGATGTTCAGTTATGCACTCAATACTTGATCAGGAATCCTTTTGTAGAAATGAATGCTTCAATACGGCGTGGCATGGAGGCAATCAACCTGTGGCACTGCTGAGGTGTTATGGAGCCCCAGGATGATTCGATAGTGGCCTTAAGTTCATCCACAGTGTTGGGTCTGGTTACTCTCGACTTCCTCTTAACAATATCTCAGATTGTTGGGGTTCAGGTCAGTAGAGTTGGCAGGCCAATTGAGTACAGTAATCCCACGGTCAGTAAACCATTTACCTGTGGTTTTGCCAGGTCGTGCTGAAAAAGGAATTCTTCATCTCCATAAAGCTTTTCAGCAGATGGAAGCATGAAGTGCTCCAAAATCTCCTGATAGCCAGCTGCATTGACCCTGCCCTTGATAAAACACAGTGGACCACCACCACCAGCTGACATGACACCCCAGACCATCATTGTGGGTACTTGACACTGGACTTCAGGCATTTTGGCATTTCCTTCTCCCCAGTCTTCCTCCACACTGGCACCTTGATTTCATCCAAAAAAAGTACTTTGGACCATTGAGCAACAGTCCAGTGCTGCTTCTCTGTACCCCAGGTCAGGCGCTTCTGCTGCCGTTTCTGGTTGTGGTTTCTGTAGCCCATTTCCTGCACACGCCTGTGCACGATGGCTGTGGATGTTTCTGCTTCAGACTCAGTCCACTGCTTCCGCAAGTCCCCCAAGGTCTGGAATATGCCCTTCTCCACCATCCTCCTCAAGGTCCGGTCACCTCTTGGGGTTGTACAGTGTTTTCTGTCACACTTTTTCCTTCCCACAGACTTCCCACTGGGTGCCTTATACAGCACTCTGGGAACAGCCTATTTGCTCAGAAATGTCTTTCTGTGTCTTACCCTCTTGCTTGAGGGTGTCAATGATTTCCCTCTGGACAGCAGTCAGGTAGTCTTACCCATGATTGCAGTTTTGAGTAATGAACCAGGCCGCGAGTTTTTAAAAGCCTCAAGAATCTTCTGCAAGTGTTTAGAGTTAATTTGTTGGTTCAGATGATTAGGTTAATGGCTCGTTTAGAGTACCTTTTCATGATATGCTAATTTATGCATAATTTGCTGATTTTGGATTTTCTCTACTTTTTATGCCAAATTCATCAATATTAAAACAATAAAGGCTTGAACTACTTCAGTTGTGTGTAATGAATCTAAAATATGTGAAAGTCTAATGTTTATCAGTACAAAGGACCTGTATATATAGTACTATCTGAAGAATGTACCCTTTTGCTTCTCTTGCCATTGGTCGCCTGAGGTTGGAATACATTATCTCTATACGACTACTTATCTAACCTTTCACACAAATTATCAACTCAATGAAATGTCCTTTTTCCTAGTTTAACTGAGAAGCAAACGTAAATGTAATACAGTGTTTAAGACCTTTAATAAATTAAATTAATTAAACATTCCAATCACACTGTATGTAAGTATCGATCCAACAAATGATCATCCGGATCAGTATGGTTGGGCAATATAGATAGATAGGCACTTGTCAGGAAATATGGTTAGGTTTACACCTTTTTGGATCACTCTTAGAACATAATTGTTATATAGATGGAGCAGAATAAATTATTGGTTCTCAAACTTTAGTTTCTTGTTTCCATTGCACAATAACATTCAAAACCAAGTTTAAAATGACATTTAAGTGAAGATCTAGATATAGTCTAGGGTTGTTTATCACAAGAAAGTTGTAGTCCAAACCACTGGCTTAAATCATTTTGCCCCCATGTGTGAGATAATGTATGCATACCACTATTAAAATATAACTACATTTATTGTATGTGCATACTAAAAGTACCATCAATGTCACTATGTAGGTGACTTATCAGTTTGTTTATGTTAAGCAGTTCAAAAGCAGTGCTGTCAATTGGCAAACTGCCTTATATCTTCTTGGATTTCGGCTTCATCCCAGGGTCCAGAAATATTGTCCTTTTGCTGCTGTAGTCGGACAAGCAAAAGGGGGCAGAGCAGAGTCACACTGGACAAGGCCATTGTCAGGAGCACTGCACCAAAGGAGGACTGAGATCCCAATCCTGCTACTCCTCCTAAACATACTCCAACACAGACCACAGTGAAGTGGTGAGGAGTCCTTTCCCTCATCTTCTGTAGCAAGCAGGGCCACAGGGCGAACACCAGAAGAGCACAGCTAAGCATTGCAAAAGTATGCAGCGCTCCGGGCAGCCTGGAGGCCAAACACACAGAGGCAAACAGAGCTGCATTCAGAGAGAGGCTGCTGGGAGGAGAGGGCTGTGTGTACGGGAATGACATCAGATGGGCTAAGAGCATCATGGCAGACATGGCATAGACTGTATCTGTGCTTACGGATTCAGTCAATGTCTTCAGAACGGGAGAAAAACCAAACGTGAAAGACAAGAAAATAGTGGAACTTTGTAAATTCGCCAGATGTGTTCGTGGCTTGCAGTCCAATTCTTGTTTCGTACTTAAAAGATTATAGAGTCCATAGCCCAGTAGAGCAGTCAGAAGGCTTGTCCACAAGAGTGTCTCAGGTGCCAGTAAACCCTGGAGTAAACAGAGAGAATAAATATGTATACTTTTACATTTTAAATTTCAGACATTGATAATCATGTATATTACCTGCTCCATGTGGAGCCATAATGTTATAAAAATGGCAACACAAGACAGCTGCTGCCCAACAATTGCCGTTTCCTTAACCACAGTCCAATAGTGGTACTGATGCAGACCCTCGTTTCGCCGCAGCTCCTCCAGAAAGCGCTGGTCCACATAGTTATCAGGAAATGGCTGACGCTCCCACAGCACCTTCCTCCAAGGTACAGAGGAGTCTGCCTCAGTGTCAGCACCCATCCCCTGCAAACACAACATGAAACCTTTCATCTCCACAGCTTACAGTTAGCCAGATATCATTCAGAAGAAAGGCATTTTTCTTAGTTTTTCTTTAAAAACACAATTATGTATAAAATAATGTAGTATTTTTTTGTTTAATAAATGTACAAATCATTTAACAAGAAAACTTTTGCAAAAAATGAATTGAAAAGAAACCCATTACATTTCCATGGTCACATGACCGTTGGAATTAAATGCCCCCTCCCACCCCAGAGTCTAGTTTTGAGAAATGTTTTCAAATAGTTCATCCCTGAGCCTCACCCTTAGGTGCTCATTGAATTCACCCAAAGTTTCACTAGAGACACAGTCAGAGTCCAGCATGTTCCACATCCCGGTGGCCAGGGTGTCTCTGCATGATGTGGGCACTGGGCACAGTGGGCAGTATCCACATTGATATGACGTAATACTCTAGTGAGATTTTGAATGTTTGGGTTTTTACAAGCTGTTAGCCATGTTCATAAATAAGTCAAACAAAAGTGTGATATGTCACGTTGTATGCCATGAGTCCATATTATACATTAGCTTCACATTTGAAGTTGATAAACTTTTCCACAGTATTCTAATCATCCGAGTGTCACCCGTGGATCTTGTGATGTCAGTGGCGATTGGTGGTGTTCGGAGGAGGCGAGTTGAGAATTGACAGCCTCACTTATCTGTCTACCCCAGGGCAGATGTGGCTACGATAGTACCGCAGTACGGCAATAGTAGTAGCTTACCACCACAGTGTAACGACTGAATTGATTGTAGTTATTGGTAGTAGAAATACATGACATTTTAAACCGACTGAAGAGACTGTCATACTTACAAAGGCTGACTAAATCCTGTTGTATCCGGGTTTCTAAATATCGTCCCAACGTCTTTGAAAACATTTTAAAAACAACAATTTCACTAAAACAACACGTTGTCTTTAGTGGGAGAGACTAAGCCCCTTGTTGCGAATAGATCCATAATCACGATCAAACTATACCGGAAGTATGTATTGAGCATGGAACCACACTGCAGTCTACATCGCCCTCTACCGGATTACATGACTGAATGATATTTTTTACAGGAATTACAATAATTATGAATCTTGCAGCTGTTAGATAAAAACTTACATTTACATGTTATTTCGATTGTAAATATACATGTAAAACAATCTATTGTAATACCGTGCATTTCAATAAATCTCTCACCAGGTGGCTGTAGTAAATATACATTTTCCATTTCCTCATCCAAGGCCAGTAATCAGACAGCAGACCAAAGGCAAAGGTAGTTGGACTTGTAATGCATTTCTTAGTTCGCAATGATATCGATGTATTCATTTTTGTACACTTTATTTGCAGAATTATTCCAGTGCAAACAGGACTGTGTTATCAATGATCACAAACATTTTGCATCACCCATTCGTGCTGTAAGACAGTGAGTCTATGAGCAAAACCAATGTGAAAATAATAATTCCCTGACAATGGTAACCGTCCTGTGTGCTTCAGAAGACCCCCTCCTTCCTGCCTTTTTAATCATTTGAATGCGTGTTTGATCATCAAGTCTATTCCATTCGTCACAAGCCAGGCTCAGGTTCAGAGGTAAGTGCACACATAAGTAAATTTCACACAATGAGGAAAATTCGTAATAATTTTATTTACACATTATACCATTACACAACATGAACTCAATAAATTATGTGGTCATCGTATTCCTCCAAGAAACGTGACCTCATAAGAAGTAACAAAACAAATGAGATTACTGACCAAACAAGCATCAACACTGGTGGCACATCGTGTTGCATTTTCTGTATGAAAAGCACTTTATAAATAAAAATGGATTGATTGATTTAACAAAAACACTTCATGACAAATCTACTGTAATTTGAGAAATCACAATCTTGTATCATCAAACTCCATGTGTAATTTCAGAGAAAAAGTTTCAAAAATGAAGACAGCAAAGACCCCTCAGCCAGGCCCAGGAGTAATGAGGACCAGACAGTAATTGTCAATAAAAATCCAGAACTATGAAACCAGCGATTGTAGTTTATATTTTAATTTAAGTAACATTATTTTTCAGAATAAAATGCACAGACTCCATAAAACTTTATATACAAATAAAAGCTTTATGGCTATAGTAGCAGTGTAATATTGCTGGCATGAGAGACTGCCAATACAGAAACACTTAATTTTAAAAACAAATTCAGGCTAAGGCAAAGAATGAGCTGTGCATTATGCATATTATACTGAACGTAACAGTGCACCTGTGTAATAGTGGTAATGACCTCCTAGGCTTCCATCCGATAGAAATAGCACGTCAAGTACAAAATCTTCACATAGTGGGTGTCTGTAACTAGATCCTTGTCAGCAGCCATGAGTGTTCACAGCAGCAAGTCCACTCAAGTTTAGCCATGGAATTAATACATTATTTTCTTTAAATGGCTCTTTAGGCTTCTGTAATGCTAGAAAATTAACTGGCTCAAAACAGGCACAATTTTCACCAAATGCATATTACAATTGTAAAGGACACAAAGCTACTCCAAATGTAACAGTGAAGGAATATAAAAAATATGTATTCACTATACTATAATAATTATAAGTATATCATTTAAAAAAATAATTGGTTAAAACTAATACTGTTATAGCATTCTTTGGCCAGTAGTTAGTCTTGTGAAAACAGTATACCGATGCGTTTGTCAGTTTTTACATTTGCATGAGAAAAATAGGTATTTAAAAATTGCCCATCTATTCCATGACCGTTTTTTGCTTCAGGGAGCTTAATAATGTTGGGGAAAAAAATGTTATTTGTGCAATCTAGTAGAAAAATGTTTATGTGCGGACTTTCCTATTATCTTCAAACAAAGAGCGTACAAGGTACACTTGGACCGCGGATACAATTACCATTACAAAAAGATTGGTTAGTGACCAAAAGTTAACTCGATCAAAGTTACTTTCCTGAAGGTTCCTGTCACGGGCCTCAAAGGCTTTCAGCAAAATCTGAATATGAACACTTTTTGACAGCCGAGCCTTCACATTGTTGATTGTGTCCTGGAACAGAAAAGGGCAATAAAATGATACGCTTGATCTGTGTGAATAATCAATAAACAGTTTATATAAAACCAGTGAGGAACACAAGCATAATAGAATGCAATATATCTTTAATTATAGATAATATGGATAGAATTAGAGGTAGGAGTAAAAAGGGACAAAAATGGCGTCATCAGAACATTGCAGAAAAACGGCAAGTAAAGAAATTCGAATCATTAATTTTTTAAAAAATATTTTCAGAATCAGAATCATTTTTATTGCCATGTAGTCAAAGACTAGGAAATTTCTTTGGCTCGGTGCGTCAGTCAGAAAAAGAGGTAAAGAAAAGAGAATAGAGTAAGGCATAATAAAAATCAGCATACACTTCTAAGGTATAACATTTAAAATAGAAAAAAAATGATATCATCATCAATACAATAGGCCAACTTATAAGATGTAGAAAGAAATTGAGCTCCTATGTAAAGAGTGAGATTCTTCTAAGAACATAATCAACCAATAACTACATAAGCACAAGTTTGAATATGACTTTGTAAACTATTTTGATAGCCCAGATTTCAAAATTGTTGGAGACCTGCCACATACATTTTTGGTATGATTTCCTAGTTGTGTAAATGTTGTTTGGGTTATAGCGGACACAGGAAGAACATGCAGATTCCACACAGAAAGGCCCTGTATGGCCCAAGGCTTTGAGAGCAAGCGAAGTAGTGGCACGGTGCTTGACAGACATGGGTTTTTCTTCATGGTCAATGCTTATTTTAAAACCAGAGATATTTTAGGCCAATATATGCCACATTTATCTCCCTTTCAATATGAATTAAATAAATATATAACAATTGATTAAGATGAATGGAAACAAGTAAAAGGCAGACAGCACATTGACCGCACTACTGCATTGATGTAACAATAATAATAATAATACAACGGTTTTATATATAGCGTTTTTTGGACACTGAAAGACGCTTCACATGTCATTATTCTTGCATTCCATACGGTGGTGATGAACTACTACTGTAGCCACACTGGGGCACACTGACAGAAGCGAGACAACCAGTGCCATTGGCCCTTCCGACCATCACCAAACTTTCACACACACTAGACTCATTCTAGGCAATGGGGGTGAAGTGTCTTGCCTAAGGGCACAACGGCAGTTTGGCACTTTACAGCCGCAGCAGGCCCACTGTGGCACCTGGTAAGTGTCGACAGCAGGCATCAGTGGGAATCGGTGGAGAAAGTCTTGCAGCTCGAACCCACAACCTTCAGGCTCAAAGGCCATTTGCTCTACCAACTAAGCCACTGCACTTTCTGTACACTTTCAATCTGAAATAAATGAAACTCTCACCATGATGTCTTCCAGCTTCATGTCCAGCATGTCTGTCCCGTGGACATACTCCTTCCAGTCTTCTGGGTCTTCATCAGTTTCCATATTGTCGAGGATTAGTTCAAAGAAAATAATCTTCTCAGAGACAGCACTGAATGTGTTGTCAAAGCAGAACATGTAGTCTCCTTCCTCAGTCTCAACACTAGTGAAACATCATATAGTAGGATGATCTAAATGTAAAAACATAGAACAGCACACCATCAACCTTACTTACGTGTGCACGCCATCTGATTTGCGGTAATCGTTGAACAATACTTGACCTGTAGGTGAGGCAATGTAGAAATCCACATCGAGACCTGCCCCATCCAATACCTGAGAAGTTGGAAAACAAGTTAGTTTAGTCAACCGTGTATCGAGTTTTTAACATTTTTATGTTATTGCCACTGATAGAAACATTTTCTGGTATTTTAAGTGCATGCAACACACTATTAACTGAAAGCACAACTCATCAACCATATAACTCACCAAACGGGTTTATCAGCGTTAACAACACCACCACCACAAAATGCCACCACTGAGATTTTATTAGCGTCATAAAAATATAAAAATCACTTTGTATTTACTAGTTGTCCAAATCAACTATACATAAATCGAACATAGTGTAGCCTACCATAAAAATCAATTTGTACAACATTGATTTTTTTTAATCTTTCAATAAAATGTGAAGGTGGTTGTATACATCACCTGGTATTCGATCTCCAGAGAGGCATCTTTCTTCATGGTTTGGAAAAAACACTCTTTTCTACCAGGGGGGAGTGTGAAAGTGAAGTCACTGTCCATTGACTGCGAGAAGGAAGCCATGACAAACTTCTCCAGGGCTAAAGCCCACAGCACGACAACAGCATAGCAACTTCTCCTTGTTATACCCATTATGAATTATTGGAAACAAAACTATATACGTCCTAAAACACTACACAAGCCGAAAGAACGATCCTCAAACAAGACAATTTATCAAACTTCTCTATCTCAAAATATTCTTACATTGCAATGCTACCGCGACCTATCTACGTGTGGACCCCGCCTGTCTAATATAAGTGACTATTAGGAAAAAAACAAATAAAAAAAACAACAACTATAGTTGGCTGTTACATCACAGTATTTGTTCACTAAAGCATTAGTATTATGTTACTAAGTAACACACATTTGGTAGAATTTTTTTTTTTTTTTAATAAACGCAGGCATTAATAAGCGTTCCTTTCTAAGTGCATTGTGGGACATGTAGTTTGTATTACAGCATCATAGAGCCATAATTATATCTATGTGTGCCACTAGAAAGGAAAATGTTTCATTATTATTATAAATAAATAAATATCTATAGCTATTATCTATGTTATATGAAACAACAAATCACAAATCTATCACTAGTCCAAACCAAGCGGCTACTCCACCTTGGGACCCGTCTTGCTCTACCCAGCGGATGGTCCACTTCTGCTGCTGTGACCCGTCCTGCTCCACCCAGAGGCTACTCCACCTCTGCTGCTGTGACCCGTCCTGCTCCACCCAGAGGCTACTCCACCTCTGCTGCTGTGACCCGTCCTGCTCCTGCTGTGACCTAAAGGGCGGTTGCTTATTATTACTATTGTTAGCTTTTTAGAATGATCAATTTTATTTTTACTGCTGCTACTGAATTTCTCCTATGGGGGATCAATAAAGTATCTGTCCATCTCATTTTAGATACAGCAATATTAAAGGTACATAGGAAGTTTTAATTTTCGGGAAGAAACGCTCTCCACTTTTCGAAACTCTCTGGTCTCATTTGATAAGCACCAATATTATTATTGATCCATGATGAGCAGTATCACCAGAATGATGGACAATTGGGAGGACAGTCTTGATGATCCACTCGAAAGTAGAAAATCCTCCTATATACCTTTAAAATAAAAGTCCCATCGTAGTGTCGCATGTATTTTTTAACCATGCAAAACACACATGTAATGACCATGCAAAACACACACACTTCTATGTTCATTCTATGTTGAACAGTTCTCTAACAACGGGAAAAAGCCATAGACTTTACAAGAATAAGCGTGTGCTATATATACATTTCAAAACTACCATGTATATTACAAAACACAGATTGTACTATATTCATAAAATAATACCATTCTACATGTTTCAAATCTTCAGAATGTAGTATGGTTGTGTTAAGGCGAAAAGTACACAGTGTTCTTGCCATTCAATAGCTTCACTCAGTTTTACTCATCTCGATTAGACTTAATTGTATACATTTGTTTGTTGTTTGTTTGTAAACGCCCATTCCATAAAATGTCATCCCAATCCCAAGTATTGCGTCGTTTATGGATTGTTATCATAAAAGCGCTGACGCGTCTCGCTCGATCGCTACCAACTCATCTCTGACATCAGTGGGCAGGAGTTTCTCGACATCCTCACAGTGAAGTCTCTTCTGATTGGATAGTTGTTTAGAAAAGTGTTATTTGATTGGTCGGCTGTCAGAGGGGTTGAATCTACCAGAGAGCCAGAAACCCGTCAACAGCAGTAGAACCCCAAGCAGCAGGAAGAAGGGGACAACCGATCCGTACAATGGTCACGGCACGTTTTAAGTGTACGTTTTAAGCCGAACAAGAAGAATCTTACATATTTATTAAATACTTACAACTAGGCTTGTTGAACTACTGTTTTGTGACTGGGTGGAAACAAGAATAACACCCAGAGAGCGAGGATGTTGGTCCCCGCGGGAAGATAATGAAGAGGCTGCGTGTTGTCCTGGTGTGCCTCATTGTAGCTCTCCTGTGCTGGTAAGACTGACATCTGATTTTTCTTTATTATGATGACTTGGGTCAAAACTGGGATAGGTGTCAAAGAGAACCGGGTTTTTTATTTGACCATAGCAATCAAGCATCGTGTACGCACGCACGTCGCACCCCCTGATTAGTATTCACCAAGGTGTAGCATGCTAGAGCTAACAACATTGTCTGATCGTATGCATTCATCTGCTGTTGGAATGTTATGTTGATCTTGTTCACGATGCATCATAAGTTGGTATATTTATTCATCGTACCGTGAAACGTTTCAGAGCTTTTGGTCAATACCGTTAATTGAATAAGGCCAGGTTCATTGAGGCAGTTGCCAACATTAAAGTGAGCTGGAAGCACATAATAATAATAATAATTTATTACGAGAACAAGCATAAACAATACTTGTTCCTCCTTTACCAAATGAGTTGATAATAATCCAGTATTATTCACGTTTGGACACAACACTTTGCAATATGAAGAGGAGAAGAGTTGTCCAATTAATAACTTGTACCAGATTCCTGTTGTCTGGTTCTGAAGATAAGTGATGAGCTGCAGACTATTTATAGTACTTGCTAAACTGTACTCTGAAGAAGGCTAATTAGGCTAAAAGAAAAGTGTTTGTCTCATAGTTTCTATCACTCCTTTCACTTCATGATGAAAGCTAATGTTTTCTGAAAGACCAAGTGCACAATTACACAGTATGTAAATATGTTGTATCTGATCTCTTCTAATTCCTATTATGTAACAATGATGCTGGCATAGAAGCTGCTTATTTGACTACACTACAGGTGAAGTGGCCTTTGCTCCATGGTAACAGCTGCAGAGGGGATTTGCGCTTTCTGGCATTTAAAACCTTGGCACACCTTTTTACTTTCTCACCAACAAAGTAATGACCATGAAAAACACACACACTTCTATGTTCATTACAAATGCAAACCCATTTTAGCATGCTACTGTGAGCTTTTCACTACCGCGTGCCAACTTTGTCACGTCCCGGTGGAAATACAAGAGGGTGGACCTAAACATATTAAATAGCTTTTTGTCGCACTAAACAATGTTATTACGTTTCCTTTCAGTTCTACTCATCATTTTCACACTGCTGTTGCTCATGTGCCGCTTTAAACAAGGAAAAATCAAATAAATCAAATACATTTAGATACATTTGTTTCAAACTTGCATACACATTTAACAAGATACAAATATATGTAGAAATCCACAGTTTGAATAAGGGTTGGACGAAACGGTTATGTAATGATGGAGAAATTTGTCCGTGGTTCATCTCCAGATTCTATTGGTGTCAGGTTTGCATCTGTGTCATGCTACTCCTTCATTCAAGGGCTCCTGCTGTGTCACTGGTGTACATGATCTTGATTTCCTAAGTCAGGCTTCTTAGAAAATATAGGGCATAACATTTTCAAGGCCACGCTTGAGAATGCACCAGCCATTGTGAAAATGATACTAATAATACTAAACAACACATGTGATCATCCTTTTTATCTACAGCCTTCATTGAAAAAAGTCTTTCTTCTATTGTATTAATTATTATTATCATTATTCTTAAAATCATTTATATTAATAACATATCCAGGCACTCTCTTTGGCACCTGCTGTACCAAGCTCTTTGAAATATGAACACATTACAGACTCGGTGTACCAGAAAAATATTAACTTAAGTTTACAAATGTAGCAAAAGTCTGTCTTGGCTTCTTTGTGGTGTAGTGTTTTTTTAACTTATTGGTTGGAATATTTTTTAAATACCATTTGGTTTTAACCTAAAAATCAAGCCATCTAAAGTGATAAATGCCTGTATCAGTCACTAGATCACCGAAATGTGAAGGGGCTTCTGTTTGAAAGATGATTACACTTTTACCTTTTAGGTTCCAATCTGCTTTCTTTCATCTTTGTTTTACTCCTGATTTTATTTGTCTTAATCAAAACCCAAATTTCACCCATTTCAGCCGCCACTGTAACAATACTTTTAGTAATTCCTTTCTGACCCTAAACTCCTCATTAGGTGCTGAATAATCTCCCCATGTTCCCTCTTGTTTTTGATCAGACCTGCGTCACTGGTTGTTTTTCCATGCATGAGCCTTCTGTCGCGTCTGCCCTGTCCATGATGCAGCTTGGGGTGAACACAAAGTACCTCTCACCCAGTCGGCTCTCATTGGCTCCAGCATGCTACTTCTGTGCATTGATAAGTGGAAATAGAATTGGATGAATGATTTACAAATGTCTCTTCCCTTCTTTACATTGACATTGACGTATACAGTACAAGCTTGTGTAAAGGTCGTAGGAGCACGCGTCGCCCTGCATGTACAGTAGAACTATTTGAGGCTGTGGTCTGATCTCCTTCTTTTCAAATTGGTTTATTCTGCATGTTTTCACACCATCAAAATAAAATGGGACACAAGAAAGTTAGAATGGATTTATTATGGTTTTTTTCTTTTAATATTTATCACTAGTATGTATTGATGTTTGTTGACAGTCAAACTTTTCCAGTATTTAAAATGAGATAATTAAGATAAGATAAGATTGACTTTATTGACACCGGAGAAATTTACATGTCCCATTTGGCACGGATTGAATCACTCAGATTGTACAAAAGACTGAAGTGTGCAAACATGGTAAAGGTTAAAAATATAGTCTGTGCAGAATATAAATATGCATCTGTGATAATTAACGCGATAAAAGAGGCCTCCGATATCTGGTCTGATCGTCTTTTGAAGAATATCACTTCTGTCAGTTTTTGTTTTGCGCTAACTGAGAAATCCCCAGTGCTTTAAAAAAAACATTGTTTCTGCCCACTGCACTTGGACAATATTGCCAAAATCTTACACAAACATTGATCTCTCTCCTACTCGCTCTGTTTTCTTTCTGCTTGGATACCTGTTCAATGCACTGCTCTTTCCAATAAAATCAGATTAAGTCCAAAAACTATGTGAATGTAAAGTTATGCCCTACTTTTCCCACATGCCTCACAAGTTCAACCCTTTCAAAAGTAAAGTGCTGCTATCTCAATATGAACTCCTCTCCTCTGCCCCCAGCGATGTATTACATGAGTTAAATTCCTCAGCGTGGAAATGTGTTGGATTGTTTCAGATACAGTCTTTCTTATTCTTATTGTTGTGATTGACCAATAGGTGTGTTTGTTAATACAATTTCATTTGACGGATTCTGGATTTTTACTTTCTACTTTCAAGTTCTGCCAAGTTTTGACTTCTGAGTAAAAATGCTTCTCTTTTTCACTTGAAATTTCACTGATGGGCAGAAGTGGCCAAACTTAAGCAAATGTTGGCTGATCCAAAAGTAGCTTTCTTTGCCCAGCCGCACAGAAAGACACTATTTTGCTTTCCTGAAAATGTGGTGCCCCTCCCCCCCTGCTGCTCTCCTCCAAGCCGCCGTGGAGACTGTTGTTACTGTTACATGCTTGTTTGGTGACTTGACATTAGCATTCGTTCTCTTTATCTTGTATAGATGTATAATCATCAACAGTGTGGCAATTGTGCTTTAAATGTATGCACCCGCCCAGACAATGTACAGACCCGTGTTGATGGTTGACAGAGACATCCTAAAGAACATTGTGTACTGTTGCTACATCCATCCATCCATCTAGTATTGTTTATGCAATAACATATGACATTAAAACTACATTTTCTACATAAAGGATTAATACAAGCGCCAGCTGAATTTTAATCACATTGTACTTAATAATGCATGTTTCTTGAAATGAATTTGACCTAATTCTATTAAAAATGCACTTCAGTTTTAACTGTGTATTGCATAGGATAAGACTGTTACTCTCTTCAAAGTTGGCTTGCTGGTTGGGGCAGGTCAGTGTTTACACTGGAGGACCTATAGTGAATGTAAATGTTTCACCACCTCAGAGCACTTGGGAACACTGTGTCCTGAGAAGCCGACAGCGTTTTTTTTTTTTTAATGTTGCCGACTCATTTGCCCAATGATGAGTACAGTATGGTCTCCCTCTCTATACCCAGACACAACCAACACCAAAAAAGCTATCCCTAACCAAATAACGTTATATCAGATGGCTGGGCACTTCACCCTCCTTTGTCTGCCCCATTGTCCCAGCTGCTGGTTATGATGCCTTTTAACTAAAGCCAGTTTGATCCCTGTCTGTCTCTGTGCTGCACTGTACACACCACTTTTGCTTTGTATTTATCTATTGCATGGTTGTAGAACAATCTTATCCAAAGGAAATGCAAAAGACCTAATGTTCCCTTTGTATTTTGATTCTATAAGGATTCAGTGGGAAAAAAGAAACAAATCAAAAGTGACGGCAACAATATGTAAAACTTTCAGGACCAGAAAGGACTTGTTTTAAGTTTAATCCTAATAAATGCTGTTGATAATTGTATGTTAACTGCACTGTAGAGACTGAAGTGCTAAAGGACGTTTACATATAAAGATAGTGTACTTTTAATCAAATTACTTTTTAAAAATCATCAAATATAATCTTATGAAAAACTCCCTTCAGAGAAGGCTGTGCGTCACAAATAGGTGAACAAACAATGTGTTTAAATATTTAGAGTTGGTGTGTTTTGTTTACATTAACATTTATATGCAGATTTAAGGATTGTATGTTTCAGACTAACCAGGATGTACTTTTCCAGGATGTGAGTAATTAAGTGTTTACAATTAATTGGACACAACCCAAACCTTGCCATCAATATTTGAAGGTCAACATTTAAAAGCTTTTGTTATTCACAAATTTATTTGAAACAAATATTTGACTCTTCACTTTATTTTGTGTCAAATAACACATTTGGCTTGTTTTGGTCAAATATTACTGCTTGCATTTCGTAACAGTGGTGGGTGTATGTTAATTCCAGGCATATTTAGCATATAATATTAAATATTAAAAAACATTATTATTATTATTATTACATTATGTACATTGTAGACTCTAAAGGGTCTATGAACTGCTGTTGCAAAGTAAAATGGCACGTGCAAACTCCCTGGTTTAAAACAGGAAGCCACAA